CAGACTTGGATAATTTAACGGCCAGGTTGGACAAGTGAATATCCCACTTCATTTTACTATCAATGTATATACCAAGATATTTAAAGGAATGGACATTTTCCAATTTTTTATTATCAATTTGGATTTCCAAAACGTTTTTCGATTTGCTTTGGTATGGAGATATTAACATAGATTTTGATTTTCAATGTTTAGTGTTAATTTATTGGCTTTCATCCAACTTGACACTTTTGCAATTTCAGTATTTACTCTCAACTGAAGAACTGCACAAGATTTGTCGCTGTCAAGGAGATTAGTATCGTCAGCGAACAATTTGGAAAATAATGAAGAGCAATAAGTTATGTCGTTAATATATACGAGAAAAAGGAGAGGGCCCAAACAGCTACCTTGAGGAACTTCCGTGCGGTCACCGGTAAGGGAGAAGAACAGTGTGATCCCACTTGAACATATTGAGATCTATTATTCAATAACTAGAAATGAGTTTGCTTGCAATTCCCCGTATACCATAATGCCTCAACTTAGAAATCAGGATGTCATGATTCACAGTATCGAAAGCTTTCTTTAGATCTAGAAAAGTTGCACTGACATACTCCTTTCTTTCCAATTTATCATAGATATAAGATACTGTATCTAAAATGGCATGTGATGTAGAATAATTGCTCTGAAAACCGAATTGATATTTATTTATTACATCATATTTAGTTAAAAAATTGCGAGTCTTTTATGTAACAAACGCTCAAACATTTTATCAATTGCTGAGAGGATTGATATTGGTCTATAATTTGAAATTAATTTTTTATTTCCAGATTTGAAAAGAGGAATAACCCGGGCGGTTTTGAGAGATGAAGGAAAGATTCCAAGTAACAGCGAGGAATTGAAGAATCTTGAGAGACAAGGGGCAATTATATCCGCAACTAATTTGATGAAGCGCGCTGGGATGTTGTCTGGTCCTACAGCTTCCTGTCGTTAAGATTTTGTATTTCGATTAAAATTCATTCGCGGTGGATGAGCTCAAAAAGATGGATTGGCTCACACGATTGCGGAGAAAAGGTTCGAAGTTAGCTGTTACATTGGGAAAACTTATCAGCCAGGCTGGACCCAATTGTTGAGAAGTATTTGTTAAATTCTGTTGCGATTAAAAGTTCATCTCTAGTTATACAACCGTTTTCAGTATTAATTTCATCAATTTTATGCTTCAATTTCTTTTTTGCATTTGTGATTTGGCCAACTATTTGCCATGTTGACCCTGGGATTACCTTTGGTTGTAGCAATAAGATTTTGATAATAGATTTGTTTAGCTTTATCTATGGTTCTTGACAAAATATTTCTATATTGTTTAAAGTAAGAGCTCTGGGAACTGTTACCTTTCAAAAAGTGAGTTTTAAACATTTTATTTTTGTGGTCGAATACAAGCGTTTAGCCCTTTGGTTAACCATGGTTTTGATTGTAACCTTTTCTGACGCCGAGAAAGTGGTCGAAGTGGGGCATGGCGATCAATTAGGTGAACAAATGACTTTATAAAGTCGTCAAAAACACTATTAAAATTTTGGATATTTAAATTAATTCCAGCAAATTGATTAGCAAAAATTACCTCTGCATCACTACGAAAGCAATCGATTGAGAATGTTGACATGTCCCTTGACATTCTGCGATTGTATGTGTATGATGGTTTAATGCCTCTCAGACAGCACATGATCGGAAAATGGTCTGTGATGTCTGACAGAACTATGTGGGAATCTATTTTTAGGTTTCTGATATTTGTATATACATGATCAATGAGAGTTGCTGATGTACGGCTAACTCTAGTTGGGTCAGTGATTAAGGATGTGGCATTGTGTGAAATGAGCATATTGGCATAATTTGCAATATGAGCGTTACTAGGTGTTAAAAGTAAGTTGATGTTAAAATCTCCAATTATCAAAAATTGTTTGTTTGCCAATTTAGCGAGAGAAGTTTCCAACATGTCAGTAAAATGAGGAACATCATTTCGAGGGTGTCTATATATCACACCAACGATTAATTTATTGTCATTACGGGCCAAAGTGATTTCGAACCATACATTCTCACAGTTCGGGTAATTAAGATTATAAATTGAAATTTCATTATAGGTAAGGTCGTTACGGATAAAAGCACCAGCACCACCGGCTTTGGTGGTAGAAGGCATGTGTATGAAACTATACCCATCCATATTAATATTAGAAACATTGTCACTTGATAATTTTGACTCGCTTATTGCTACTATATGGGGAGGAGATGGAAAATTGTTTAAAAGAGTTATCAAGTCATCAATATTTTTTTGTAGGGATCGAATATTTACATGGAAAATTATTAAGTCAGATAAAGATTGGATAGACTTTAAATTATGAACTTCTATATTACTGCACATTGTGACATCACTGGAAAAAACTAATTGAGAGTTACTAGAATTGGCCATTTAAAGATGACAAAAGATAATTGCAATGTGATATAAGACAAGTAGCCATATTTAGGAAAACATAAATTTTTCCAAGAATACATTGTAAAGTGTACAAATTATGTTTAAGTGACCTACTTGATTAATGAAAGGTCAGCATCACTCTCAATATGGATGGTAGCAGTCATTGTGTTTTTTCTTATTAGTACCTTTCCATTGTGCGTCCATAGGTATTTGTATCCGCACTTATTTTTCAGATCTTTCGCCTTGAAGAATAGGTCCTTGTTGTAGTCGCTGAGGTTTTCGACAACGAAAATTGTGGTGGATCTTGAGAATTGTGGAAAATCTTCATGAAAGTTTGCTGATTTAAGATGGCGACGGTTTTTCAATATTTGATACCTGGTTTTCCTATTTACAAATTGGACAATAATTGGTGAAGGTTTTTTAGTGTTAGCTTTCGACATTCGGTGGCAATTTGAGATGTCTAAAGGTTGTAGCGATATATTGAGTCGAGCTGCTATTTTCATGATTTTATTTTCACAATCTTCTTTTTCTGTGTATGGTATATTATGGAACTCTAAGTTATTGAGTCTTGACCTTCGCTCTTGGTCGTTTTGTCGTTCTGTAAGAATATCAACCTCCTCTTCGAGATCTTCTACAATTCTTTTCCAGTTGGCGAATTCTTTTGTTGTTTTTGGCTGTAATGGTATTAAGTTCATTGTAATTGGCACTCAATTCATCGAATTTTTTTGCAATAAAGACTTGGCTTGATTTTATCTCCCCAACTTCTTCTTTGATAACACTGATCGAGGATAACTGGGTCTTAACTTGCCTCATTGACTCATCCAGAGATGATAGAGATTCCTGGATGCATTTACTAGTAGGTGTTGTTGATGAAATATCCATAGCTAATTTTTCGATATGTTGTTCAATTAATGCTGGTATTTCCAGTCGCAGGGTCTTAAGAATAGTGCTCTCGAGTACAGAGACTAGGTTGGAGATGTTTTGATCGGTTATGTCAGCCATTGTTGAAGAACTGGCAACTTGACGGTCGGTGGGACTTTTACGCTTTGGGGGGTTTGGAGGAACATCGCATGATTTTGTAGTAAACGACATCTCAGTTGTTCTTGAATCCACAACTCGAAAATGATGTTGAGCTTTCAGTTGACAGATTCCACCCCAAATGCTGAAGAGTTTCAATCATTCATAATCCAGTAATTAAGTGTCCAGTATCAAAATGTAGGCTATGATATTAATTTAACGCTACAGTACTATATCTGCAAGCTTAATAACAGCAATAATGAATTGTTTCAGATTCTGTTTTGACAGAATTTATTTTCGTACGTCGACGACAGACTGCTTTCCAGTGATTAGGTTTTTTACAGTAAGAACATTGTGACCCAACTGCAGGACAATTACCTTTATAACGACTGTGTGAAATATCGGTTCCACAGCGAGAACATTTCTTGTCATATTTGCGGTCAAATGATGCATTTTTTGATTTTTGCTTCTTGTCCGAATAACTGAAATTTGATTGACGATAAGGATTTTGTGCAATTCTGGAGACTGAAGAATCCTCTTCATCTCGTACTATACGCATTTGCTTTTGTGCAAGTTTATACTGCTGACCAATTTCCAAAGCTTTAGCTAGTGTTAGATCTTCTCCTTTATCTAAAAGTCTTTCTTGCAGTTTTTTCTCATGCACACCATCAATAATACAGTCAATTAGAATATCATCTGAATCAGCATATTCACAATCCATTAGAATGATTTTCAAATCTTTAACAAAGTTGTCAAACGATTCTGATGAGCCCTGTTTACGTCGCATCAATTTATGTCGATTAATTCTTTTATTCTTTCTGGGTCTCACATATTTCTCAAATTTAGCCAAAACAGCAAAAGGATCTTTTTTCTCTTCTTCTTCCCAAGTCAGAGTTTTGTAGATTTCTCTTCCTTCATGCCCTATCCATGTTCCAAGCCATCCGGCTCTCTCAGCTGCAGGCAATTTGGCTAACGGTCCATCAAAAATAAACTGAACATGGGTTTTGAATCTGCAAAATTCTTGGTACAGATCATGACTATTCCAGTCAATCATTGGATGATCAAAGTTATTTGACATTGACATCTCGGATTCAGTTGCAGATAAACAGATTTGAGTTTCAATTCAGACTCGACGGTTTTTTCAGTTTAACTGATTTCAGACTTTATCCAGTCTTCTGACACCATGTTATGTTCTGCTACGTTGTGTACTTATATTATATCTGGCTACTTCTAATAGCACTGACAGACTGATTTACGATTCAGTATGTTGTATTGCAGAAACTTGTATTTGTTATTCAAAACATTACACACAGATTATATTGGATACAGAAGCACACACGACGCTAGCTGAACATAGAAACTAATCGTCAACTCTAGGATGACCTTTGACCCTAACTGATAGTTGCCATACATTACATTTATGGCCCACCTGGAAATGCTGCTGTATATCAGTAATGGGCCACTGGTTTAAAATCAGTGTTTTAGACTTATGTTTGCATTCAGGCTAGTGTATTATCAAAATAGCATTTTAAACATTTCAGCAATATACCTTTAAATAATTGTTTGACATAGCCTTCTTCCAAGTTATCTGAACCCTTTTTCAAGGCAGATGCTAGTACATCAGCACATCCTCCTGAACCACTCACAAGCACTACCGGAATGTCTTTTTCAATGGTGCTTTTAACTGTCTGAAAAATACAATTAATCAAACATTTAAATGTTGGGCTAATGTTTGGGAATCGTTTGCATGCTAACAATTTGATATAAAATAAAGACTAAAAACACAAATACGCAATCGGAGATTAAGTTTTAAATTATATATTAAATAAATTTTAGCTAAGATTAGATTATGTAAAATAATCATATAGGAATCTGTAAAAAAACATTCAAATTACCAGGAATTCAAAACTCGGTATGAGTTTAGTAAGTTTACATTCCGAAGCAAGATTTGTATATGTTGTGTGAAAAGATTGTCAGTTCTCAAAATATCTATTTGTATATTTTTGAAAAAATCACATGCAAACTACATGGACATGTGGCTGAATTCAGTCAAAACTTCAATGTACTAAGTAGATGCCTTACTGTCTCGTCTGAAAAAATTTATCCTATATTATCCAATTCATAGAAGATTTAATTTTAGTGTTCTAAAAAGCAAACAAATACAAACCTTTAAGGTTCCTGGACCACCTTGAACCACAACACAAACAATCCGAACATTTGAATTTTCCTTTTCTGTAAAAGGTACCAAAAAGTAAAATACGTATACAGTTTGTTTGAGGATTCATTCAAAAATTTATTGTGACCATCTTTTAGAGTGAATAATTTTAAAAAATTTTTAAATAGAGTACATGATAAAAATAAATTGTATCTTCAAAAGCCAAAATCCTTGTAGGTCACAAGCTCAAATCTATGAGATGATTATGCATTAAATCTAACTCTTTGTCATCACAAAGTGATGGATGCAGCTGTTGACCACATGACTTCTTTTGTCATATGTGTTCATATATAAATAGCAATAAATGAAAACCAGGTATTTTACAGGTACAGGTATTCTACAGGTATTTTAATGAATTTTGTTTTGACAGCACAAATGCTGTGCTTTATCTTAGCTTTATTTGAGATTTATTTTCAATCAAGAAAATGAACATGAAAATGATGACAACTAGCAAAAAACAAAACGAAAAAAGGAACCAACCTGAAAAGTACGTAGCAGTTATACAACCAAGAACTTCAAGTTAACTAGCTAATTTAAATAGGTTACAAGACTAGGAATATGTAGCACAGAATTTTAAAGAACCCATGCTGGCCTCAAAGATGTCATACAGCACAGATAGGAGTTGACTTTGATGACCGTCTCGTCGTATCACTCCCTCCTGTTAAACTTCAAAAGTATGCATGCTGCTTCTCCTCAGGTCTCATTTTTACACAAGAGTCCAAAGTTGATTAAATTTAGCAACATAACAGCGAATGTCACATGGATGAAACATTGAAATTGTGCATTTATGTTCAGATCAAAATAAAGGACAAAAAAAAATTCATTTTTTTATCCATCACGATTCATGACACATAATAACAAAAATTTCCTCAACTTATTTAAATTGTTTTACATTATGATAGCCTAATCAACCTTGAATATCTTTATATATTTGTGCAAGCTAGTGACTGTTCAACTCGAAAAACTATTACGTATTTGAATTCTTACTAATTTTTTCTTCCAGTTTGGCCCTCAATTCAATTTCTGTTCCATAGGAACTTTCTCCTGTGCTGCCATTATCCACCAATATGAAATGTGAATGATTATCATCAAGAGTAGTGAATTGTTTGGTTTCATTTTGGTTCAATTTGGTCATATCTGAATCATATACCTTTGGAGGCTGAATCTGAACGAAAGTAGGAGATAATATTATTCATTCAAGTAAATAAAGCATGAAATAATAAATGGAAAGTGGTTAAGTTAGATTCCAAATTTACATAGTAAAGACCTTAAGCTCACTCTGCATAAAACTATTTGCAACAACCAAACACTATGCATGATTTTTGCTAAATATTTTCTAACATAAAATTTTGAATTAAATCTAACTAAAAATACTGACACAGTTGAATGCAGCTTGTTATCTATTAGTGAAAAAATTTGAGTACTGTATTTCATAAACCATAAGGCACACTTTTTGAAATATGATACAATAACCATAATTTTTTGTCTAATGAGCGTTGTACTGCAACCCGATACTCATTAAACACCGTTGCATTTTACAGCACGATGTGCATTAGATATGGACAAAATCCCAATTTAAGCAATTTATTGACACTTGACAGTGCGCCTTATAACCCGGTGCGCCTTATGGGCCATAAAATTCGATAATAAGTCTTGTTTTTCATAAAATGTAGGAGAAAAGTTCAAAACTCGTACCATGCTATCGTTCTGTTCTGTGTTCATATTGACTAATTTTTCATTGCCGAATATTGCTCCCCAGGGTGCAATGCCAATGGTAATGACCTGCACAGCATGTAAAATCTGTTAGATGAAACATTGAAATACGTTGACACTGAATTTAGTGTATTTTACTCACCCTTTTTCTGTCTTGTTTAATGGTTTCATAGCTTTCTACAGCTTTTCCAACATGCTTCATTACTCCAACATGCGTCCCACCTGAAGTTATCCATGCACCTGTCTTTTTAGCCGCTTTTATTAAACTTTTCCGAAAGACTTCCTTCAGGCGAGTTCGCAAAGCAAAGTTTTTTGCTCCACCGGTTACTGATATTATAAGATTTGGTGGATTCAACTTCCAATACTTGTTTAACAGGTCATAAAGATCTTGCTCATCTGTATCATCCGCTGCCCGGACATACTAGAGAGGCGATTTTTCAGGTTTTACAAAAAAATGAGTACTCCCGTAGTGTATGTACCAGGTTGGGGTTAGGCCATAATTTTATTCCGATTTTCCTTATTTTAGTTCTATTACGAGTTCGGGGACTGTCTGTGTTAGCCAAGTGAATATACCCCGTTCCCATAGGTTTCAGTCTCTTAACACAACTTGACGTAAAATAGGCGAACAAAATTAGTTACCCTCATATTGGTACACACCATTCTGGAGCGCCAAAAAATGAGTGCAAATTTATAATTTTCAACATAAAAAGATTTATTGCAAATTCAGAGTTTCATAAATAACTTCATTGCACTATGAAAATACGTTCAAGCAGCACCTTTGCAATCATTGTCTTTTCTCTAACAAAATCAATTTCTCCATATGCATTTGTCTTAACATTTTCACCCCTTAGGCCTTTCATCTTAATATTACTTGAAATAAATTTTTCAGTATCGTTGTTCTGAAAACAAATTTTGTGTTTGATATATTCTGAAAACCTTAGAGTACACATTTCATAAATATTGCCATCTGCTCATTTACCTGGTAAATTGAGATTTTGTCCGAACTATAGTCTATTTTTTTGTTCAATTTTCTTTCATTTGAATTTCGCAGAGAGGTATCCTACATTTAGTATGAAAAATGAAGTTGAAATTGAAGGCTCGTTATACCCAATTCCGTTTTTTGGTCTCATTTCCCATTGAAAGTGACAAGAATAATAACTTTTAATTAGAGAAATATAGATTAACGGGGCTCTTCAACCATTTATATATGATATCTATGATTAATTGGTATTATATTGTAATATTTTATCTCCGTTCGTTTCTTTTTGGTTAAATTTTCAATATCAGGTCATGAACCAACTAAACTAGTTCTCAAATGGATCGTATACCATATATACATGTTTTTTATTTTGATATTTGCAAATACTTCAAAATAAAATATTCATAATGAATAAATAAGTATCATAAACGTAACAATTTATGTACTAATTATTTCATTGATTGAAATTTTTAATCCTAAATTATCAATAATCCCGATAACGAAATAGGATTCTATGTCAACATTCAATCAACGTAGCTAAGTAAAATTTGTTATTCCTTTAAGGTCACGGCTTTATAAAATATAGAAAATCACTTACCTAATGTATTAAAAGAAGTTTCGCTTCAATATACTTGTGATGTCGCGAACAAAAAATAAGAAATCTTACTTGTATATCGGTCATAGTCATGTCGTAAAAACTATCGCGTACTCTTCTACTTTTTCTTCTAGCTAACATCGTCGCAAGCATTCTTGAAGCGAGTCAGGCTTCAAGAAAATAGTTAGATAACCAGAGTATCACATATCTGCAATATCAACATTCAAATAATATTACAAAGTTGAAGTAATATTGTTGTGGCAGCTCTATCAATCTCTTCCTTTTGTGTTAATCTTTCAATTCCGTCTTTTTGCAATTTTGGCTCAAATTTTATATAAACTGCCATGCGAAGAATATACACGTATTTTAGGTAAATTAGTCGTCGCAGCTCAAAACATCAAATTTGTTCTGCGAGAAAAAAAAACTCACTAAATCATCAGAGCCCCGACTTTTTGTTAGATGAGGTGAAAAAGCGTTTTTAGGACGATGAATGAAGAGACTTTAAGAAGGCCTGCGAATCTTAGGTGATTTTCTGATCTAACAACCAAAGTACAACATTACGCCAAACTACGAATGGCAATCCTGCCAGTACCATTAAAAAAAAAAAAATTTCGAGTATCTACCCAAAAATTAAAATGCAAAAAACAACACATTCAAATAAAACTATTACCAACTTGGCTTATTTCAACATGTCATCGGACATCGTTCATGAGCACGATAGTCCAAATCACTAGGAGAAAACATGCGGTAATTTTATATATTGTCGATATTGCTCGAACCAATCTTCTGTTTCTTTGTCTAACTTTGGTCATAGAAATATTTGCAAGCGCAGCAAAAGGGCCACGTAACTTCAATTCTAATCGTGGGCATTTTGTTCGCTAGCTAGCATTAATATCATTTTCCCTATACTTTTGTTTGTTCTGAGTCGTATTGCCTCTTAAAGACAATCGGTTTCTCTCCCGCGTGGGTAAGTAATATCGTTTTCTTGGAAATATGGTTGGTAGTATAATTTTATGACAACAAACTTCTGCGTATATTTGTCAAATTCATTACACGTTAATGATTCATTGACGTTTACTTAACATATCAGACACGCTTTCCATCTTCGAATGACACAAGGGAAATACATGAACCTACGAAAATAACTGTGTAATATCGGGACCCCATACATCTTAACTCTTTGAACTCTGACGGCTCTGAGCGAAGTTACTCGCTCACCCTGAAGGTTCGCGGCGCCGTATTGGTAGAACAATAAAATAAGTCTAAATACTGGCTATTTGGCACGCTTGTAACTTTTCACCAATTATAGGTAGCACGTTGTGAGACATTTCAATCGAAAGGAAATTTTATCGTGCATTCAAAATGTATTTTCCATTTTGAAATACATTTTTTCAAAATTAATAAAATTGACCCTAATCTAACAGTTATTTTTCTGCATGTATGTGAGTTTTGGCTTTAAATTTTGTTAGTTTGGTACAAAATATACTGCCAACATTTGATGTTCATAAAGAGTTTTTTATAAGCTTTTTGTTGATATTCGAATTACTATTGTGGCTGCCATATAACCAATTTTATATTTAAATATTTAATTGTGTATCATTGTGTCGGGTGAACAACATCGATAAGCGGCCATGACGCACTGATTACGCAGCTACGCAAAAGCCGATCACGTGACTACCGTCATGAAGATGTTGATAAGTACGTTCGAAACGTATTGCGTGGCAAAATGCGCAAGATAACTTTCACGACGACGTTCTCAGCGGAACATCGGTCGCCGAGTTTCGATATGATATTAACCCTGTATGGATTGAAGTACCGACGTCGAGTACTGCGTGCAGTAATAGCGAAGTGAAGTTAATATCGTCATATAAAATTTCACGTGGAAAATGTTTTATTTGCCCATGAGCATTTGTTCAAATATCAACCAAAATAAGTACTTGCCTGCTCTGCAGATCAAAATATCTGATTTTACGAATGTTAGGCGAAGCAAGTGGATGGATCAATATCTGGGAGAACTAATAATGCAGAAAGAGCAACTCTTATTCCAACAAGATCATATGCGTCGCCAGAACTAGATACCCTACCGCAAAACGCCAGTTCTAATAATAGATGCGTCGTATGCAGCAAAATTTACATTATTGCCAAAAAACCAATCCAGCTGCTAAAGACAAAGCGTTGCTGAAACGATGCGAGACAGTATATAAGTACAAATACTGTAATGAGTACCTATGTATAGGTAACGAAACCAACAACCATTGGTATAACTGGCACAACAAAGTGCAATATTGGATTTAGTCTGCCTAATATTTTCATGTTCCTCATTGTTCCGGGCACAACGAAGTGCAATATTCAATTTAAAATTTTTAGCAAGCAGTCTTTTATGTACATACATTTTTCATGGTCTTTATTGTTCCGTTATCCGCTAATAAAATCACAATCTTGTTCATATTGCGTATACGTAACCACAACTTAATGGGGCTTGAGCGGGCAGTCAAAGTCAAATCGTAGTGCGAATTTTGAATGCGTAGCATCGGGTTAATTAATTACTTCCTGCGGACATTTAAATAATAACATCTCGACGTAACGTTATTGCGGATATCGTCACGTTTAGTTGCATTTGCGTAATATGCGTAAAGTTGTGCGTGACGAGACGTTGCCTCTCTTCAATGAGAACATCAATTTGACGCAGCGTCGCTGTTAAATCTACAGATAGTCTAATATATTTGGTCATAAAATTTGAATGGCTCATCGTAAAATCGTTTTGGATACGTATATAAAAAGCTATTCAAATTCTCCACATATATTGTCGATTGAATATGTGGCTATTTAGGCAAGAAGTCGAAATTCTTTATATTAAATATTTGTTATCATACAATAATTTCATACGCACTTTCGAATTGCCAATTTTACTGAAACATCGTATATTAGAGCACCGATCATCACAATATAATTAGTCCCAATAACAAGCTTTCATGCAATATAAAATTTATTTAAATACTCATTGTGGTTCTTGAGATACGAGATCATAAAGTTGATTCCCTCCGACACGAAAAACAAGCCGGTAAACCGGCTTGCCGGGGCACAGAGCGTACTCAAACAAGCCGGTAAACCGGCTTGCCGGGTTCAAGCGGTTAAATCAAAAGTAAAGATCGTTCAAAATTATGCAAGAAATTCATGCTGATTTAAATGTTACGAGTCACGAAGACTTACCTAACTTTAAGTTTGCGCTTTCGCCTGGCTAATAACAAAAGCGCGTATGTCATTTTTATCGGTTTTGGGGTAAACATGAAAAAAAATTCCTGAAGACATCGTTATGCCATTAAGGAAAAGTAATTCACCTTGGATCATTTTTAGGCCGTAGCCGGTTTTAAATTTATTCATAATACGCCAGTGTATGACGTCACAATGGCACACTGCGACTTACGCTGAAATGTGCCTATGAATTGAATACATAAGCATTTTTGCAAACTTAACTATATCGATTAATTCTGAAAACCAAACATTGGAAAATGTATGTATTTTACACTAATTCCAAAACAGGTTATCTGTTTTGATAGCAATATTTTTTTATTTTTTGAAATATATATTTTATCATTATGACGCGCCTACCGAAAATAGGACTTTCCTTAAATATTAAATATAAAAGAATACTAATATAGAATATTATAGCAATGCATCCTTATATAATGGCCCACCGATATTGAATGAGACCCAGATATCAGAAATATTCACTTTCGTATGATAAAGTATGAATTCACATGCGCCAAGCTACCGTGTTTCCCCGAAAATAAGACTGAGTTTTATTTCGTTTTTCCTTCAAAAAATAACACTAGGGCTTGTTTTCGATGGTTATCTTTTATTTTCATTTAATCGAAAACAAAATTACGACGTAGAAAATGACGAGATTCTCAAATATACAAAATATGAAAACCTATATCCATTGCTCTATCCACATTATTGTTGCGAACTCTGCTCATTAATTATGACGGAACAATTGTACGAATGTGCATGTCACATAAATCTCTTTTTTATGCGTTTCGTAATCGCATAAAATCTAAATTAATAGACAGGTGCGCAGCATAACATAGATAAACAAGAGAGCTATGCTCAAAATATATGTACACGTAGCGCTCATATGAGTTCGTGGAACCGCCACATGTTGGCAAATTTTGATGACGTCATAGCAAACAAATCTTAGCTCATCGGAATATTTGAAATAAATAAAAGCCTTCATAATAATAATAGCCTTCTAGCGAAAAATACAAGCTTCAACCACTGAAAATTTCAACGCAATTGGTCCAGTAATCAAGGAGAAAAGCGATTTTTCAAACGACAGGAAGAAGAATAACATGACAACAACAACATAAATCAAAACGACATATATATCCACTACGTGTCCAATAACTATTGTATAAAAATCTCAAAACCGTCAAAAAGTGACTTACGCAATTACTGTCACTCAAAGACAACCACTTCCTACTTCTGTGTGAAAATATAAATCCTTTTCGTAGGTTGTAGTATAATTGACTTTATTTGATAAGCTCATTCGAACTAAACGATTCTTTTGAGGTTCTCAAGAAACTACATTCCTTTTCCATCATGACAAGACATCGTTTCTATAACAAGAGAGCAATGCTCAAATATATGGACACGCAGAACAATTCCCCAAAAATCATATGCGGTGACCAACGACTAACATACCGGCGGTGACTTACCAGTACCTGTATCGGGGTACCGTGACGGTACAGGGACTGTCATAGATATTTTAGATCCTGTGACAATTGAAACATCAGTTGAAATATCTCGTGATATGAGTCAATTATGTACCGTATTATCGGATCAGGTACCGAACCACAGTCAAACATTTCACATAAAAACGTTACTAAATAACATGCGTCAACTTAACACCAGCCGAATCGGGGTACAATTTTTGGTACAGTGACTGTCATAGCCGTTTAGGGCTGATGGACAATTCGACTACACGGACAACTCACCAGGCCTAGGGTGGTGTAGCCAGTCTGCGGACAATTTCATTCAAACCGCTATAAAACAAAAACCAATATTTCTAACCCGTTAATTTTTTCACCGTGGGTGCATTGGCGGCATTTATTCTACACGCTAAACCTCGTATTAACTTTCTACGACAAAGGGTTGAAGCTATACAAATCCCCGAAGTACGGCACTCGAAAGACGTATTTGCGACCGAACGACCAGTGTGCGACCACGGATTTCAAGCCTTGATCATCGTTTATGCTGCGTCGAGACTATCGCATACGCAGCCATACAGCAATCAAACAGACAAAACACGGTGGTCGCAAATTGGTTGACAATTGTTGGTCTTGTGACAGCGTGAAAACATTGGGCTTCTAATTGCATTTCTGACCGTCATATATTTCAAGAACACGGTTATTTCGAACAAAACTCGTTAAATTATAATTCCACACACATTTCAGCTTAGTAGGAAATGAAATAATTGAAAGTAATGGCTACCTACGCTGCGTGAGTCATAAAAACAGATATATAGTTATTATTTCAATACCTTATAAAGATTTGTAAAAATATTTATTTTTAAACTCGTACTTTTTGTCAGGCGTATACTAGAAATTAGTGAGATGAATTTTAGGGCATTCCACCAGGCAGGCTTGTTTCATATCTAGTGTTAGTCAAAATATAAGTATTCCAATATTGACTTAGATATATTTGGGTGAAGGATTTGATAGGAGAAGCTGATATATATCGCAGCCAATATATATATTCTCATTATTGGGGGGTTGTGTTTCGAAATTTAGAGGGTGGTAAATATTTTGCCAATAGCGATGAAACTATTTGCAACTTATAAAAAATGTGTTATGTATATGACAGACCATCTACTCTACACTGATAAATATGCCATTTTCTGAATATTCAAAGACAATTCTACCGAAGTTAGGTATTGAAGTCTGGCATCACATCTGGGGAATGTAGGGAAATCACTAGGTCTGCCTATTTGGGAAGCTAAAGAACATAAACGAAAGCTGCCAATGATAAAAGCTAATCAAATAAATCATATCTTATTCACTTCTAATACGAGGAAGAACAACCTACTTGCGAGCATTGATATGAGGAATACAGTCATGTTTCGCTGACGTATAATACTCACACATACGTACTGACGTAATATTGATGAAATCCAAATTTAAAAATGCAAGTAGTGTGGGTACATTCACTCGAAATGCTGATTGCATTCGCAAATTATCAAAAACAACAGTAAAGTCTGTGAAAAAGAATCTCCGTGGTAAATAATATGTTGAACTATCGATTTCTTGTAAAATTTTAAAAAAAAATTAAAAAAAAAATAAAATTTTCAAAATCAAAAACAAACCGAAAATAAAATAAAAGAGTAATGAAAAATAAAAACAACTGTAAAAATACAAATCAAAATGTGAAAAATGAAAATTAAAAAACGCGCTTAAAATAAAAATGAAAACAGTTGACAACGATGGGCCGATTCACAGAACAATGCGAAAATCTTAATCCCCCGATACCGGAAACAATATTACAAAACAACATCCCACGATTATACAGCACAACAAAAAGTCAAACTGGACACGCTTTGCACAACCATTTGCACAACAAAAATGTGTTGTGTTCGACGCACATTATGTTCGACCTGGCATGGGGTAGTGTTGAAATGCGCTTTTGCACAACCATTTGCACAACAAAAATGGGTTGTGTTCGTGATATTGTTTCCGGTGCACAACAAAAATGTGTTGTGTTCGACACACATTATGTCCGACCTGGCATGGGGTAGTGTTGAAATGCGCTTTTGCACAACCAATTGCACAACAAAAATGTGTTCTGCTCGTAATATTGTTTCCGGTGCACAACAAAAATGTGTTGTGTTCGACACACTCATACTACTATCGTCTTACCGAAAAACGCTTTTTCACCTCATCTAACAAAAGTCGGGGCTCTGATGATTTGGTGAGTTTCTTTTCTCGCAGAACAACTTTGCTGTTTTGAGCTGCGACGGACTAATTTACCTAAAAAATATCGGTAGTCGCGTCATAATGATAAAATATATATTCCAAAAAATAAAAAAATATTGCTCTCAAAACAGATAACCTGTTTTGGAATTAGTGTAAATTACATACACTTTCCAATGTTTGGTTTTCAGAATTAATCGATATAGTTAAGTTGCAAAAATGCTTATGTATTCAATTCATAGGCACATTTCAGCGTAAGTCGCAGTGCGCAATTATGACGTCAGACACCTGCGTATTACGAATAAATTTTAATACGGCTACGACTTAAAAATGTCCTATGGGGAATTATTTTTTCTAAATCGCATAACAATGTCTTTAGTAGGTTTTTTATGTTTTTCCCAAAACCGATAAAAATGACATAGGACCTTTTGTTATTGGCCTGACGACAGCGCAAACTTAAATTTAGTTGAGTCTTCGTGACTCGTAACATTTAAATCAGCATGAATTTCTTGCATAATTTTGAACGATCTTTACTTTTGATTTAAGATGTATGGGGTCCCGATATTACACAGTTATTTTCGTAGATTCATGTATTTCCATTGTGTCATTCGAAGAAGGAAAGCGTGTCTGGTATGTTAAGTAAACGTCAATGAATCATTAACGTGTATTGAATTTGACAAATATACGCAGGAGTTAATTGTCATAAAATTATACTACCAACCATATTTCCAAGAAAACGATATTACTTACCCACGCGGGAGAGAAACCGATTGTCTTTAAGAGGCAATACGACTCAGAACAAACAAAAGTATAGGGAAAATGATATTAATGCTAGCTAGCGAACAAAATGCCCACGATTAGAATTGAAGTTACGTGGCCCTTTTGCTGCGCTTGCAAATATTTCTATGGCCAAAGTTAGACAAAGAAACACAAGATTGGTTCGAGATTGGTTCAATATATAAGATTACCGCATGTTTTCTCCTAGTGATTTGGACTATCGCGCTCATGAACGATGTCCGATCTTGAAATAAGCCAAGTTGGTAATAGTTTTATTTGAATGTGTTGTTTTTTGCATTTTAATTTTTGGGTAGATGCTCGGAAATTTTAAATATTTTAATAGTACTGGCAGAATTGCCATTCGTAGTTTGGCGTAATGTTGTACTTTGATTGTTAGATCAGAAAATTACCTAAGATTCCAGATTGGTTATTTGTTCAAACAAGAAACTAGACACCTGAAACAGCAACCGACTTTTACAACTACAAACCCAATACAAGCCTCAAGCCCTGCCCATTTTATGGGTATTTTTAAACTTATTTTTTTATGTCAACCATTAAGCCCTAAAGCTTTACTCATGGGTTTTTAAAAGCGTCTGCTAGAGTTCTATTCAGCAATATATCTTTAAAACACACCCCTCGAAAAAAAATTTTGCAAAAAAATTTCAAAAATTTCTAAAAAAAAAATTGGACTTTGAGATATTCTGTGTACGGTAGAGGGCTAATAATTAATTCCTAATTAATTAATTTTTTCTTCAACGTTTTCGTCAAGTTTTTCCTAACAAAACAATACCAAAACGACTATTATAGCATAAATGGTTATTACTCTGAAATTCACAATTGTGTTTACAGTATTGTCAAGTTCAAGGTCAAATTACCTATACTGATGACGTCACAGCTCTTATTATTACTGCACAGACCACCCCCAATGCAAAAAAATTAATTTTTTTCGACGGAAATGCGCGTAGAACGGCGTAAACAATCTCATACGCGCATTTACGCTTTAAAATTACCATTAATTTTACGTTTTTTTTACATACAAAAAATCTCCATACCTCTGCCAACTATGAAGCATTCGAAATCATATTTATCAAAACAACACAGCGCCAGGGATGGTCAGGGATAGTTAGTATGACTAAAAATACATGCTAAAACAATAACGAGAATATCGGTCAGAGACCGAAGACTTATCGATCGAAAGTTAGGGGATCCCCCAAAACAGAAACTGCGGTTTCGATTCGAAAAATTCTGCAAACCCGAACTGGATTGTTTTGATTAGTTTTCAGCCAATATCAGAAATGTAGGAAACAATAGCCAACTCCCCATGTCGTCGAAATACTACTCGAAGAAATACTTTTATGAAGAATTCTGCAAATCCGAACTGGATTGTTTCGATTAGTTTCCAGCCAATAGCCTATTTCTGTATTTACCAATCCTATAGTTTGTGTTAAATACAACGGCGCTAACCCAGGTTGCGACGGCTATTCAAACACAGCCTAGCGATATTTTGGTGAGGAATTCTGCAACCCCGAACCTGATTTAGGGATATGGACATTGCTTAAACTTTAAGGAGTAATTATAAGTAACGAGATACGATCTCGCGGCGTGTATCCTTCGCTCTGACTCAATAGTGTGGAAAATTTCTCGAAGGAAACTTGCGCATCGCGACGACGTCAAAGTTACAAGAGAGATATGGACAAGGCTCAAAGATTAATCACGAGATACGATCTAGCGGTGTGTATCCTTCGCTCTGACTCACTAGCGTGAAAACTTGCGCATCTGATACGCACACACACATTCAGCGCGTCTCGAAAATCTCTCGATTTGTGAAAATCCAGATCTCTTCATCACTAATTAATTAATAACTCGCTAATTATACGACATAATTCATCCAAAATCAATAGGATTCTGGTCCGAGATATGATGAATGCACATGCAAAATTTGGAGCAGATTCAACCACGCCTTCGTGAGATAACGCGTGCATCTAACAGACAGACATACACACATACAGACAAATACCTATCAATATACTTACCGATCTTAAGATCGATAAGTAACAAGTCGTTATAAAGGAGTATTTCCTGTCTGAGTTGAGTCACATTTTTTAGACGTCTGACAGGTGATTTTGAAATCCAGGCTATCTATTCTATACGATTCGCACTTTGCGTCACGGCTGGAAGGTTTTATCGCTTCTCTCATATCAGGGCATTACGTCGATAAACAGCTAAGAGCGATATTGACCCTATAAGTACCGAAATTTAAAAACTATAGGAGAGTAAACCCATATGGGCGTTCCGGCTGTAGAAGGGTTCATCTTCTTCATTCATCGTCTTACCGAAAAACGCTTTTTCACCTCATCTAACAAAAGTCGGGGCTCTGATATTTGGTGAGTTTTTTTTCTCGCAGAACAACTTTGATGTTTTGAGCTGCGAGGGACTAATTTACTTAAATACGTGTATATTCTTCTCATGGCAGTTTATATAAAATTGGAGCCAAAATTGCAGAAGGACAGAATTGAAAGATTAACACAAAAGGAAGAAATTGATAGAGCTGTATACAACAATATTACTTCAACTTCGTAATATTATTTGAATGTTGGTATTGCAAATTGTATAGATATATAAATGTGATACTCTGGTTATCTAATTATTTTCTTGAAGCCTGACTCGTAAATGCACAGCTTGCGACGATGACAGCAATAAGACGAAGTAGAAGAGTTGGCAATAGTTTTTACGACATGACTATGACCGATATACAAGTAAGATTTCTTATTTTTTGTTGACGACATCACAAGTATATTGAAGCGAAACTTTTTTTAATACATTAGGTAAGTGATTTTCTATATTTTATAAAGCCTTGACCCTAAAGGAATAACAAATTTTACTCAGCTACGTTGATTGAATGTTGGCATAGAATCCTATTTCGTTATCGTTATCGGCATTATTGATAATTTAGGATTAAAATTTTCAATCAATGAAATAATTAGTACATAAATTGTTACATTCATGATACTTATTTATTCATTATGGATATTTTTTTTTGAAGTATTTGCCAATATTAAGGGCCTGCGCTTCTTACCAAGAAAAGAAAACTCTTCCCGGGACCCACGCAATAAAAAACATGTATATATGGTATACGATCCATTTGAGAACCAGTTTAGGTGGTTCATGACCTGATTTAAATTTAACCCAAAAAAAACGAACGGAGATAAAATATTACAATACAATACCATTAAATCATAGATATCATATATAGATGGTTGAAGAGCCCCGTTAATCTATATTTCTCTAATTAAAAGTTATTGATCTTGTTACTTTCAATGGTAAATGAGACCAAAAAACGAAATTGGGTATAACGAGCCTTCAATTTCAGCTTAATTTTTCATACCAAATGTAGGCTACTTCTCTGCGAAATTCAAATGAAGGGAAATTGAACAAAAAAAATAGACTATGGTTTGACAAAATCCCAATATACCAATTAAATGAGCAGATGACAATATTTATGAAATGTGTACTCTAAGGTTTTCAGAATATATCAAACACAAAATTTGTTTTCAGAACAATATACTGAAAAATTTATTTCACGTAATATTAAGATGAAAGGCCAAAAGAATGAAAAAAATGTTGAGACAAATGCATATGGAGAAATTGATTTTGGTAGAGGAAAGACAATTATTGCAAAGGTGCAGCTTGAACATAAATTCATAGTGCAATGAAGTTATTTATGAAACTCTGAATTTGCCATAAATCTATTTATGTTGAAAATTATAAATTTGCACTCATTTTTTGGCGCTCCAGAAGTGTGTGTACCAATATGGAGGTAACTAATTTTGTTCGCCTATTTTACGTCAGGTTGTGTTAAGGGACTGAAGCCTATAGGCAGTGGGTATATTCACTTGGCTAACACAGACAGTCCCCAAACTCGGAATAGAACTAAAATAAGGAAAATCGGAATAAAATATGGCCTAACCCCAACCTGGTATACACACTACGGGAGTACTCATTTTTTTGTAAAACCTGAAAAATCGCCTGTTTAGTATGTCCGGGCAGCGCATGATACAGATGAACAAGATCTTTATGACCTGTTAAACAAGCATTGGAAGTTGAATCCACCAAATCTTATAATATCAGTAACCGGTGGAGCAAAAAACTTTGCTTTGCGAACTCGCCTGAAGGAAGTGTTTCGGAAAAGTTTAATAAAAGCGGCTGAAAACACAGGGGCATGGATAACTTCAGGTGGGACGCATGTTGGAGTAATGAAGCATGTTGGAAAAGCTGTAAAAAGCTATGCAACCATTCAACAAGACAAAAAAAGGGTGAGTGAAATACACTAAATTCAGTGTCAACGTATTTCAATGTCTCACCTAACAGATTTTACATGCTGTGCAGTTAAAATTGGCATTGCACCCTGGGGAGCAATATTCGGCAATGAAAAATTAGTCAATAAGAACACAGAACAGAACAATAACATGGTACGAGTTTTGAACTAAAGACATTTTATGAAAAACAAGACTGATTATCGAATTTTAGGGTCCATAAGGCGCACCGTGGTATAAGGCGCACTGTCAAGTGTCAATAAATTGCTAGATTGGGATTTTGTCCATACCTAATGCACATCGTGCAATAAAATGCAACGGTGTTTAAGGAGTATCGGGTTGCAGTTTAACGCTCATTAGACAAAAAATTATGGTTATTGTATCATATATCAAAAAGTGTGCCTTATGGTTTATGAAATACAGTACTCAATTTTTTTCACTAATAGATAACAAGCTGCATGCAACTGTGTCAATATTTTTAGTTAGATTTAATTTAAAATTTTATGTTGGAAAATAGTTAGCAAAAATCATGCATAGTCTAGTTGTTGCAAACAATTTTATGCGGAGTGAGATTAAGGTCTTTACTATGTAAATTTGGAATCTAACCTAACCAATCAATATTTGCATAGTTAAAATGCATGACAACATACCACTCACTCCATTTGTTATTTTATGCCTTATTTATTTGAATGAATAATATATATTCACCTACTTTCGTTCAGATTCAGCCTCCAAAGGTATATGATCCAGATATGGCCAAATTGAACCAAAATGAAAACAAACAATTCACTACTCTTGATTATAATCATTCACATTTCATATTGGTGGATGATGGCAGCACAGGAGAAAGTTCCTATGGAACAGAAATTAAATTGAGGGCCAAACTGGAAAAAAAAATTAGTAAGAATTCACATTATAAAGGTTAATTAGGCTATCATAATGTTCAAGGTTAATTAGGGTATCATAATGTAAAACAATTTAAATGAGTTGAGGAAATTATTGTTATTATGTGTCATGAGTCAGGATGGATGAAAGAATAAATTTTTTTTTATCCTTCATTTTGATCCGGACATAAATGCACAATATCAATGTTTCATCCACGTGACATTCGCTGTTATGTTGCTAAATTTAATCAACTGTGGAGGAGCAGCATGTATACTTTTGAACGGGAGAGTGATACGACCAGGCGGTCGTCAAAGTCAACTCCTATCTGTGCTGTATGACATCCTTGAGGCCAGTATGGGTTCTTTAAAAATCTGTGCTACATATTCCTAGTCTTGTAACCTATTTAAGTTAGCTAGTTAGTTTGAAGTTCTTGGTTGTATAAGTACTTTTCAGGTTGGTTGCTTTTTTCGTTTTGTTTTTTGCTTGTTGTTATCATTTTCATGATTGAAAATAAATCTCAATTGAAGCAAAGATAAAGCACAGCATTTTTGCTGTCAAAACAAAATGCATTAAAATACCTGTACCTGTAAAATACCTGGTTTTCATTTATTGCTATTTATATATGAACATATAGGACAAAAGAAGTCATGTGGTCAACAGCTGCATTCATCACTTTGTGATGGCAAAGAGTTAGATTTAATGCATAATCATCTCATAGATTTGAGCTTGTGACCTACAAGGAATTTGGCTTTTGAAGATACAATATATTTTTATCATGTACTCTATTAAATAAAAAATTAAAATTTTTTACTTTAAAAGATGGTCACAATAAATTTTTGAATAAATCCTCAAACAAACTGTATACGTATCACTTTTTGGTACCTTTTACAGAAAAAGAAAATCCAAATGTTCGGATTGTTTGTGTTGTGGTTCAAGGTGGTCCAGGAACTTTAAAGGTTTGTATTAGTTTTTTTTTAAACACTAAAATTAAATCTTTTATGAATTGGATAATATAGGGATAAATTTTTTCTAACGAGACATGTAGTTTGCATGTGATTTTTTCAAAAATAGACAAATAGATTTTTTTAAGGAACTAACAGTCCTTTCACACAAAATATACAAATCTTGCTTCGGAATGTAACTTACTAAACTCATACCGAGTTTTGAATTCCTGGTAATTTGAATGTTTTTTACATATTCCTATATGATTATTTTACATATTCTTAACTTAGCTAATAATTTACTTAATATATAATTCAAAACTTAATCTCAGATTGCGTATTTGTGTTTTTAGTCTTTATTTTATATCAAATTGTTAGCATGCAAACGATTCCCAAACATTAGCCCAACATTTAAATGTTTGATTAATTGTATTTTTCAGACTGTTAATAGCACTATTAAAAAAGACATTCCGGTAGTGCTTGTGAGTGGTTCAAGAGGATGTGCTGATGTACTAGCATCTGCTTTGAAAAAGGGTTCAGATAACTTGGAAGAAGGCTATATCGAACAAATATTTGAAGGTATATTGCTGAAATGTTTAAAATGCTATTTTGACAATACACCAGCCTGAATGCAAACATAAGTCTAAAACACTGATTTTAAATCAGTGGGCCATGGCCAATTACTGAGATACAGCAGCATGTGGGCCATAAACATATTGGAAAGTGCTAGTGTTATTGATAAATACAGTTTCATTTTTGTTACTATAGTTGAATTTTGACTGTAGGAGCAATAACTGATGATGCTGTATTTTGCTACTGTGGGTTTGATTCTGATTAATAAAGTGAAAGTGTCTATCTCTGCGGACATAGTTTTTTGTTCTTGTTTTATCTCTTGCATAAAAAATTTGGTGGGCCACAGAATTTCTTTGCAACGAAAATGAGCCATGAAAGAAAAAAGGTCTGGTCTGGTCTATAAGTTATCCTGACATAAAAACATGAGTATTATCTCCTCGTTAATATTTTTCAGTAATTTGACATTCTTGGTTGATCATAAGAGAATGATCATTTGCTGAATAGAAAGTAATTAGCCTGTTAAAGACATTCTGAAATATTGCAAATGAGTATTTTGTGCACCAAACATTGCTTCGATAAAAATGATATTCCAGAAAGAAGTTTCATCATGCCATATCCCCCTAAAATACTGTATATAACATAGAAAATTATACATGGATGGAAGATGCCTGTAAGTGGTATATATAAAATTTCAAATTAGTATGTGTTAATTATAATTGTATTTGTTTGTTGGGAAAGACTTGAAAACTTTACTATACATAAATAATACCACACTTTATAATTTTTTTGGGACTATGTCCTAAATTACATTGTAATGACATAATATGCGTTTTAGAATTCAATTATGACAGAACTGATTCATGTATTGAGCTACTCAAAGACTGCATTAGTAAAAGGGAATTGATTACCGTGTTTGAGTTGGATCCAAACGATACATCAAAGGACTTAGACTTTGCTATACTAGATGCTGTTTTACGTAAGATTTTATGTTTTTGTATTTTGAACCAGATCTGTCATTCCTGACTATTTATCAGTAGTCAGCTAGTTTCGAATGTTTCATTCATTATTTTTACCTTTATTGTATGTTTACCTTTATTGTTTTAAATCAGTTTTAATATGTCCTGATATCCATAGCACCTAACAGTACATATGTGGTCTTGTATGTATAAAAAAAGTTAGATAAATGAGTTACATCCTGTATGATCAAAGATTCAAACCTGCGACCCATCATTCAGTGTGTGACAGTCATAAACATTATGCCCCAGAAACTGCGGTATTTGGTTTAAAATCGAATCAGGCATTGCATTTAAGCAATATTCAAATTATCATGAATTTCAGCTCATTCATTTTCATCCTCATGGTTTTATTTTTTTAAAACCTGGAAGTCATTTTTTGGTACTCCTGAAGTATGCGTACCAAGATGTCGCATAACCTGAACCATAACCCGGTACACAACCTGAGTTCAGGTTGTGCGCCATCTTGGTGCTTCATCTTGGTCTCCCTCATGCCACTTATACATATATTTATCAGTATTCAGAATAAAGATTTGTCCCAATGTTGATTGGGCATCCAACATGTTACCTTGATATTGTTTTTTGAAAAGGTAATCGTAAATGAAAGATTTAAGGCGTTAATGCTTCCATTGCAGGAAAAAAAGAGAATGACGTCAACAAAAATTTAGACCTGGCTGTTGCTTGGAATAGGAGTGATTATGCTAAATCTCATATACTTTATGATGGTTTTATAAAGAAAGGGATAATTACTGAAATCTTCATGGGATCTGTCTTACTAAATGTATGTTATTAAATCGAATATTTTTCAAGTGTCAGTCGATTCATGTCAGTTTTTTATCAAACAGAATAAAAATAAAAAGTCAAAGATGGGAATTATTATAAATATTTTTCAATTTTTCAGGATAAGCATGAATTTTGCAAAGTTCTCCTTGATTATGGCGTTAATTTGAAACATGTTGAAATTAAAAAGATTGTTGACTTGTACAAAAAGGATCTGGAAGAATCTGGAGCTTCGGGACCACAGTCCAGAAATTATATGTCGGTTATGTCGGATGTGGGAAAGTATGGAATATATTTCGGGATATGGAAGTCCAATAAATTGAGCTGAAAGCAAAAAAAATATTCGATCAAGTTAAATAACTCTGATTCTCCAATGCGTATTAAAAATAACTAAATTCAGTAGCCATTTTCTTTAATGTAAAATCTGTGAAACATGCATTTATCATGCAGGGGTCAATGATATTTTGATTGTGAGAACAGTGACATTTTATGTTTAGGAGTGTAAAAATATTGCTCAATGTTTTTTAAATGTTTAGAAGAATGGCTGGTTTATTTGGTACCTCTTATGCTTCTATGTACCAGGAGGGAAATGTGAGTATTGCACATTAAACGTGAGTGGTTAGGCAATCACTTATGCATAGATCAGCAGAGATGTTAGAATATATTCAGAAAGGCATCATCAGATATAAGTTGTTGCAAAACTTAGTATGACAGTATGACAACAAACAAAAAGTAGCAGCAGTTTTTGAAAATGTCCCGGCACAGAAACCCTGCTGACAAGAAATAAACTTCCTTTCTGGCATTGTTCTAGTAAATTTATTTGTTTTTAATTTTGAGTCAATTAAAGCTTGTTTGAAGCAAATTTCACAATTTAATAACTCACCACTTGTGATTGCCCCAGAGATGGGAAATATTTTGACCTTTATTATTTTTTTAAACTTTTAAAACAATTTGAATCTTTATAGGGATGTTGTTTATTAATTTATTTTTATACTATTTACTAGGCAGAATCTGCGGAAAAGTATTTCGATCCCTACATGGAAATATTCCGGTGGGCTTTGTTGTTCAATCACAGAGAAATTGCTAAATATATCTGGGAATACATGCATGAATCAATGGCTGCTGCTGTTATGGCAACCAAAATATTGAAAGCACTAGCTTCTACAGAGTCAAACCATGAAGTGGTAATGGAAATATTTGTTTACCGTACATTGTGATACTGATGATAGGACGTACAAGTTACATGTGATTATTGTTTCAATTTCATTTGTGTTGATTTAAGTTTCTGCTTTGATTAATGTTTGACAGCGAATATTGGAAAAGCCTATCATCAGGGTATTATTGAGCTATTGGTTGACTTTTCCTCAATGTTGTCTCTTTCTTTATCTTTCCAACAGATCCATACAAGCCCCAACTTGAAGTATGATCTATTAATTATTATTTCATCATTATTCAATTACCTCAATTACTTTTATGACAGTTCCTCAAGGACATTAAATCATTTCCATGATAAATTGTTTTTGATACTTGAATTTATCTTAGGATGTTTGATAAAGAACTTGATATAGGAATTAACACCTGGCACAAGATGACCGTAAATGTCATTTGAAATGTTTGTTCATGAAAATATCCCAAATGTTGTCTTTTTTTTGCTCTACGTTTAGTGGCCAATCGATTTGAAAGAAATTGAGAATGAGACTATCGGATGTGGTCATTAAAATTCTATGCCTAAGATCCAATGCAATAACTTCTTTAACTTTGGGGGAGGCCCAAGGTGCTGTGAAAGCAGTTTTCTTAATGCAAACCAGGAATTTCAATAAATCGGGGGAAATATGGGAATAGGAAAATTGTTGAGAATGGGAGAATAACAATAAAGCGTTCTAGATGGTGATCGATTGCTTAAAAAACAAAATTCATTGTATCCCTTCATATTTAAAACATGCTTATGCTCTGGTCACAGTCAAATGATTATAAGTTGTCTACGTTGGGCTTTTACCAAGCTTCATCTGATGTCAAAATTGTTTGGATATACATAGTCATAGTCAAGTTTATTTTTTCCCATTCAGTAAAAAATAACATACGTAAAATTAACAAAATACAAAACTGAAAACACATTTTTACTGGGTAAGGGAAGTCGTACCAGGTACCAGGAATAGTTATCGAGCAGCGCCACCCGAAAGTATACCAATATGTACAACAATACAAAATGTAAAAAAACTTGAACAAATACTAAAATTGTATATGATATATATTACAGAAAAATCAAATGTTAGCTGATGCTGACGAATATGAAAGACATGCTGTAATAATTTTAGGAAAATTATTTGCTGACAATAAAAGCAAAGCAATTGATTTACTCAAGACAAGCTTACCTAGATGGGGCAGATTGAACTGCTTACATGTTGCCTTTGAGGCGAAAGATAAGGTATAGAATGTGTGATCAGAATATACCAGTACTCAGTTTGGAATGAATGTGCATTTATTTTATCAAGTTATTTATATTCAGTGTAATATATTTACATTCAGGCATTTATTTCACATCCTGCAGTTCAGTTTTACCTTGATCAAATCTGGTCTAAAGGATTAATGAAAGAAAATAGAAGAAACAGCGATGCATGTTCAACTGAGTCTGGTCAGTCAGGAATAAATATTTCCAGCAAATAAAATATTATGTATAGAATATAAGTTGATACTTAATGCAACAACAGAATTGAAAAGCATTTTAATCATGTCTTACATACCTCAAATAGGTTTTTCAATATGAATTTGAAAATGTTATATAAATTATAGAACATTTGAATTATTTAATGCCTGTTTAAAATTGCAGGCAATTCACAGTCTGGTGGCAGTTCAGATAATTTATGCAAACAGATAGTTGAATTTCGAATTACTCCTGCAATGACATTTTGGTCAAATATTGCGTTTTATTTGGTAAGTTTTGTATTTCTCGTATGAAGTGATCTGAGTAAAAAAAGATAGCCTATAAAAAACATGACTATGTCTTTGATATGTCACAGATAGTTTTTGACCAAATCCGTAGTCTTATAATGCAAACTTAGACCACAGTACTGATATTCAATAAAACATTGTCCGTGACAAATATTATTCCGAATCAATTTCTAATTTCCTCATTGATGTATATTTGAATATCTTGTCTTGTTCAAGTTATTTCAATTTTGTGTTGGAAATGTGCATTGATTTCTTGCTACTTTTCACATTTTCATGATACTGACAATTTTAACATTCATGATACTCATGACTGTGCCAAATTATTTTAAATTAACGACATAAATTTTTTGTATTTTTCTTAAGCTATATCTCACATTATTTTCCGCTGTAATATTGAGCAGTTATGATGTAACACCATCTACACTGGAAATAGTCGTGGTTGTGTGGGCAACAATAATGATGTTTGATGAGATACGCGAAGTATGGTGATGTTAACATATCTTGGAGTAGTTTTTTTTTTTTTTTTTGCAAACCTGCTTTGACAGTTATACAGATATACAGAGTTAACTGTTTGCTTAGAGAAAATTCACAATTATCCATTTTAAGACATAAGGCTGTGACTGCAACCGGTATGATTGCTATCGCATCAATGCTTTTCTCTTTAAAAGGAAACTTAATCAACACAAATGCAATTGCCCTAATAACATAGTTATATATAAAAAAAAACTGAAATAAATGATAAATAAACATTGGATCGTGATTAATGATAATAAACTGCAAATAAAAAACTTCGAATCAATTTTATCTGTAGGTCATAGGAATTGGAGCGGGTAACTTTACAGGCAAAGATCAGCATTACTTTAAGAATCAATGGAATTATGCAGACATACTGAGTTTTCTACTGTTTTACATAGGATTCATTACAAGGCAAACTATTACAATTTATCATCTATTAATTAATAATGGACCCAACCAAACTTATAAATTCGAGTCTGAACCTTATTTTTTATTTTATGAGATTATCTCATAAATATAAATTGAACGAAACTTAAAGTCAGAATAATTGAAAGTTTTTAAAAAGCTTTGAACTGAAAAGAATAATCTTTCTAAAAAGTATTTCTTACAAAACCCGTTATTCATAATATATTTTAGATGGTTTGGATGCAGTGATTGTTTGTATGTAGCACTTACTTTGTATTGTATCTCATTTATGATACAATGTGTACGGATCATCCACATTTTTGCTGTCAACAGTACGCTTGGACCAAAAATAATCATGGTTAAAAAAATGGTAATTCCGATCTAAAATGAATTAAATAGAGCTAGTTTAGTATAGTGAAAACAAATTTTCTTCCAAATCATTTCATATATTATACGAGTAGTTTGCATCAAAAAATACCTTGTAGGCCTACTGTATAATGATTTGCTGTTGTCAGACATTTTGAAATTTTAGAGAGAAACATGTTACCTTTCGAATTTCCGTATACAATTTATTGTTTGCGTCATTGGTTTTAATTTGAATTGCTACAATCAAGTTATTGAAAACACCTTATATCTGAAATTTGAACTATTTACTGCAACAAAGGTTATGGGTGTAGAAGCTTGACGGGGTGTGACCTTATGCACCCTGCTTGCTACACAAAGACGAAGGGCGCTGAACCGTGCGCCATTATTTTCCAGTCTAAACGCTCTAGTAGTCTATCCCAATACAGCAATATCAGTCTATGTTCGGTCCAGACAATCCTCTCCAAATTATCCCTGCCTTATAACTGAGATAAGCAAGCTGAAGTCCACAAGCCCACAATACACAACTTCAAACACAGGAGAATTGTAATATGTCGTGGAAATATCAAGCACTTGCTCAGCATAAATTATAAAATCGAGATGTCAGATGGAGCCAAATAGATCACGGAAACAGATGACGAATACAGATAGATTGAGTTGAGATAGAGAGAGAGAGAGAGGTTTTCTAAAGAAAACAAAATACACTATAAATACTATGAATTTTCCGCATAAATAACCAACATGCAATCAAATTATATCGCTTACCGACTGTTTTTAGCCAAGGTCAACAATATATCGAATCTTTTATGTAACTGCAGAACACTGAAATAAACACGAACAAATAAGCACTACAGTAACAGTACTTAACCCTACAGCATTAATTGTGGCAATAAATATAATACCAACAGTATGTCATCCAAATAGGACTACTACATAACAAGCCAAATGAAATGAAATACAGAAAACTCACCAAGAATTGTTCACAAAACAATCAAAACGCAGGACAGATTCACAAATTGCAGTTCAATAATCCAGAGTTCAATGCAGCAAATTTTAAACTATTAGCAAGTTAAATAAGCATGAAACAAAGAAAACCATAATTAGCCCACTATAAATAATATGATACAGCTTTCCTAACGATAATCGCCATAGAAGTAACGCATTGCAACAGCAAACTAGCTGTGCACATTTATAATTTCGGCTCTAACGCCAGGCGATACAATAACGATGTAAACACGCAAATTGCAGTAGACAGAAACCTTCTCGGCTCGGTCTACAGATAATAAAGAAACACATCAAATGCGAGTAATGAATTGAGACGTTTGCGACGTTGACAAACGAAAAGATGCAAACGTGTCAGCAATAAAGAAATAGACACTACCGGCGCTGGAGATCTAACATTCCCCCCCACAAATTTATGTACATAGGAAATAAATTTCAAAACACAACATGATCTCCAAGCCTCAATAGTCATTTAGTGCCTTCAACAACAAGAACTAGCTTGGTGATGGGACGCTTTACCAAGCTATTACGAATTTTAACAAGCACTGTTCGTATCAGTCCCTTCTTGTCTGGATACACATCCACGATTCTTCCCATTGCCCATCTTGATCGAGATTGAGAATCGTCTACCACCAGGACAACATATTCTTTCTTGAAATTTCTCTCTTTCTGAAACCACTTGTGTCGCTCAATAATCGTAGGCAGATACTCTCGAATCCATCTTCTCCAAAATTCATTTGCGAGATATTGAGATTGTGCCCATCGACGTTTAACATAGCAATCATTCTTGTCAAAAACTCCAGGAGGCACATTTTGATTTGACCGAAGTAATAACAAGTGATTCGGCGTTAAAGGCTCTTCATCCCGTGGGTCAAATGTTACAGGAATTATTGGACGACTGTTCAAGCATGATTCACACTCGATCAAGGCGGTCCTAAAAACTTCATCTGTCATAGTTTGACCCTGAGTAACAGCATTGAAAATTCGACGAATTGACCGAATCATTCGTTCCCATGCACCTCCATGATTTGAACCTGTAGGCGGTGATTTATGCCATGTTATCCCCTTTTGACGTAAGTATCCATGAATTTGAGAATCATTCCATATCTTCAAGGAATTTTCAAGTATTTTCTCTGCCAATACAAAATTACCAGCATTGTCCGAATATATATGAGTACAATGACCCCTTCGAGCAATAAATCGTCGGAGTGCACATATGAAAGAATCAGCAGACAAACTATTTACCACCTCGATGTGAACAGCACGAGTTGTCATACACGAGAACACACAACCCCATCTTTTCACATCACTCCTTCCCTGTCGAACAAGAAAATGTCCAAATAGATCAACACCAACATGACTGAACACTGGTTCATCCGATTTCAGTCGACAGGAAGGTAGATCTGCCATAAATTGTTTTCCAGGGCGGGCATTTCGCTTTCGACAAGAAACACAATTTCCGATGACCCTTCTTACTGCAACTCCACCTTTGATTATCCAGTACTTTTCTCTTAATGAGGTCCATGTATGACCCATACCTGAATGACCAACTTTGTTGTGATGATCCCTGATGACTAGATCCGTAAGATGTGATATATGAGGCAATATGATGGGATGCTTTGATGAATGCATAATTGGTGCATTTTCCAAACGTCCTCCTACTTTCATCAAACCATCTTCTAGAACAGGATTAAGTTTCAACATACGGCGAGAGCAATCACCTTTACTGATAGATTTACCATTTAATATACATTTCATTTCTTCACGAAAGCTTTGTCTTTGAACATATTCAATAATAACTCTTTCAGCATAGCCCAGTTCCTGCACAGTCAGTTTTGCTGGCAGTTCAGTAAGCTTGTCTATTGACTTTTTATGAGAACACAAATATTTCTTGAATCGTATGAGCCAACAAGTTGCTTTCTTCAAACGGTAGAATGTAGAAAAGAATCCTATGAACCTGTCCATGACAGAAGACTCTTCCTTTATTACAAATGCCGACTTTATTTCTGGAACTGGCTTTGGACAAAATTCAGACGGTGGATCAGGAAAACAGTCCGGCATCTTTGGCCACTTGTCTTCAGAAAGACGCAAAAACTCGGGCCCATTGATCCATCGTCCTGACTTTAAATATGCATCAACTCTAAGACCACGCGAAGCATCATCAGCTGGATTCATCTTCGTTGGAACATGGCGCCACTGTGATACATCAGTATTTCTATCAATTTTTGCTAAACGATTAGCAACAAATGTGGAGAATCGTTTCTTCGAATTTCTTATACTTTGAAGTACGGCTGTGGAATCAGTCCAGAAAGTTGAACTGCATTCATTCATCTTCAGTTCTTTCCTTAGGACAAGATTCAACTTTACAGCGAGAACTGCAGCTGTTAATTCAAGTCTGGGTATAGTTACACGAGAACATGGAGCAAGTCTTGCCTTTCCAACCAAAAATGCCACATGAATTTGGCCATTTTTATCGATTATTCGTAGATATGAAACAGCTCCATATGCTAATTCTGATCCATCAGCAAAGTGATGTAGTTCATAGGAAACAACTTTTCCAAAATCAAATGGCTGATAGCATCGCTGTATCTTCACCTGTTCTAAGCTTTGCAGTTGATGTAGCCAGTTTCGCCATTTAACAGCATCATCATCTGCAATTTCTTGATCCCATCCCAAATTTTGCTTGCAAAGTTCTTGCAACAATAACTTGGCAAGTAGCGTTATTGGAGCCGCTATACCAAGTGGGTCAAAAACAGATGCTACAATTGAAAGTATACCTCTCCTGGTATTTGGTTTGTCAGCAATATTAACCTTGAACCCAAACTCATCATTTGCCACATTCCACTGAATACCAAGAACTCGTTCTTTGACATTGCCATCAATGACATGATTTTGAACACATTTAGCTCTTTTTTCATCTGGAATCATAGACAGTAATTCATCATTATTGGTGAGCCATTTAGTCAAGTTGAATCCTCCTTTTGACATCAATTGTGTCAATTCCTTGACAATCTCTATGCCTTCATCGACCGATTCAGCAGTTGTCAAGCAGTCATCGACATAGAAATCTTCATTAACAATTTCTGAAATTCTAGGTTTGTGTTCGTTTCCAAATTTCACCACCGTCTGTTTCAAACAAAATGCAGCACAAGACGGACTCGATGCAGCCCCAAATATATGAACTCGCATACGATGTGGAACGGGTTCCTTTGAAATGTCCCCGTCATCCCACCATAAAAACCTTAGTGCATCCGTGTCCTGAGGTGCCACTCTAACCTGGTGGAACATTGCTTCCACATCGGCCACTAATGCCACTCGTCCCCTGCGAAATCTCAAAATTACACCCACGAGTGACGATACCAAATCTGGTCCGGACATTAAGCAATCATTCAGAGACACATTTCCATATTTGGCTGCAGCATCAAAAACTACACAAACTTTTCCAGGCTTATGCTGGTTCATGACAGGAAAATGAGGAAGATACCAAACTGTATTAGACGTATCAATTTCGGCATATGAAATTCTTTTGGCATATCCTGCCTTGATATATCCTTGAATAACTTCGACATACCTTTTATGCAAATCGGAATCTCTCATCAGTCTATTTTTGAGGCTACAAAGTCTTTTCTTTGCCATCTCTTTGTTATCCGGTAGATACTGCATCCCGGTTCTCCATGGCAAAGGAAGTTGAAAATGACCACCAATATGTTTCACCGAATTTTGCATAATTTCATACACTGCTCGATCTTCTCGAGAATTTGGAATATCAAGAACTGAAGTTTCATTGCCAAAATCTGTTGTCCACAGAGTTTCAATTTCCTTTTGTGTTTCCAAATCCTTACACTTGACGAAATTGACATAATGATCAGATGTAAAATGAACTTCTCTGATATCTGATGGCGACTCAAAACTGGGTCCGAACAGCGACCAGCCAAGAACAGTCTTCACTGCCTTAGGTGCTTTCCTCGGTCCATTTCGAACACTTTGGAAACAGACGAGTTCCGCATTGTCAGCCCCAATCAGAAGATTCACTGTTCCTCCTTCCAAGATAGGCAATTTTACATCTTGAAGATGCGGCATGATTTTAAGGAACCTTTAAGGAATAAAATTGCTTTCTGATTTATTTTTTCTTTTATTATTTTTGGCAATACACGCTGAAAAGCAAGTTCTTTTTTTGAATAGCATTTATTGTCTAGATAAAAGATCTGCTGACTTTCCTGTTTATACTTACTGTGTTTTTGTTGGCATACGGAGTTGCCAGTCAAGCTCTTCTTTATCCAAACGAAACAGATGTTGCTCAGATAATTGTCGGAATAATTTACAAACCTTATTGGCAAATATATGGTGAACTGTTCTTGGATGAAATTAACTACAATCCGAGTAAGTTTTACGTTTTAATATGCTTAACTGCGAACCAAGTAAGTGGTATCAATTTACTTTGTACCGACAATGAATAATGATTTGTATATATCAGGGGTAGCCAACCTGTCTTCGACTGAGATCGACTAAATTATTCGCAATATCTTCCGATCGACAATGAAATCATACACAATAATGAATGAGTACTAGATTTTGAACTGAACATCAATGAAGATGTTCCCGCTTCAAATCCTTGAACGCCAGACGCTAGAGCTGCTTGTGGATATGAGAATCTCAATGCCCTGTCTTATCCAGTCTACCCTACCTAGATTGTGAGCTGCAGAGCTAGAAAATTTTTGACAGAAAAGTTTAGGTTTTAGCTGAAGTATTTATTGTCTTGAACTTAAAAACCCCCATGGGATTACTCATATAGAATAAAACTCCCTTCCTTTTGGCCACATAAGAAACCGTTGTTTAATGTTCATGTTTGAATGAGCGATGCTTGAATATTGGTTGAACACAAATTCCGACCAGGTTTGTCGGTAAGACGCGATCAGGTGAGACTGACCACTCAAGACTAGAGACTGTGTTGGCCACTCCTGGTGAAATTATTAATGAAAGAAAGAAGTGAACTATTTACAGATTTACATATAGTTCAATGCTTTACTTTACAGTGTACCTTAAGCAAGATTTTAAACCATACACATTGTTGAGGAATCCCTTTTCTTGTTAAGATCTTGGATCTCTAACTTGCAATAATACAGACAACGACCTCCCACGATGTCCTCATGAGTCTGTAGTCGTTCCAATATTATCAGCAGTGTACCTGTTTTTTGCAAATATTCTTCTTCTCAATTTGCTCATCGCTATGTTTAGGTGAGTAAATCTACATTGTTTTGTAATGGGGTGTCCCACTTGTTCCACACATTTCTCTTTTAACACATTTTGACTCATTTGTTACAACACTCATGACTCATACATATAAATGGGATTCAAGTTTTACTCTGGGTTGGGATAAATGAAACACAAGACTTAGCCGTAAACTGGTTCACTCAACTGCTGGTCGTTTACGGCTTCCTAAAGCATTAGGTCGGTACATCTGAAACAACTGGCTAACTAATACCAAAAAGACTGGTATTCGATGAGAGGCCGTAGTTCACCATATAGTTAAGCCTACTTATTGGCTTTCCTTGTCCCGGGTAGCTTACTATCCTATTAAACTGAAGAAATTCTGCAATGCATGATTTGGGCTAACAACATCAGAATTTTTAATATCTCAATGTTTCAATTTCCTGTACATTTTACTGTAGAAATTGTTTCGCTGGTTACCAAAATTGACACTCCAATCCTGATAATTGTCAATATCCAAATATTTCACTAGAATATGATTTAACATGGTAGGCAAAAATCACTATCTTGTTGAACTAATAACTCGAATATGCATATTGATATCAAAGTAGATATTTCAATAATATCCAAATGAATACAACATCACTTATTATCCTTACAGTTACACATTTGATAAAGTTCAAAGTCAAGGAAAAGAAGTGTGGATGTTTCAACGATACAGTCTGATTGTTGATTATTGTAATCGGCCTCCATTGCCGCCACCACTTGTCATTTTTTGTTTTATATATTATGCATGTCAATATTTGAAATGGTATTGTAAAAAAAAGAACAAGGTTGGTTTCAACAATTTGTAAAATTTAATCAAAATAATTTCCAATAAAATAATATAACTGGACAGTTTAGGACACAATATTTCAACTATCGATAACACATTCTATATATCCTTCAAACTGGTGTGTCTATAAATTATTATACTTTATCATACACACTATACTTGCAAAAGCATAATCGGATATGAAGTGAGTATAAAGGTCATTTTACTGAATTGTTGTGATGAGAATTCGTTTCTCTTCACAACTGATGGATCAATTGTTGCTGTATGTAAAATACTTAAAGATGAAAATAATTTCAAGGAGACTCGCTCCCTCTTTTATATTAGTTGCTGGTCTCATCGCTCCATGTATGACAGAGTTTTTCAATTGCTCACTCTCACTTGGCATATTTCCTTCTTCTATCAAAACTGCTAGCTAGAGTAATTCCTTCTCTAAAAACCGGAAATAAAAATCTTGTGTCAATTTATAGACCGATATGAATCCTTTCATCGATTGATAAAATATTTGAAGCTTGATTCATAAGATGCTTACTAGTTTTACACTAGATATGATGTCATAAGATAATTCCAATTCGGTTTTCAAAACAGTCATTCCAGATCGCTCGCCATTTTAGACACTACATCATTTATTCATTCAATAATTATTTTTGGTGCTCCCGAAGTATGCGAACCAAGATGGCGGACATCGGAACGTAACAGGTTAGGCGATAATTTTTTACCAATTTTCTCTATTTTAGTCCTATTATCAGTTCGAAGACTAGCCAAGAGCCTCCCATAGTATTTATACCTAAAATTATGGCCTAACCCTAACCTAGTACACATATTACATTTCGATGTCCGCCATCTTGGTTCGCATACTTCGGGAGCCCCTTATTTTTTAATTTTTCTATACTTTTCTCTTGCTTCCTATTGATTCTTGCATGACGAAATGAATATCTGAATCTATCACTCTTATTTTTTCAAATCATACAGAGTTGATTATCCTACAGAGACAATATTTACCCAGAATTTTTATTTTTATTCTTAGAAATCTGGTACAATTCTTTTATCATTTGGCTCGTTTTTTTTGCTGATATTCCAATAGTCATTTGATGCTTATGTCTCAGAGCATTGCTCTCTTGCTTTTTTAAATTATAGCAGTAAAGTTGCTCTTCGCAGAGATAAATACCAAAATTCTCATCCTCTGACATTTGTGATTACTGTTCATCCTAATTACAGGCGAACGATTTTAATATCCTTTAATAGAAAGGCTGCCAATTCTATAAGAGAAACTCATTTTTAGAAGATGGAGCAAACGAAAAATATGGTGAACAACTACGTGAGTGGGAACATTGGTTGGCTGAAAAATACATCCGAGAAACACGTAAAACAGCTGATTCAACAATAGATAAAAAGATTGAAAAATTAAGTGATAGGTGTGTAAATGTTAATATTATGAATTTGTGTTCTGTTTTTGATATGTCAAACCAATGACATTAAACAACATGATAGGCAACTCTGACGTCACTCCATAAGACTACAGGCAAAACATTGTATTTCATGATACGCTCCAATGCACATATTTCTCGTCGCCTTTCGCGTCCGTTTTCCGCTCGCTCTTGCTACTCGGCGTCTTTTTTACGTATAGTACCTGCCTTTTTGCGCCTGTAACGAAACAAAATAATCTCTATATCTAAGAAGTTTTGCTTACTTGGAAAGCTGGAATAACAGGCAAGCTGTAAAGAGCAATTCTGAACATCATAGACGTTTTTTTTTATCAGAGAAGATTACAAACGCGATAGCGGAAAGATTTGTGTGGAACATTTTGCAGATAATGACAAAGTTCAAAGTTAGTAATTTTAATGTTTGCGCTTAATCATTGAAATTTCATTTAAAGAGGGTGTCATACAAAACTGTGCTGCGATACAATTCCATAACACAAAGTTTGCACCTATCGAACTTGCTTTTGTAGGTGAATTTATTAGACATATTACATATTCAGTTAATCGTAGGTAACATTGCTGGTACATAATGCATCGTAGATAGGTTTGTTTAAATTTAGGAATTTACCTCATAGCCCACTAATTAATATTATCTTCTATGCAGGAGGTTGCAGGGCTGAATTCAACTTGCAGCCTTACCGATCACCTGACGATGCTCATTTAGTTTGGCTCGAGCAAGTCTTCTTGAAATGCTTGTGTGGATGGAAACTACCTATATTTTTTGCCTTCCTCCGATTTTAGACAAATTTATTCTGAGGGATTTCGCATATAATTCTCACTGATTGTTGGCTGTTTATAATTCCTATTGATTGTGAATTCTGATTATAACAATGAGTTGAAAATTTTTTTACCTAATTTACTGGCACCTTTTTCTTGTCAATACTCCAAGCTGAGGTAATAAACATGACAATACATTTATGTCATCTGGAAGCAAAATATGCACACTAATTAATAGTTTGGCACATTGAGATAATACATCATGACAGAAAATACAAGTTAAAGATATGTATGACCAACACATGGTAATTAAAATTAAAAAAAATTAATAGGGGCTGTGGAGTATGGAAAGTTCAAGACAAAGAAAAGAACAAATGTTCATAGCTCATGAACTCTCAATTTTGCCTCCATTGCTTTGTGAAGGCCAGTATATTTCGAGTGGCTGAATTGGTTTACCTTTATGATAGCAACGATTTTGTATTTAATATAGCGAGATTATTTCAATTTAATTGAAGTGATATAATTTCCCAAAGCAATGCTTGAATCGTCTAGAATAGATCAGTGGTGTCAAACTCATGGGTTTTCGAGAGCCGCATTGCATTTTGAAAATTGTAAAAAGAGCCGCAAACAGTTTTTGATAATGTATACTTAAAAGATATTTTTAAGATAGTTTTAGTTTGTGACATATATTGTGATGCAACTAAACAGTTGGATTAAGTTTTATTATTTTCTTCAATTTCAAATGCAATTACATATTAATATTTGCATTCCACTATTATTGCAACATTTGCAAGTTACAGTATTTATTATAAAAAATCGTAAAATTCTATGTACAACCATCAAAATCATTTTTGAACAAGCTTTGAATAAGGAAAGAATAATACATACACTAAAAATAACTTAATCTAAATATATGAACCTAAAATTAACAAAAATACTACAGTATAAACTCAATGTTTTAATAATTACATTTGTCCTGGCGTTTGGCATCTTTTTTGTGTCACCAGCATACTAAGGCCAGTCTGAAATGATTTTATAGTACCAACTCTAACTAACGAGGCCACATGATCATGGGTTTATCTGGATCTTTACGAATGTTTAATTAATTCCAGTAATGCAAAAAAGTTACTTTTATCATTTCATGTATAGATCAGTAAAAAAACAAATGACAGATTTTTTCGACAAGACATTTCGCACTACATTGCGTGGCATAGGATTGCTTGAATTATTATTGATATTGATTTTTAGTAACTAAGTCGTTGTATAATTATATTAATATACAAACACATGGAAATTTTCTGTTCGAAGTTGGTCTTCGAATTTGTCATATTGACTGCTGAGCTTATTGTGTTTTTTGATTGTATTGATGGAAATATGACAAATTAAACAATGTGCTTCAGAATTTTGTGAAGAGCAGAAATGTTACAACTCCCATTTTCTTCGAAAATGCCACCTTCTTCATGTACTTTGCGTTTAATTTAATTACTCAAGTGTTTTATTCAAGTATTCTTTTGCTAGCTTGATGTGTATTCTTAATTGGGTCAAAATGTGGACAAAAAAAATCAATATTCCAAAAACTACTTTCAGTAAATTGTTTTCTGTGTGAATAATCAATTTCACTTTAGAAGGTTTGAAAAATCTATTACATTTAGATAAAAAAAAAAAAACTTCCATAATACTATTACAATTATTGTTAAACGTTCGAGGGCCGCACTGGAAGTTCTCTGGGGCCGCGAGTTTGAGATCCCTGGTCTAGATTGAAGTTGTTCAAAAAATATATGATAGTATTTTATCATGAATGATGATTATACCCCTTCCGGAATTTCTTCTATAGTACTACCAAAAGTTGATGAACCAAATATAACACAGGTGCAGTGAGGTACCCGTAATCCTCATTTCCAAAGCTGTTTTAAGTATGTCTGGCGTGTTTTGTGCCTTTTTACAAATAAGACCGCTTATGCAATCTTACGCTTTGGAATTTTTAGTTATTTTCCTCAAGCCCTGCAGGATGTGGGGGCCATACACAACTCTACCGGAGGGTCGAATGTCTTTGCATGCCTCCATAGGTTGTTTTTCTATTGCAATTTTCTATTTTCAAATGCATTATATTTCTTGGAATCACACTGTCACTGATATGTCGCCAGACTTCTGATATCTCTCCGTCTGCTATAGTTGTCCTGTGAATAAATAATAGGAAACTGAGATTAGACGAATAGTTGAAAGTTTTGCTTTGTGTCGGCTTAATTTCTTGATTGATATACTTACTATTTCTGCTATTGCCTCTTGTGCTGCAAGAGTCTCACAATGCTTAGACAGGTTTGTCCACAACTTTCACATCTGAAGAAAGAGAGGAGATTTATTAATTTTCGTTAAGAATAAATAAAGCAGTCTATATGATTCAGAATGGAAAAGCTACTAAATCCAATATCTCATGTTTTATTTAAAAAATATTTTACTGAATTTGGTATATAAACCAACTAATAAAAGGCTTTAGTCAGAAAATTACAAGCATTCGTGGCTCCAAATACTTGAGAAATCAGACTATACAATATAGACCGGTATGAGTGAAATGTTAGGTGAACTTGTTAACACTTTGATTCAATACGCAAATAAAAGTGAATGCGTAATAGTATGTTACAATGAGCAGCAATCAACAATGAGTATATATCCTCACTGGTTAAAAAAATCTAACTGGAGGTGCATGAACTATTTGAAACCATAAGGGGTAAGTAAATATGTAATTTCGGCAAATGGGCAACTACGTACCGTACTGAATTAATAACTTCGTAGTATTTGACAAAGGCTGGCTTTCACACATGTACTTAACAGTGGAATGCCCGGGTGTGATATACAACAATAGTATTCACCTTACCTTTTACCGATTTCTTTTTACCCCAACTTTCAAAAATATCATTAAAATCGACAACAACTGTCAAAGCAGGCACGAACACCATTCGTGCTACGCCTTGAAAGCAGCACACATCCGCTCGTTTTCGTCTCGTCAAGTATGTGCATTGGAGCGTGCTATCGAATACGATCTTCGGACAAAAATGCCGGAGTTGCGCATCATGTTGTTTAATGTCATTGGTCAAACTAAGAGAATTGAAACCATTAAATACTCATAGAAGTCAATAATAAAATTTGAAAGGGAGATATCGGCATGCAAATGTGTGATACAATCGTAGTAAGACTTTTGTGGCTTACCAACCTTTCTCAAACTTCATTTAAGTTTGATTCACTTTTTCCAAAACTAATTCTGCACGTTCTCTTATTAGGATAACTCATGAGCTTGACATCATTAAGTTCAAACTTCAAGATATGATGCAAAACCAAAAAGAATCGGTACGAATATAAATGGATTTACCTAAACTTCTGACTGAATATATCTAACTAAAATCATTAGTCTTTCTCATATGAGTAGTACATTACTATGTGAGTTTCTTTACTTTTGGAATGCATGGATTTATACAATTAAATCACACCTATTTTAATAATAATAAGCTTACTACCGATATCGCATTTTTTGATTGGTGAATATTCACACTTAACCGCTTGGAAAATTCATGGAGGATAATGTCATGAGATTTAGCTGGTGATTCTTGTACGCAAAATGGATGGTTTTCGAAAAAAAATTATTGTTGTAATTCGCCTTATGGACGTTGTGCAAAAAACCACTTTTCTCTGTTAATGTTTAGGAGGCTATTGCTTTTATATTTATTCATATCTCCTAAATAATTCCCCACTTTTCTATATTATTTTGCTCGACATGGTTTATACAATCAATAAATCAGTGCCACAGGTCCAACAATTAGGGTCATCTATAGGCATTGCTCACCTGTTCAGAATATTAAGGTTGGAATGCTTTTTTGCTAGTTTTGCAAGGGTTTTTGATTTTTGCTCTCCAGAGACTTTGCAGCAATCAACAAAGTGTTCACAAAAATAAATGGTATTATGTATACTGTTGGTTGTGTTTAATTTGAAACCTTATAATTGCTGTATGATGACACAAAAAGCCATGAAACCAAATATATATAGTTAATCATATCGTAATATTTTCATACTAAACCGAAAATACACCCTTATCAATCATTAACTTGGAATAATCATACAACATCAAAATTAATGCTATATACCTCGCTTATACAGATTTATTGTATTTTCAGCCAAATTAAGAAGCCGAATGAACAAATTAGATGTGTGACAGTAATATTTGACTATCGCCACCTCACAGCATGTTTTTGGAAAAATAGCAAGCCTCCCTTAATTAGTTAATTAGTGTTGAGAGCATGTATTTGTACAAGTAATGCATTATACCACTCCTATGCCTCTGTTTGTCTTCCTATTAATAATGTTTAATTTTTATTCACATTGGTGAAGTATATATATAAAATTAATTTTAAATGTATATATAAAGTGAAATGATTGATTTACATTAGATTGATTAGGTTAGATTGATTCTGGGCTAAATAATGTAATGTAAAAATAATGCAAATCACAATTGTCATAATCTATTATTTCTATATTTCTTCTAGAAACCATTTGACGCGTGATGCTACCAGTTGAATATACATAAGCAATCAAATTTTAATATTATTATTAATAATGTAGTGATGCTTCAATCGATTTCAATAAAATATTATACAGCTTTCAAAAAATAAAATACTCGTCTTTATCAAATCATCATTATTACTTTCGTAATTCAACTCAGAGAGGGAAGGTGATGACTCGATCAGGCAACGGACAATATCTTCAGTTCGTTATGCACGAAATCCTGGATAAATGCAAACCCTTCGAAAAAAAAATGATCCGCAACACATTTAAAGCTCATTCACCCATTCTTAGAGCTATACGATTATGAATAAATAAATAATACGGTTATTACCGAAAATCGATATGACCAATTAGAATACAGTATACACGGTGGTGGGTTAGATGGAACCTTCGTAATATATAATATAATGTCTTGCAATCAGCATTTATGTGGGAATGGATCTCGCTATCGTACTTATTAGGCTCGTTAGTGTTCCCGTCTCTCTTCGTGCATTCCCATATCGATGATCAATCAGTTAACAGTTATATAACAAATGAAATCTGTGCAGCCGTTTAGACACTTTATCATGTATGGTTTTAAACATAAGCTCATTTTCGTTGGCTTTTTCAGATTTTATTTATGTTTATCAAAAAACTCAGGGACCCCAAAACACCAATAGACTAGCCAAAAACCAGCTATCATTACTTTTAAATGGCAGGGATGAATATTTTGAATGAAAATGGTGGTTATAAACATGTAGGACTATTTGTAAAAGCCAAATGACGAAAATACTCCCAAATGACTAATCAAAAATTTTGCAATGGAGTCGAAGGTTGGTTTCCCGTGAATGCGAAGAAAGGTGTGACTGAAGTAACTTGAACATTATGATTTCTCTTGGAAATTATACTTGAGTACTTTATCACTATAACAAGGAACAAACACGAAGTCGATGTGTTTTTTCACCAGTCACTCGACTAGAATTTTCTGAACATTTTTCATATTATCAGCTGTTTCATCAATTTATGTTATACGAATCGCCTTGTTGGAAACATTGTAGCGATAAAAAAAACATTCTACGTAACCAATTGACCAATTGATTTCAATCAATCAGAATTTAGTACTTGAAGATGTTTGTAGCGTAATTTTCGCGTGTAACCTGATATTTCGATGATTTAATTCATGGGAGCACTTCAGTATATATGACTTTTCACTTCGGAATGATTATTGCCTTTTTGCCCGGGCTGAAATTATTTATATTACTCATGTGTTTTTGGATCCCACTCATTTTCCTATTAATATGGTTCTCATTTCTGTTTCGTCAGCTGTTTGTAACAGGAGGTTTATTACGTGAAAATGTAAGTCTATGTTTCGTATTGTTGCTGTATTCTTTGTGATGTTCTTAATGGTAAAATAATGCTCTACATAAATTTGTGATTCATTTTTTGGAAATATTTTGGCCAACATTATGTGTTGATTTAAAATAAAAATCTATCACACATTGGCAATTATAATACAGGTCGAATAACTTACTCATTTGGCCTCAAAGTTTATATTCGATATACGCATCATCTTTAACATGATTTCGTTCGGATTTTGACTTAAATTATATGTCTTCGTGCGAGACCAACGACTAACATACCGTGCGAGACTGTATTTAACAAAAATATGAGGTAGGCTATATATATTTTTTTAGTTAGTAGCTGTGTGTAATCATTGATGAGTCGAGTAAATAATGTACATCATGTAATAAATATCATATATTGTTCGACCTTCACAGATGTATTAAATGAAATGAAAATACCTACTGGTAAAAAACTACTGATATAAACAACAAACCTGGTTGAGATATATGGAGAATTGACTTCAAAATTGAAATTGTATATAGACGTTATGAAGACCCTGTATATCTGTGATCAAATGCCGTAGAAAAAATCTATGAAGCGCTCAAAAATATTAAGCCTACATCAGTTGATGCTGAGGCTGCTTTTGCATCTGTTGTGGTTACTTGTGCTAATAAAATCAAGGGTCAATGATAACAGCAGTTTCATAATAAATTTATGTACTCATCCAAATTCCGGTACAATACGAAATAACCATTTTCAACAGTCAAACAAAACGGAAACGTACAATCCGACTTGCAACTGACAAGAGCCAACTGGACGTTTTTGTTTGCCGTCCAGTAAACAAAGTCACGTGACCCGTGCAAGTCCTCTATACCTTACAATTGCGAAATTTACGTACAATCCGACTTGCAACTGACAAGAGCCAACTGGACGTTTTTGTTTGCCGTCCAGTAAACAAAGTCACGCGACCCGTGCAAGTCCTCTATACCTTACGATTGCGAAATTTTTGGGGCTTATTTTAAGAGTGGTTTTGCGAGTTGGCGCCTGTAAAATGGGGTACTTGTTTCAAACCATCAATATAATTCATCGCATACAGCAATCTGTTTTTTAAAAGTACCGGTAAAGAATTCCAGCCTAGTCTAGCACAGCTATTTCTACACTATTTTTTTTATTACTGCAATCAAATTAAAACTTCTGAGAAGACAGAGTGAACATTGAATTATCTGATGTATATTTAAATTTCCGAAACACACTTGAAAATTAACAGATAGAGTTCAAAAACGCGAAAACGAAGTAATGTTTACGATCACGCCTGAAAACCTGTCTGGGTGATAAAAGTGTCTGAGCGGAAGTGTGAAGGAAGCATTGTTACGTCTCATTTTGAATCTTGCTGATTGGCCAATGTCACGAAGTAAACAAGGAAGTCGATGCCCGGGGGAAGGTCCATTTCTAGACTAATTTTTTATTTCCACTTCCGTGGTAAACACCACCACCAGTGCCGCTGTCGCGTTCAGTTGACTTCGCGCGAGTTCCGATCCAACAAAGACTGTCAGACTTTGACAGCCGCTTTGTTTGCCCTTCTATCTAATTCAGACCACTGTGAAGCTAGCAGCACTTTCAGCCAGAATATTTTTACACATTGAATATAGGTTCTACGCGCAAATAGTGTTCACTTATAATTACATATAAAATTGAAAAAGTTGATCAAAATATAATTTTAGCACGGAAATACATGAAAAATCTTCAAACTGACTGAATACAATGAATTTGACAAAAATATAGTGTTTAAGAAAAGACCAACTGAGCGAAAAATGAATTTTCAAGTATTCCGCAAATACGAAGTTTCGAAAAATTATCGTATTTAAAACGTCGATTTCTCGAAAACCGCCAATAAAGGCAGCACTACGACACATTCGGAGAAAAGCAGATACCTTATAGATTGGATTTCATTATGTCAGAACAGTAGAAGCACGTTTTGACTTGGCCATATATAATACCAAACATAGCATGTATTTAAAATTTTGTAAACAATGCAGACGTAACATATTTCAAAACCGTTTGGTATTTCAACTAAATTTACTAGACATCTAATGGAACATCTTTTTCTCTTGGACATACATATATACTGTACGTTCATTAAACTTGGAATAAGTTGCGAAAAGTATAAAATACCAAAAAACATTTTACGTCCCCTTGTGGATTATTTCAAAAAATTATCGTATTTGAAATAGCGATTTCTCGAAAACCGCCAATAAAGGCAGCACTACAACACATTCGGAGAAAAGCAGGTACCTTATAGATTCGATTTTTATATGTCAGAACAATAGCAGCACGTTTTGACTCGGCCATATATAATACCAAAAATAGCGTATAATTTTCAATTTTATTAACTATGTAGATATAACATATTTGAAAACGGTTTGGTATTTCAACTGAATTTACTGGATAATTCATCAAATACTTTTTTCTCTTGGTCATACATCAAAACCGTACGTTCATTAAACTTGGAATAAGTGGGCAAATCTTAAAATAACAAAAAATGATTTTACGCCCTCTTGTGGATTTTTTCCGGAATTTTTGAAAAAATATCGTGTTTGAAAAGGCGATTTCTCAAAAACCGCCAATAAAGGCAGCACTACGACACATTCGGAGAAAAGCAGGTACCTTATAGATTTAATTTCATTATGTCAGAACAGTAGCAGCACGTTTTGACTTGGCCATATATAATACCAAATATAGCGTGTATTCAAAATTTTATAAACAATGCAGACATTGGTTATTGGTGTATGTTTAATAGAAAAAGATGTTTGATGTATTATCTAGTAAATTTAGTTGAAATACAAAGCACTTTTTAAATATGTTACGTCTGCATTGTTTATAACATTTTGAATACACGCTATGTTTGGTATTATATATGGCCAAGTCAAAACGTGCTGAGACTGTTCTGACATAATGAAATCGAATCTTTGAGGTTTCTAGTTTTTACCAATGGTGTTGCAATGCTGCCTTTATTGGAGGTTTTCATGAAACGACCGTCCTAAACGACGAAAATTCAGTCATTTTTAAACAACTCTCAAAAAAGTATAAAAAAGTTTTATGCCCTGTAACAGTCGCTTTAGCTTGTTTACTATGTATTAACAATACGAGGAGTGTAGTTAATGATTGTTATGCTTTATTTGCTATTGTGAAACTAATCAAAATGTACACTTTCTTTTAGAAATGATTGGGAACATTTAATTTTACGCGTGGGTATTTTCTCCGATTCTGTCAGTCACAATTTCGTGTTTTGCTGCTAGCTTCACAGAGGTCTAATTCAGTGATTCCAATAGAATGGAATTGTTATTAGCCTATTGCAACCGGATTCACATGATAGTGTAGAAAATGATATTCTCATTTCTTTTTATTTTGAAGAAATTCCTACAACAAAAGAATTGCATATAGCCTAATGTATGAAAAACAATACTGGCATAATAATTTCATTAACACTGTAATAGGAAAGTATTGAATATTGCTCAGATCAGAGGTATACCGTAGCATAACAATATACGATATAAAATGGATAGATATCTGGGATTACTAGACTATATTCCAAAAAAATTGCAAATATTAGGATGGAAAATATAACATACAGATATATGGTACCGGTATGACATTAGAAACGAGGATAAAATAAGGCAGTAAAGCAGTAAAGCGTCGGGTAGAAAATGATGATGGGTATTTTGAGCTCTGTAATAACTGTAGAAACATTTATTTTTGAATGTGTTTATGTTCGACAATTCTGGGAAAGGTGTAACATTACACCTCTCCAGTACTAATGTTTCTACAAAATGTAAAACCCATATTACTGTATTAGGACTAATTATTGCGTGCGCGAAAGGGGCAATATGGGATTTCCGATATTATATTTGAAGAAGGGCATACTTACCAATCAACCATGCGAACAATTTTTAAAATGCAAGCTGAAAGCTGCAATCAAATATATGGGGGAAGGAACAAAATTGAAAATAATGAGCGATGAATCCATTAATGCTGTAATGTGTTACTTGATAAATCTGTTATGCTTTAAATAGTCTTTGTATAGTGCTATTTCATTTAAATTTATAATATCTACGGTATTTATTGTGGATCATGGTATGGAAGTTTTTCTTATTCCTATCTAATTTTTTGAAAACTTTTAATTTTCCATGCAAATTAATTACTAATGGTAATATAATTATAAATTAACATGATGACGCGGATCAACTATACTGAACTTCAAATGGACATGGATTTAATATATATATAGACTATATTTGATTAATAAGTTGGGGGTCTTGCTACTTACTGAATACAGCGCAAAACACCGCAAAAAGAAAAGAAATAAAGGAAAGTAGTGCAAAACAGACAGACAGATGTCAACAGCGCAAAACGGGAGACGCAGTCATTACCACCTCCTGTCACGGAAGAACCACGGCGTCTGTCGCCATGGTTTTATAGCGGTACTTCTGGTATATTTACAAGGTTAGGTACCGGTACCGGATTCTAGGTCATCATGCGAAATTTTAGCTACTTTTTTTTTTATCTAACCCTAACCCTAAAGCCAAATCAATCCAAACTGTATCCATATGCTGATATGGAAAATGTTCTAAATTATGGTATCAAAAATGTGTCACCAGCAGGGGCAGACCTGCCATTGCCATTACAGCCTACATGTCTTGGTTTGGTTTCTGTAGGCTTGTTTTTAAGGCTTGTGTAGTTTTGTACCTCAAGTACTTCTAGTGCAGAAGTGGGTGTAGCATAACGGTAAGGATTTTTGCACATGTCAATCCTGACTCTGCCATCCAAAAATTATGTCCCAATCACGTCATACAGCTTTCCAAAGTATACCTACAATCGCCCGAAATAGCATCTTCAACGATAAAGAAATCGGGTCTAGTGTAGTTTCGTACCTACAGAGTACTAGTACAGACTACAAAGTACTTCTAGTGCAGGGGGGGGGGGCAACCTTTTTCGACTCGCATGCCAAAATCGGCTAAATTTAACGACAAAATTCTTCCGCGTGCCAACCAAAATTAAAAACAATGGTTTGCTGCTTTAAAAAAAATACAAAGTAATAAACCTTTTAAACATTAGACAGATTCACTATTCGGGGAAATATCGGTCCGGCAAATAGACTTTATTACTTTTCTCATTCTATATTAGTGAGACTAATTAGTCCCGTATTGAGAGTAGCCCAAAAGATGAAACCAAGTAGTAAGTGTACTCTTTTAAAGTTGTAATATAAACCCAATGTAAAATCTCTATCAGCGGTAATGCAGCAGCTGAAGTCTTACTGATATGGAATAAGAAAAGTATTAAAATCTATTTTCCGGACTGATATTTCATATTATGACTGAAGTTCATAACTGGAAACAGAGATATTCAGAACATTCAGAAGCATATGTAGATGAAAACGTGAAGAGTAATGCAGTTGCAAAGTTTTTAAGACACAAAATATTTTCAGGAATGGCACCCCAATCACGCAGTAGTTCGTTTTCTGCGCTTTTCTTTTGTATTCCCTTCCCTCATCGCTTATATTTCGAAATTAATTTATAAACGTAGGTAAGCAAGTAACTCTAACCATCATGAGCTGTACAACTTCATAAATGAAGCAGAATGAAGAAAAAGGATGGCACATACAAATCTTATCTCCCCTGTTCTAGTGGGAGAAGCATAACAATTTTTGCATATGTCTGTATGTCAATCCTAACCTCCACATGACTGCACCATCCAAAAATTATATCACTACGAGTCTACGACATCACAGTGACGTAATAAGGCTCTTCAAACTATACGAACTGTCAGTTCGTGAAGACGATCACCCGAAATCGAATAAGCTATTTTTAGCATTTTCTCGACGAAATGATATGACAGACATCGTTGCCGTTAGTGAGTTCTTTATCATCGGCGCAGATGCCATTTCGGGCGATTGTAGGTATACCTTGGCGAGTTCTATAGCGTGTTTGAAGGACGTTATTACGTCACCGTGAGGCTGTAGTGACGTAATTTTTGGGAGACCTAGTCAGGTGGGGGTTAGGACTGACATATGCAAAATTTGTTATGCTACACCCACTAGAAATACCTGAGGTACGAAACTACACTAGACCCTAGTTTTTAGCTATGTGAATAACTAGGCTTCAACTTGATCTCTCATTTACTAATGAAATGATTTTTAAAATATAGGAACTGTTATTTACTAAACCAGTAAACCTAGACATACACAATGCCAAGACGAAAAAATGATCCTAGCAAGCTTGAAACTGAATCTCCAGACGAGAAGAGAATCAAACAAGATCTGTCTACTGAAGATTCCTATGAGGATGATGAAGTGGATGTAATGGTATGTGTCACTTACCACAGGCAGACAGTGATTCCGGAGCCATAGTGTCTGGGTGTATTTGAACTCCGGCTGTGGGTCTACATTTTTTACCTCGGAGGCGGCTCCATAACCATCTACGTTTTCAGGTGTCACCACTATCATTAAACATCAGCTCCAATGCAGTTTCGTGAAAGCTGGACTCTAAGGGTTTTAAACTTAAATTTTAAAATTCATATGAATTTAACTCAAAATTCAATGAAGTAATAGAAAATTATAAATGTGAATTAATAATCGGATGGTTAGGAGCTGCTGCTGGAGCCACTAAAATTTATAGTAACTTCGTCTCCAGCTTCACAATAGTGTACTTTTTATCCTATTTTTTGTAATTAATTATTTAATTTTTTTCCTTGATTGACTGTCCGAAATTTGAGTTCACCTGAGCGGATTTACCCCTTTATTAATTATCTTAACGTCTCATTGCCATTGGTCTAACACGTTTTTCAAACTTGACGCAAAATTTTGTGCCAAAGAAACACAACTACCGGTAATTGTTGACGTCCTTGTCGCACAAAACATGCATTTGCAGAGGGATACTTGGGAGAGAAGGAAATGTAGTTTACTGACATAATACCGATGTTCACAGCCATATAATTACATCTCACTGATGAAAACAATCAGCTTTTGCAACAGAATTCAGAAATTGGCAAAAATTTAGCATTATTAGTGATTTTTCAGTCTTCATGAAATTTCAAATAGAGCGGGAGTCCTAAGTGCAGTGTAATTGTGATCTTATTATGAATGATCTTCACTGCAGAGGCAACTGCCTAGCTATACCTTGCACATATGGGACATTGTGGTGATAGTAGTAACCCATTATGAACTTACTAAAATTCAATCTTCACATGATATTTTATATTTATTTTTTAGAAAATTCCATTACCTACTGAAGAAGGTGAATTGGTTATTACTGGGGGATTGAATTGGAGTACTAATGGAAGAAGAAAGCCAAAAAAAGGAGATGGTACGAATAAATCTTCATGGTTTAATTTTTTATCTTAAAGGCCGCTAACTTGCATGTGGAATTAGCGTTATTTCGATACATTAACGAGTGCTTAGATATAATTATCCTAAGACTTTCAATTCTTTACATTTTATTATAAGCAAAACTTTTTAAATATATTTTCATGGGTGCTCCTGAAGTATGCGCACCAAGATGTCGCAAAACCTGAACCCTAACCTGGTACACAACCTGAGTTCAGGTTGTGCGCCATCTTGGTGCGCATACTTCAGGAGGTCCTTTTTATGAATAAAAATCCAACGCAATTATCATGTGTAAGTAAGTGATGTAGTATAAATATTACAGGACTTTTGCAGTGTATGATATTGTTATTTTATTTACAGAGAAATTTGCCAATATCGGGAGAAATTTGTACAAACCTCACAGATATAAGGGTTACTGTGGAATAAAAGTTGCCAAAATAATAAGTGGATGTACAGCTAACCACAACCTTGCTATATCAAAAGAGGGGAAACTTTATTCATGGGGTAAATGATTTTAAGTATTTATTATAAACTTATGGCATATATCATTTTCAAGTGAGACTTTAGTGAAACTTGATTGCAGAGTGCAGACACCAGACAGTAATCTTCTTTGTCACATAGCGCTGTATTTTTTGTTTATATTTCTGTGATCTCATTTCCTGCTATGGATTGCTGTTTTAAACTAGGATGTAAAATACATGCAGTTGTCTGCTTGAATAGCTTCTGGTAATATGAGTTTTATAAATGCCTTAAGCTTTGATGGTAACTTGTCTTTATTATAATATGATATAAAACTGAACCTCCTTGATTAGCTTGGGTTAACTGGCGACAGTTATATCAATTAATATCAATATATTGATAGCCAAAATTTGTCATAAATTTGTATGTATTATTTGTCCAGGGTTTTTGTTGCATTGTGGTTATATGGATTACCAGCAGTGCTTGGCCAAGCCTTGAACATTTGAATTTTTGGACTTGAATCGTGATTTGATTAATTATTTTTGGTTTTTATAATAAGTTGTGTTCATTTTAATCTGTAAAGGCAGAAATGAATTTGGTCAACTTGGGCATGGTGACACAGACAGGTATGATCTTCCCAAGCAAGTCGAATCGCTTTCTCATTTAAAAATTGTCAATGCTGCAGTTGGTAAAAGTCACACGCTTTGTCTGACTGATTCTGGAAAAGTTTATGCTTTTGGAGAAAATACACAAGGACAGTTGGGAATAGGTTTGTAATATTCACTTCTTTTTGTTGTTTTCCACTTCAAAGTAGAAGTCAGTGAGTTCAAAGTAGAAACTAGAGTAGGCTATATCATTTCATGGTGCATTTTCACTTACCGTATGTTTTGAAACATGTCTCTAGACAAGTAACCTCTGATGTAACCTCTGTATATAAAGAACTACTATTTCATGCCGAAATCCTTTACTGCGGGACATACCAAATGAGATTCAACCTTGGGCTGTCCTTGACAGTGGGACTTAGGCATTAAACCAAAGATTTCTCAACTCTCCGACACCAATATAGTTAGTTGCACTGCTCTACCCACAGCAAAAATATGCTCAAATCCGTTTCGGAACTTTGTGAAGAACAGTTAGATTTGTGACTTCTGTATTTATAATTTGACAGTTAGCATAAAAGTTAAACCTAAATTATGCACAAGAACCTCAAAATACCTAATTGATGTTTGATGTTCATATGTCTGATCTGGGATTGATGACAACTTCACATGTTTTGACGTTTGTTTTGCAACGATGTATATATTCAACTTTCCAGGCAAACAAAGCTCATATGTGCCTAGTCCAACTCAAGTAAATATGAAGAGTTTTGTTGTTGATATCTCATGTGGAGGTGAATTCAGTATGATTGTTGATATTGATGGTTATGTGTATTCATTCGGATGCCCTGAATATGGACAGCTCGGTAAGATATTAGTTAAGAATGGCACTATATATAGATAATATTTTCTGACATTTTTCAGAAATATGAGTATGTGCAAATATCTATTCCAGATCAGTATAATTGTGGTAGTAATACATATGCATGATTTACTATTGATATTGCTTTTATATGCTCCAGAGGACATCCTACGAAAATTGTGCCCAACTAAAAGAAATTTTCTAATTATTGGAAAAGCCTTTTTGTTCTGTATGCTAGTCTCTTGTTGCTTCAAAATAGAGTAGGACTTGCTATATATCACTATTTTATTCTCCTACTTCAAAATTCTGAAAATTCAGAATGAAAATTTATTTGCAAAAATGAAAGTATATTTACTGCCAACTTATTATTGCAGCATAGCATTTCATGTCCCCTTCCCAATAAGGCGAGTATTTACTGTAAATATTGTTCAAATGAATTCATTTTCATTGTAGGTAACAACACCGATGGAAAATATTTTGTGGCAAGTAACAAATTGTCTTTTGATTCCGTTTCTTCACCTTTTCGTATCCCACTGTGGAGAGAAAAAACTAGAAGTGGTCAAGTTATTCCAGTTCAAGATGTCAAAGTCATCAAAGTCGAATGCGGAAATAATCATACAGTGAGTGAGAATTTTTGGAGCAAGAAGCAAGCACGCAAATAGGGTAGATCAGTGGTTCCTAAACTTTTTTAGAGTTGGAACCCACTATTTATTACCACAGCTTATGGCGACCCATTTAACTTTTTATGACATAACACAGAACACAGCAATGGCTAATCATCGCAAAACTACCGTGTTTCCTCGAAAATTAGACCAGGCCTGAAAATAAGGCCTAATTTGAATTTTAAAAATGATTTTGGTTAAACCCTCCCCCAAACATAAATTTAAAATGTCTGGGAGAGGAAAGGTTCAAAGACCTGAGGTAAGGTGAGCTAATCAAGCCACTATTCAAGATTGTGTGATTTCACAATCACAATTATGATATTTGTCACTTGATTTTTGTATAGTAAATACAAATAAAAACAATGGATGTCGGTTTTCATATAATGTTTATTAAAAATCTCGTGATTTTCTACAATGTAGTTTTATTTTGGATAGATGAACACTAAAGACCTTTTCCAAAAAATAACCATGGTGTTATTCTTCAAAAAAAAATAAATATAAATCCTGTCTAAATTTCGGGGAAACACGCTAAGAAGTGCTGTACAGTGTACAAAACTGCTAAGCGTAAAAATGCCACATGGTCATTTTTCGTGTAGCAAATTTTTGTTCCTTTGAAACCGTAAAAGGAAACTTTCACAGATTAGAATTCAAATTTTATTTTTTTTTTTGAAGATTTACGTATCCGATCCTAATAACGCGTATAATTAATCAGAGCTTTCTACATCTTTTCACGACCCACTAAGATTCCTTTTGCGACCCACCAGTGGGTCGCGACCCATAGTTTGGGAACCGCTGGGGTAGATTGTTCAAAGAATTTGAATAAAGAGAATTGAATACAACATGATATGTTTATTTATTAATTGTAAACATCTCGACAACAATCTATGGAGTAAATTTCCTCAAGCATTTATTTCATTTTATTACCAAAGTGAAGGATCACTTTGCTTGTCCCATAATATTAGCTCTCTGCTTATTTAAGCTTTTCATTTTCATCAATTCAAACAAAGGTGTTATAAAATCTCTACTTGATTTGTAATTCATATCATAATAATGGCTTGTCAACATACCAGCGAATTATACATACATATACTACTATTTTCCAGATTGCATTGGATTCCAAGAAAAGAATATTTACTTGGGGATTTGGCGGATATGGACGACTGGGTCATTCAGAGCAAAAAGATGAACAAACTCCTCGCTTGGTTGAAGCGTTTAATCGAGAAAATAGAGGAGCAACACGTATATTTGCCGGGTCTACATTTTCACTTGCAATTAATGAATCGGGTAATTCAATTGCACTTTTGAATAAACTATAATCTGAAATCAAATAGAAACAAGTTGTATAACGGTACGATTCAGTTTTTGAGCAAAATATGTATAATTAGTGACTAGAGATTGAAATGTTATTTATTTAGTCATAATATTGGATCGTTTTTTTTTTCTGTATTCCTGGCGAGTAAGTGGTCACTTGTGAGTTTATATCGTTAGTGAGTTTTTTCTGATCTCTGAGTGACTGTGTGTGATTTTGCATGAAGCAATTATCCAATTATGTTCCAATTATCAATTTGTACTATAATTATTCTTCGGGCTGCATGAATAATAATAATTGTTAGTGGCCCTCTTTCATAAATGCTTCAAAATTAATTATTTCATCAAATTATTCAATTTACCAAATGATGTACCTACCTACCTAAGTATTTTGTACTTCTTATATTTCCCATGAACCGTTTTAGGTAGGATTTGCTCGTTTAAGTAAGGTTAATCTTTCTTATTATATTTATCTACTTTCCTTTCAGGTATGACCATGTTCTGGGGTTTGCAAGGAACTATTAGTAGTCGTGAAACCACAATGTATCCTAAGCCAGTGCAAGATCTAACTGTGAGTCATACTAACACATTTTCAAACCTTTTCTTTAAAACTTTTCATTGCTCTATTTCCTTAATTAGCTTTTTGTCAATGACAAGAAAAAAATATAGGCTATAAGAAAGTCATGTGAGTGAGTGCATTTCGGACAAAGCTGCACCTAGTAGTGATGAGCTGTCAGGGGTTTACCAAACGGTGAATTCTGTAAATAAATTTATGTTCATTGATTATTTCACTCTCCACCAGAATATACCTAAGTTCACAAATTACTTTGGTAATACCAGGTCTTTGGAGTCGGGGTTATGCATGTTTACATTTACGTTGGTGCCTTAATTTAACACACTGGAAGCCAAAGACTTATTCCTGAGTCGCCGGAATCAGAATTTCATACAAAAACTAAAAGAGCATTGGGTGGACTGAGCCTTCTTGCTTATGCCAAAAATTTTCTGGTTAAAATTAGATTTACTCGCTGTTGAAGCTGGAGTCTGAATCAAAGACCCCATAACATGGTTGTGAGTCAGAGTCTGGTGTAATTTGTCTTGACTCTGCTTATGTTCTCATCCCCAACACTTCACAACTTCTAAGTGTGGAAATAGCCAATAGAAATATTTATAGTCAAAGATCAAATTAAGATAGCATAGTCAAAAAATATTTAACTGCTATTCAATTTTTGGTACCGGGCATCTTATCATAATTTCAACGTTTGTGCTTCAGTTTATTACAATATTACCAGTGTTTCTGTTAAGCCACAATGCATGGTTAAAATAGTTGGTTATCTACATATTTCAGGGATGGAATGTTAAAAGTTTAGGATGTGGATCCAGGCATATTGCAGTATCTGCAGATGATAATGTTATTGTCTGGGGAATCGGTACAAGCAGTGGAGAGTTGGTATGTATTTTTATTTTCTGTTAATTTAATTCAAGTGTTAGTCTGATGTATATTGAACACAATATAAAGGTATTATGCCTGTCTTTTTATTCATGAGTTGTGGGTGAAGGTATACATTAATTTCAAGTTCAAGACGTCAGGTACAAATTATGGTGCTCCAGAAGTATGTGTCCTAATATGGAAGTAACTGATTTTGTTCGCCTACTTTACATCAAGTTGTGTAAAGGGACTGAAACCTATGGACAAGGGGCCGAACTCGTAATAGAACTAAAATAGGGAAAATCGAAATAAAATTATGGCCTAACCCTAACCTGGTACACACACTACAGGAGTACCCAAATTATAATATAAATGAAATTATACAAACAATGTTTTGCTGGAAATAGTGTTAATTTTTTTGCATTATTTCATTATTCCAGGGTTTAGGTGAGCAACGTAAGAGCAGTGCCAACCCACTAATACTGAAGGCAATGGAAGGTTTAAGTGTTCTAGAGGTCGCTTGTGGACAAATTCACACAATCTTCAAAGTGAGAAACGATTCAGAACAGGACGAGGATAGACTGAAGCAACTTCCATTATTCGATAGCAATAACGGGAAGTGATTCAGATGATTTTCGGTTCCCTTGTAGAATCAAAGATTTCAAGATATCAGCATTTACATGCCGCTGGTATTACTTTTGTATCGTCCTAATTGTGTCTAAGTTTTTGACAGTGTGGTAACTGGAATGACCATGATTGTGACAAACTGTCATCCAGCAATTTCATAATTGAGTGAAAAACTGTGTCTTTTTCTGTTTCTCATAATCAGAAAAAACAAATTCTGAAACCAAATGGCATCAATTTCAATTGTCTGAATTCTTGAAATTGACCTTATTTAAAAATCTTCACTTTTTGAATATTTTATCAAATTTGGATAACATTTCTTATTATATCAAATAAGGTTTAGGCGACCATTTCCTCTCTCTTGTTTCACTTATGCCACATATGCTGTGTCATCGTTGGCTATTATCGATTTTGGAAACATAGCGTTGCATTTTATGAGCAAGGGTCATGAAAAATGATTGTAAAATTGTTCTTGACTTGCCATGCTCTACTTAGGCATAATATGTGTATTTTATATACATTTTGGTGTTGATAATTTTCTGATTTTTTTGTTGAAGATGAGACTTGTGATTGATTAAGTATTAAAATAAATTTGAAAACTGCTAGTAGAGAAATTCTTCACATGAATGTGTTTATATGTCATTATTTACCGTTGTGCAGTACAGTTGATATTTTTTGTTTATACAATAATCTTACTGGCCACAGGCAATGGCTACAAGCCGCAAGCTGAAGCAAGTCCACTGATGCTTCAGTAACTGCGTCCTCTGTCTTGAAAATGAATACACAATTATCTGTTGCGGTTTGTCATTCGATTTGTATCAATTGTATATTTTTTCATTTTGTTTGTGATTTTTTTTTCAATGTTACTTCTGGCCTATTCTTAGAATTTTCAAAGCAGCTGAGTACTGCTTACTACAATTGAAATTTATTTGAAACTATGTCACCCTATTTTGGTACAAAAATTACCCTTTTTGTATTTTGATACAAAATTATGTATGTTAAGAAGTGCAATCTCACAATTCATTAATAATAAGGTACCATGGATATTTACATAATATTATGAAAATTGTTTTTCTTGAGTACTAGTTGCTGCCATTGTCATTTTTTCTTAATTTCATTTCTTCCATTTTTTGTGTGTTGAAAAAAGAGTTCACATTTTTGCATGTTTTCGTTGTTCGTTCTGTGCTATTATGGTATGTTCAAGTCTGATATGGATTTCTGCATACATTTTCTATTCAGTGAGCGTTGTGTATGATAAACTGTTCATAAATCATATGCAGATGGAGCTATCTAGCACTTGGAATTGCCGTCTATCAGAGAAGCCATTCAAGTGTTGTTTCGTACAAAGAATCCATCGCTAGTCCCAATTATTTAATGAAGCATGGTTCTATTTGTATGTTTCTGCAGTCTATGTAGATTTCACCTGCTTGTAGTGACCGTGAAGCTATGATATTATTTTAAAATGTTTGTATTTCTCGGTTTGTGGTACAAAATAATCACACTCATGGTCAAGCTTAATTTATTTCTGGATAAAGCGGTATTTCCAGATATTTGTGAATGCATTTTTGGATTTGCCTGCTTCATCCTTTCATTGCTTGCCCAATGTTTCATATCAAATTTAAAACTAGTAAATCAAATTGTTTTATAATTTGCATGAGATGCAATTTTCTGATACTTGCTAGTTCATTCCAAAACTGTTTTGCATTAAGTGAATTCTGACCAAACTCAGGATTATGATTGAGTGTGCTTTACCTCAATTTCTTAGAAATAAAAGATGCTGTAAAATATGTTGTTCATTTTTCAATATGAAACTTGAGGGTGGAACGTCGTCAGCCTATTGATTCTGTCTCAAGGCGAAAATCAAGAGGGACAATTCAAACCGGGGCGGGGCGTCTTTTTCTTGGTTAGACGAGTCTTAACCTGTACTGTGACAGGATCACTCTTTTACTTTGATGTAAACTTTGGGCAGTTATAAAATTTCTCAAGTAGGTAAGTAAGCCGCTCCAAGACGGAGAGGAGTCCTGGAATCCTCTCCCACGTAATCATCACAATAGGCTTCGCCACTGCTAACCCGAGCATGTAGGTTATCTCTCAATAAGTGAAAGTTGTAGATTTGATAAAAAAGAAGGCTCTTCATTTACTAACGAGGTTTTTTCGATTTAAAAATGTAGCTGAATTCTTTCGCATTTCATCACTTTTTCACCTTTAGGTTCCGTTATACAAGTTGTTAGAGAGAAAACAAATTACTGGGTTTAATATAGGACTGATAGAAAATGGATGCTGATAAGATAGAGGATTTCACGTTTATCCCTCCCTGGTAAGATGAAAGCCATGAGTATGGCTTAATTATGTGGGAAGCCACATTCTCTCGATTTGCCAGTCCAAATATTATAAGACGAAAATTAATATATTTAAAATTAAATTGCTGCAGGTGCTTAGACTTGGATGGCGGAGGAAATCGTTCAGATTTTTGATCACCCATGCAGAGATTTAAGATATATTAAGAATATTTTTGGTTGTGTTCTTAATTTTTTTTCGGGATTGAGTTCTCGAAATGCTTCGTGATTTAAACATTAATATAGGATTCTCGCTCTCTGTTTTATATTTGAGCATTGTGTGACGGGAATGGAATACGACTACCGAAACAACTGCTACCAAACAGAATATACGTTGTTGTGAATGGTCATGCTACACGAGCGCGAAATGATGCGTAAAGGAATGTTACTACGTACGCTCCGTATTGCGCGATAAGGCCAGAGAAAGTGACGTTTGACGTTTAGCGGCTGCAACGACGTTCGTTGTTTTCGGATCTGATGTTCATTCGCAGATAAATGTGCAGATATGTGATAGCTTGAATACTAGCCATCTCATATATATAGATTGAAAGAAATAGTTACCGATCTCGTGATATTAAACAGTCTGCTGTCCTGAAAGTGAACTTAATTAATAAACTAGTTTTTCGCTGTTTCGAGGTAGGTGCATGTATCTTACATTTATGAACTTTCCATATTTTATTTCTGTCGGACTGTACCGATACCAAGACTCAGTACAGTATTACTGAGAATGTGGGATATGTGCAAAGCTCAGAGTTCCCCGATATATTAGAAGATATCAACACACAGCTATTTATGCATTTTTTCATGGTCATCCCACTCAGGTATAAGAAAGTCTATTACGAGTCTCATGTAGTTTCGTACTTAACATACTTCTAGTAGGCGTAGCATGACAATTTTTTCATGTATCAATCCTAACCCTCACCTGACTACATCATCCAAAAATTACGTCAACACGACGTCACAGTGTAGTAATAGAGCCCTTCAAACTATACGAACTGGCATCCAAGACGCGCAAACGAGCACCCAAAATCGAACAGTAGACCAGGGGTGGGCAAAGATTTCGCCCACCTAAATTTTTTTGCAATCTCAACAAATTCCTTGAGCTATTTTTCAGCTAAACATCAAAATATGGTTTTAGTTCGGTTGTCTGGTTGTGGCAGCATCAGGCGCGCCAGATTGAATTACCCAACGGGCCGGATTTGGCCCTATGGTCGTAGTTTGCTCTAGACCACAACTTTCCTTAACCAGTGAAACGTTAAAGATGTATGGATTTGAGGAAGTATTACTGTAGAAATTAACCAGATACAGGGATATGACTTACTGATATAGTTATATGAAGCACCTTGTGACAATTGAGAGTCCAACAGACATTTTGTACATATTTAAACACACATAATTTGGACCTGCAAATACAGAAATAAGAGTACCAGTAATGATTTTAACTCGCTGAGCACAGATTGAAAAATCAATCAAAATTCTTTATTTTAGATATTTACTAATACTAAATAGGAACATTTTTATGAATTGCAGTGGGAAATATAGTTTTTTGTGCTTATTTGGTGTACAGTGTTGTCATTTCTCTTTTTGTTACATAGCCTGTTGCTAATTAATACTGTAATATGTTTGTTCCAATCGAAAAATGGTGTAACTTTGGTATGCAATCTCATTGTCACCTCAAACTATTTTGGTACAGGATCTCACTTGAATAATATAATTTCAATTGGATACAAAGTTAATTATGTGGACCCAGCTACTGGGGCCCACACTCAGTCTATTCCAAAAATCGAATACTGATAAAATTGAGTGGTGTACCTACTACCTACAAATACCTTCCAATATCATCTGGATTATTTTTGCTAACGAAAAATGAGAAAGTCATCCAACGATCTTTTTTTTGCTTTCTAATCTGATATTGTTACAATGAAAAGTTTTTTTTTAAATATTTAATTAAACAAATCATATATATCAGATAACATATTATACAATCACATAGCGAATTGGCACTCAAAAAATAGACATATATCCACAAAGTTATAATCCTAAATGTACTCATGATTGATTGCCTACATTACTTAATTATGTCTGTGTCTGTAATAGTGCCCATGAGGGACCACCAGGCAATAATTTGTGTCATGGGTCTCCAGTTGCCCTCTTACACACATTCATGAAGGATACTCTGTTACAGTTGCAGACTTGAGCCGGGCTGATATTCATTATTATGTTTTGTGGTATTATATTCTGATTTACATATTTGCTCTGAACAAGGCTTCAGACAAGCAGTCACTTATATGTAGCGATCTATAATGTATTTGAAGAGCCTGAATGAGGTTTGATTCGAGATCTTTAACACCATGGACTTAGTTAGACATGTTTGGTATGCTTATGTGCTGCAATACCAAAATGGAGTGGCATCTCATTTTTAGCATCATAATAACATGAAATTGATGAAAAGTGTATTATTATGATATGAAGTTTTCTTGTATGTGTTGGTGGACAAAACCTCTTGGGGGATATATTTCAATTTTTGGATCGCAAAACCATGATTTTTTTATTATTGTTACATCATTGGCCATTGCATGACAGTATTGGTTTTGTATTTAAAATATTGTTTAAATTAATCCATTATTCATTACTATTATATTGCATTTTTATTCTGTTGATTAAGTTAAACTTTTTACAACAAAGATTATATATATGTGTGACATTCTACCACCCAAAATGTCTGACCGGACTACTGATTTGGAGGCCAGTTTGACATCAATGGACTGGCTGCCGAAGTGAGTATTTCTGCATATAAAAAGTCATGTATAACATTGAATATATATCATCTGAAATGTGTCCCATGCATGCAACATCTTTCAACTTTTCATTTGATGGGAAGGGTTCTTTTGGGATTGTTTTAACTTGGTAATTTTAGCTACAATATTAATTAATCATGAGTTTTCAGATAAAGATCAATTTTTTTGTATAATTCAGATTAAATGTCCGAGACATCAGTGAAAAAGCAAAAAACGAAAAAGAAGAAAAATCAAAGAAAAAAACAAATGGTGATGCAGATGGTGATGGACATTCAAAAGATGGTAAACCTCCTTACAGGTAAATGAATTTGATAATACAATTTTTATAAAGTTTTCATGAATTGTGGGATTCATTCAAAACCACAAAAATTTATCATTTCTTATCCCAGCTTCGTTGCATTGAAAGTATGTTGAACAAACCATAGTAGTTCTGCATTAATATCATTATAAAAATGGATGCATCATATTTTGCGATCAAATAAATCTGAAAACTAGTAGCTTTATTTGTTTAGTTTCGATTATAGTAAATCATTATTATCAGTTATGGTCACTTAAATGACGTGATACTCATTTACTTAGTGTTTAAAAGTTTTATTGCAGATGTTCTGATGACGCATTTGTGTCGTCTGTTTCTTACTGTGGTATGCTGTTATATTATGTAAATATTAGTATATTTCAAAATGTAGTAGTAGTGACGTTTGGCATGTGTCAAAAAATTTCCAATATGAGATTCAAGCTTAGGTATAAGATATCAGATAAAAGGTATCAATTAGACAGAAAATGCCTCATTTAGATTTCTGTCAAAATTCTCATTAAAATTATCATATTCATGTATAAACAATCTTGAAATAATTGTTCATTTCAAATGTGAATGCTTCACTATGCAATTGACTCGAATGTAATGTATACCTTCGAAAAAAATTTTCTATGTCTGAATCAAATCATTCTGATTATTTAATATCTATAATTATGCATTCGCTTACCATGCTTTGTAATGAAAATAGAAAAGTTTTGAATGTTTTCTTTTTTCTGCATTTCACTTGAAAACTAAAGATGTATGTGACATATAAGAAGCGTTCACACAAACTGATTTCCTGATTTCAAAATCAATTTTTATTTATTTTTTTATCAATCATTTTAATGTCCTTTCCTGCTGAATATGAGGTCAAAATAAACTTATTAACCTATGTTCAGTGATATAATATGGAGTTTAGTTTCACTGAAATATTCGTTTGGCGACTGCTTTATGATTTTTAGTTTTCTGATATATTAAAAATCATACTCTCATTGTTCACCATTCTTGGCTCTTTTTATGATGTGCTTTATTCCTAGACTCTGACCATGTGTGTGTGTCTGATAATGTTGGTTGAGCTATTTTTTTCATTACAAAATCCATCTTTACTTACGGTAGCTGTAATGGAACAGGGAAAATAGTTCTAAATGGTGGCAATTTGCTAGACAATGCGACATAGTGTGGCATATTTCATACGAAAACTAAGAATCTTCATACCTTTTTGTTCAAAGTTATGCAAACCTGATCACCCTTGCGATAAATTCATCAAAAAGCAGAAAAATGACATTGAGTGAGATATATAGTTGGATATGTGAGAATTTTCCTTATTATCAAGATATTGGAACTGGTTGGAAGGTAAAATTGTATTTTGATAAATTTGGATCCTGTTGTAATAATATAGATATTTGGTACTATGCTGTTCAATCAGGAAGTTTAAAAGACTGGGCATTGATGTGGAGCTAATGATTTGGGATTATTTTAATATGAAAAGTATTTCAGAATTTTGTTGTCAAAAAACTTGTATTTCTTATTATTGTATTTCTTAAAACTATTGTTATCCATATTAATATGTATTTTTGTTTAGAACTCCATTCGACACAATTTATCTTTAAATAAATGTTTTATGAAAGTTGCGAGAACAAAAAATGATCCTGGGAAGGTGAGAGTGGAATTAAAAAATATAGATAAATATTTTGTCTACCATAAGGCTATGGCTGTTTTGCTGATTCACTTGTATTGCTTTGTGTCTCGCATCAATCGGTATACCGTCGCATTATGCAGCACCAGCTTTTAGTATTCATTAATCATCATATAACTTTGCACACAGATTAGTCTCATTTAGGGGTGCTCCCGAAGTATTCGTACCAAGATGACGCACAACCTGAACATAGTATTGTATCAGGTTAGGGTTGTTCAGGTTGTGCGCCATCATGGTATGAATACTTCCGTAGCGCCCATTCAGGTGAATGCCCATGACCTTGTTTTAAGCAAATTCTCCTCCACCAAAATTTGAAAGATTTTTTTCTGAGTTTAGGCATCAAGGGCCCACTGCAAGTTGTGTTGCATACATTGAGGGGCATGAAACTAGCCTTCAAGTTTTTTTATGTTGAATATTATCGATGCTTAAATTATTCGTTTTGATTAATGTTATCGGAGTCCACTAATAATTTCCAATTGTTTTGTGTATCTTTATTTAAAAATTGAATATATTTTGACTCCCAAATGCTGATTTTCTGAATTTAAATTTGCTTAAATTTCTTGCATATCATTCGTTTCATATATCTCATACAAATATACTTATATATAGGGATCATATTGGGCAATTGACTCTAGTCCACAAGATGAACCAATACCATTCAAAAGAAAACGACATTCTGATGAAATGGTATGTACAGTTTTATAGTATATAATTTATTTATATAGAACAAAAATTAAAATCTGGTCAGAGTATATTTTCTTGAGTTTGTGCTTGGTTGAATACGATAATATTATGAAACATGCTGCAGTGACGCATTTAACTGTGTATGGTATGTGTGGATATCTTTGTTTTATTATCTATTAGTCATAAAATCATATTTTATCAGAAAAGTAAATAGAAAGAAGATAAACAAAATTATCTCTGCTGTAGGCTGTAGCTAATCAAAGCCTTTCATATTTATAGCATTGATAGGAATTGAAAATTAATAAATCATAACGTTTGCTTCATCTTCATCAATAGGTTCATGTTATTGATTCCCTTGAATTCCCAAATTTTATTCTTGATGTGACATAGTTAGTGGTTATAAAATGAGTACCGGTAGGTATAATAATTGACTAAATATTCAAACTTGTTTGATAATGTCTGTTTTGTTATTTGTACACATAAGATCCCATCTAAGAGAGGCAATGTTCTGTGATATTTGTGATCAGCATTTAAACAATTGTGTATACAAGACCGAACGCTTGTTCAAGATCAAATTCATGTTCAGTATTGTTAATCTATTCGAAGAAAAGTTTTATCTATTTCATGAATGAACAATTTTTGTATGGTTTGTTCATACCTCAACACCTGCATCTGTTTGTCTGTTATGAAAAAAAAGTTACAAGTAAGCAGATATTGTTGTGATTCAGCATATCCCACCCAATATATAATTTTTATATAGGTATATTATGAAGATTATCTTACATGGTAGACATATTGACAGATGGTGGGTGAATTAATGGCATTAGCTTGATAAAGTGTCTGCATAATCATATTATCTTCACTGAGATTATCAAATAAATAGGAAACCAAAGTTTTCAAAAGCAAAACAAGGGAAAGCTTTTTATTTTTTACATTTCCACCCTGGGCCATCAATTCTAATTATTCTCCACATTATGAATTGTTCTTAAATTATTCCTAGTACCGCATTGTTTTGCTATTTTTTACCCCTTTTATTAGTGAACTTATTATCTAAAGTTAATTTGCAGACAGTCTTTAACTGAGACAGAGTGTCGTGTGGGCGGATTATAATGATACTATTAGTGAAGCGATAAACACAATTTGTCTGGAATAGTCTCAAACTCTGTCAATCCATGCATAAAATCTTACTAGATTGTTTATAATTAGTCATGGTAGATATATCACAGATGAAACATGTTTAGTACTGTTAGAAAAAGATATAAACAAAAATCTGAACCATGCTTTGAATCCAACAGTAAGTATGATTTTGATTATTCATATTATAATTATAAGCGAAGTAAATAGACGTTTGAAATACTCTTTCTCACACATATTTGATTGAAGATCCATTCACTTTGCAAAGCCTAATATAAAATGATAGGCTTTTGTGCATATATTTGTTGTTAGGCATTCCAAGTGAGCGCTTGCTGAAAAGTTATAATGTGACCAGTATCTGAAATGCTAAACTGAGCATCATCAAATTATTGATCGCCTATAGTGTTTGTTGGTGATGAAATATCCAACATTTAATTTCAAGGTTTCAGTGTCTGATTTTAATCCAAATTGTTTTCTTATGAGATGAGGGACTTCTGTCATTATTCTGTTTTAAAGCCATTATGTCGTACAAATGTCAAATTCAAATTTTCTACAGTAGTCTGTCAGTTAATGTAAATCATATATAATGTATGTCGAATATCAGATTAAAATTAAAGAATTTCATACCTGCTCATCTACAGTGTACATCTTAGGTTAGGTTTGATTTGCTAACTCAACAAACACAACTGTTTGCTGTTCTCGCGTCTTTGCGTAAATGAGATTTGGCCGATCTGTCTGTCTTGTCTGACACATTTTACAGATGTTTGTTGAAGCTTTTTACTAAGATCCATTACATTATTTCACAAATGAATGCTTTTGGTATTTAAATTAATGTAAGGCATCCTGTTAATTTCAACGAATAGTTATTATTTTAATTTTGTTTTCTAACATTTTGTGGTAAATCGTTGATATCATCTCTATTACCGTAATCATAGTGTGATCAACAACCAGAAATGCCAAATTATTGGAAACTATGAAATTTACATTTGTCTATTAGAATGATGGTCAGTTTTGCAATTCGAAAATGTATATAATTTAATAAAGTTTGTTAAGCATTTTGGCTTGAAAGTCTTGAATACTGTGATTTTTTGTCGTCGGTTGTAACAGAGTTTTCTTCTTGTTCTACCCCCAAAAAAACTTGTTGGAATAAAGTCATTTTAAATATTGTTTATCAGTACCGTAATTACCGGTGGTGATTTTCCTTGTTGTCTATTTGTTTATAGTTCTCCATTGAATTATGAACCAAATTATAATATTTCCGTTATTTCATATTAGAAAATTAATTTCAGAATTTATCATTTACGAATTGCCATGTTATCACATATTATATTCTTACCGCATACTCGATTATACATAATATCCATTTTCATTGAGACAGTGAATTGCGGTATTTCAATAATGCGATGGTTACTGCATTAAGAAAACAAACTGCTGCTTAACATCACTTCTTAACCGATTTCAAATTACCTGAACTTAACATGTTTTTAATGGTACTTGTTGCACCATTTTACACAATACTGCTTTTTTTGTTAAAACATTTGCAATTGTTGTTGTCCCCTCATCTATTACATATTTGAAACTTGAAATAGCAAAAGGAATATGCAAAAGATTTTGTTTACTTGAATTCTTGTTAGAGATGACTAAACTGAATCGAATATTGAGATTCGTTGTATTTAATATACCGAAATAAATTCCTGATTTTGGGAATATTTTTAAAAATATGATAAATATCATTTTGAGCATTTGACAATCAGATTGAGGGGTTATTAAATATCTGCTTTTGCTAGTAAACGGTCATATGGATAAAACCTTGGATGATTTCATGTGATAAGGTACCGGTATTTGCCTATATCTTTAATGCAAACAAAGCTGCAGACACGCTAAACTTTGATATGCAGACATTGCAGACAAACATTGTCAAGAAGCAATACGCTATGACTTCAATGTTTTGACCCGAAAGTGCAAAAGTATTAAAGGAAAAACTATATTTCACATTTCTGCCCAAAACGGCACTATTAAAATGGAAAAACAGCTGACGCAGTCACTGAATTAAAAGACATCATTTGGTTATGCAAATTGATGAGGTAATTGAATCATGAATTAAAATTATTCTATCAAATTTTACATTTTCATTGAGAAAATTTCAAGTCTAAATTTAACTAATTACCGAAGATCGCTTTTACATTTGATCCCCCTTGAGATCAGAACTTCTGTCATGCGTTATTTTCAAGTGTGTGGTACAGTTGTTTAAGTGCCCTCAGAAAGTACTTACAACTAACCAACTTCACTATTACAAAGAATGAATACGTGTGCGATTCATTTGCGTCACTTTTTTAGGGCCATCTTTGTCTTGTGTCTATATCTTGAAACTTCTGAAATAAATTTTGAATTGATCCTTTTTTTAGTCACAAAAATATGATATGCCTCACACACTGATAAATATGATCGGCCATATCGTTCATACCATATCATGGGCATGTTATACCAGTGTCAAGTACCTTGTTATTTAGATAGATTTGTAGATTCAAAATCTGAGATACAATCATTTTGTTCTCAACTTCTCACATATTGTGATTAATTGGGCAAGTCATGTCAAGAATATTCATATTCTTCCAAACATTGCCACATATTGATTGGCTGATGGTGTAGAAGCTTGCTTGTAGCGGAGATAATGAAAAAACGTGTGAAAATAACATGGCATTAAATTTATATTATTTCCAACTCAAAATACCTTTTGTCATTTAAAATCATGAAAAGGTAAATAGTATGCTGTGTCAGTGTTTCATAAGTCTGGACTGTGAATAATAGATAAAAAGGTATATTGGAAAAAACATGAATATTTTATATCAGCAATAAATGTCTTGCGATGAATGTTATCTTTTGAAAGAATTTTTCTTATTGGCAGGTTGAACAAAGTAAAATTGGTTTATAGAAAATTGAGATATGCGATATTATATAAGGTATTTTTATGAATAGTCTGATTAATATTGGACTACACTCGCCCCAAATTCTGGATAAATGGTTTTTGGGAATCATAAAGTAATTTCATGAATGTCTTATGTATAATGATAAATGTAGCTTTCATACTCATATTTTCTGGCATTTCTGATATTTTCTGGTTGCTTTTTGAATTTTGTGATTTCAAGGTTATGTTCTACTGAAACTGTTTTTAGTACATTTTCACAAAATAATGACTGTTTTTATGACTATAATAAAGGTTAAGTAAGACTTTCCATAGCTTCGTTAAGTTTTATGTTAGCAATAGTTGCTTTACCTCGGAACTTGAAATGCATGCGGGATGCCAATAGACTGTCAGTGTTAAGCTAAGCAAAACAAATACATGAAATAATATTTAATCGGCCATCAGTTGATTTCATCATACCATAGCAATCTGTTTTTTCACTCAAGTATGCAATTGTATATTTACTGTAAAGGAGCTTTTTACATTAATTATATGTTTTCTATATGTAATTTGTTTGTCTAATTGATCGGAACCTTTATAGTTTCATATGATTTCTTTACTTAGCTCCATCTCAGTCTCAGCAGCACTGTAAAATATTTGCCAATATTGAATGTCAACAATCTATGCGTGACATAAAGCAATGACTAATATTATATTATACAAAACCTACATTTGACATATTTTATTTGTTGTTTGTGAACATATCACACAATGTGATATGATGGAAAAGATTTTGACAATGTTATATTTGCTAATAATTTGTTCATTCATGTTTTGATGGCAAATGATAACTTCAAATATAATTTTAGATATGTTGCAACAGGCTTTACTTTATTAATCCTTGTTTGACTGGTTTAATTTTGAGAATTCACAATAGTATTGAATATTGATTATTTTACATTACTCCTTAGCAATATTGTAATATAACCAAATTTAGTGATCTTCAATAGTCATTACCGTATATAATTTTTTCTAACTTACATATTTTTTAATAGTCTCTATTTGGAAGTCATTTAATTTTGAAGCAACACTCACCCACAACCGCTATAAATACATGCTTATTAAGGCTAAATTTAGTGCATACTCAAAATAGGTTATGTAAGTAAACCTGATGCATTAGATTATATATGTTTATGAATGCTCGTTAATTGTATAAACTATCACATTTAAAAATCTGATCGGAATCGTAAATTTTTACATACAATATTGCATTTACATAGTTTGGCTTGCAAGTCATCTCTCCTTTCACATACAGTAATACAAACAATAATTCAATGTATTACTGGATATTTATTTATCAACCCATTCTTATGTGATACGAGTACAAAATCACATTGATATGAAATTCAGCTACTGTTCAGTTGTCTGACTGTTTTCAACACTTCTTGAAGAAGGAATTTTAAGTTATATGAGACAAAATCAAAAAAAGTGAAAGTTTCGAAAGAAGAGAAAATTTTCTCATCAATATTCTCATCAGGGTTGCCAGACCCCAGCGATCAAAAAAAGCCAAATCAAGACATAAAAAAAGCCAGAAAAAGCCAACAATTTTACTAAGTACAAAAGCCCCATGATTTGTCAGATTTTAAGCCATTGGCAACGTACTGATGATGATATAGAGTCATTAGTTCATTCAGTGAGGCACACGAATAGAAAGTAAAGTTCCTATACAACTGTAGAAAGTAAAATAAATATCGAGCGGACAGCATTATTTTACCATTCAATATATACAATACAGGGTGCCGCTTCAGTCTGTCAGTATGTAATATACCTACATGTTTCTAATTAAACTTGTGATATACCTTAAAAAATTCTCCCTATATCTTACTCTACTATTGAGAATTTTTTCATTTTCAAAATTTATAAACCATAAATTTTATTAAAAAATTATCTAACCCCCTGCCGCTCATAGGTGGACCACTGATATCTTATTCAGTAATTTTAGCATAGTTGATTCACATTGTTACTGCAATTGCAGAATTAAACTAAAGCTCACATAAACCATATCAGGCATAGTGAAAATTGAGTTATACAACTATTTTTTGGAAACAGAACGTAAAACTGACAAATAACACGCAAAACTATAAAAACGATGCTGGGTTTACAACCCTGCTTGAACATCTGTCTGAGCAGCTGCAGAAACTGCAATTATTTCTTATTGGGTATGGTTAAAAGTCAATGTAACAAACAAGGAAATCGATGCTCCAGGAAATCCTAATGTTAAGTAGCTAAGTACAGGTAATAGGCTATGGACCTTTCCCAGACCTTTGACCCCCGGAAAATTCTTCCTATACTTTACCATTGCAAAATTTTCAGTGCTATTTAAGGAGTGCTTTTGCGAGTTGGCGCCTGTAAAATGGGGTATGTGTTTCAAACCATCATTATGATTCATTGCACACAACAATCAGTTTTTTCAAAGTACCGGTAAAGAATTTCAGGCTAGTCTATCACAGCTATTTCTACACTAATTTTTATTACTGCAATTAAATTAAAACTCCTAAGAAGACAGAGTGATCATTGAATTATCTGATTTTTATTTAAGTTTCCGAAACACACTTGAAAATTAACGAATAGAGTTCAAAAAAGCGAAAACGAGGTAATGTTTACAACCACGCTTGAAAATCTGTCTGAGTGAGAAAAGTGTCTTAGCGGATGCAAAAAGGGGGCATTGTTACGTCACTTTTTTCATCTTGCTGATTGGCCAATGTCACGAAGTAAACAAGGAAGTCGATGCTCGGGGAAAGGTCCATTGTTCAGTTGTTACACACTAAATATTGTATTTCATATGATTCTAATAATAGACACTAGAATAGACTTGAAAAAAGCCAAAAAAACGCCAAAAAGCTAAACGGGAATTCTGACGCCAAACGCGTTTGAAAAAAGCCAAAAATGGCAAATTTGGCGTTAAAAAAGCCAATATGGCAACCCTGATTCTCATACTGATGCTATTATATTTGCATGGCATAATATGGGAGTGTCATGTTTTTGTAATTTGATTACAGATATCTATTGTCTCTTGTCTGTCATCTTAGACAAGCATATGTTATTAAGGATTTACCGTGCTTGAGACAAAGATGATTTCTTTTTAAATATACTTTTCTTGCATAATTCATACTTGATGACAAAATATTCCACAAACATTTTTGTCACGCACAACTGCTATGATTGGTTTGAAATGTGTTGAATTTCTGTAAGCTAACTTACAATAAATATTATTAAGTTTGCGTATCTAAGTGTACAATCCATGGGATGATAAAAGGAATTGTATTATACATATTTATAGTTGATTCAGTTATTGCTTATCATAGTTTATTATTCTACCCATTGTTAACCAGTGCATGATAGAGGATGTAACTGCTGTAGTATCAGCTTGGCATGCCCAAAAACAATGTTACTGTCACTCATGCATCGTGAATATTCGAAAGATATACCTCTATTCAACAAAATTTCGCCAATTGTGTAATTTTTATAGCATAATTTTTCATTTCAGGAGACGCTCGAGTTGTAATAATCACTTCTTTTCCTTATAACACTAGAAAATACTTCGGTCACAATTTCACAAATGAAAATCTGCTTTATCTACGTGAAAAAAAGCAATGCAACATTTTGGTCACAAGTTTCAAAAAACGACGAAAATTTGACTCTGAATCATAATACATAATCGTTCTCAGTTGCTCTATCATTTTTAAATATATTTTTTTCAACTTCATATCAGTTGATAAATGTTGGTGTCTAAAAGTATTACTAAGATGATTTATTGAGGCTTTTATGCTTGAGTGAGTGTGTGGGTGGCTAAGAACATATTGTACAGTTACTAATAGATTGTTTGTCTAGTGAGAATAAAGTAGCACACTTACCAAGACAGAAAAACTGTTTGTATATCTAAGAACTCATTTCAATTTGTTTGATATTTTCTTTCAATAAGTTTCGATTTTGTTAATGCTGGGCATTGCATGGTGGCTCTCTAGCTGTACCATTTGCCTTCCTTTATTTGTGAACCATTTTTGTTGACAAAACGACAGTAAACGATTTAAAAAATGTAAAATGACCTAAATTTTCTCTGGATTCACCCAGCAGGCAAATTACGTTGATATCTTCCATTAATAATACATTCTCTCAGTCTAGGCTGGTAAAGTTTGAAAACTGATTTTTATAATGTTGTTGCTGTGTTTCACTTTTTCCTCATTTTTACAGAATCAGATTCGATATGATGAAAGTTCCGGCACAAGTTTTAACAGTTCAAGTGGAAGTCCTACGTTTACGCCGTCAGCACCACCATATGCTGCAATGGTAAGAACTAAGATTCATTATTATATTGCATCTATTGTGATTTCCACTCACATCCGATCCATCTCATCTAATGCTCTAAATGGAATATGTTATTATACAACATTTTCATATTTAATAATTAAAAAAAGCAATCCTAAATAATTTTATGTGTAACACAATAGAATAAAAACTTTTTACAGGATTTCTTGTATATTTATAGATAGGATTTGCAATTTATTCTTGGGGGAAGCTACTGAAATGATTTATCATGAGACAACAATGAACCTTTGTCCTCAAATCCCTGTCACAGACAGTGTGCATGATTTGGTCATTCAGCATTGCTTATGTGGACTAATCTAATTGTGGGTAATCGCGAGGACACCTGAGAAAGAGAGAGAGAAAGTTTATTTCATTTTGTCAAACCAAGAAAACAATATATGCGTACATATATAAATATCAAATAAACAGATGTTTTCGGTACATGACTGGGAGGCATTGATTCGACCTACAACTTTTTGGTTTCATCGGATTCAGTTGCCAACTTGCTAGTCAGTTGCCTGCCAACTTGCATATGATAATCTCTGAGATTTTAGAATCTACGAAAACAAGCTGTTTTTTGCGTCAAGTTTAGTCATTGGTAAGAGTGTTAGTGTTAATGCATGTCATGTATATTTTGCAGACATCACCTGAACATGCAGGAAGTCCTTCACATCACTCGACACCTCTCAATCACTTCCATTCGCCGCTGTTACCTCACAACGATCATAATAATAATCAAAGTAAATCATATTATGCAGATTTTGTTTTGTTTTAGACAAGTTTATTATTTTTTCATTGTATCAAATTGTTTTAATAAATCATTTTTTCAAAATTGCTTTGTGACTGATCTTTTTGAAATTTTTTTAGTTTATATTTTTATTTAATTTATAAGGCTCAATGATGACTTTTTCTCATCTGTATCAAATTACTGTTATGTTCCACATCTTAAACGTAAAGTTCGAAAGAATTATAGTACTTCAAATCCGTCAGGTTTTCTATGAGCAATCATCAAGATATATGCCATCAGGGATGTGGTATATCTTTCACTAATGATATGAATGTATCCTGATTTCTGTTTTTAGTATTTTTCGAGTTCTGGTGTTCTTTTTTTACGAATCTTGGTTAAAATCTTACATTTCTGAATATTTATTTCTTTTCAGATGTTGATTCAAGTTTCAACCTGACAAATCTGCCATTAACAGATTTGAGTGCTTCATTTAAAAGTTTTTACAGATCTGTAATTGAACCAACTTCACAAGGTAATATATTGCGAAATAGTTGGATGTTAGTTTGTACCACTGTAATTCAAGGACTTTGGAATTGTTGTCAGTGTTCTTCGAACTTTTACCTACTTGCTGCTGCGACCAAATTTTTTCACGACCCTGATGGACTAAAATGAAAATAAAGTCAAATTTAATAACACAGCAAAAATAATTAAATAGTAAAATTTACACTACCTTTAATGAGACAAATATGCTTGCATATTCACGTACAAAAGATAGAATCTTGGCTTAATTTGGTGATGGTAGGTCTGGGTACTGGTTCCAAATCTTTTAAATGTGATCAATATTTTGTTTTAACAAGTTGATGTCAAACAATATTTTTTCCAATCCCTATGGAGCCCTGTCATGACCCACCTTTGGAGTTACCCACCGGCCCCCAGTTTGAAGCGCCTTGGTCTGGATAGTCCAGCGTGTTTCTATTGAAAGTGGAGTCAGATTTTCAAACTCTGACTGCCTTGGAATCAAAACTAAATTCGTTGGATACAGAATTTTGGAAATTTAATGATGATAATCAAAGTCAAAATTCCCAAATAGACTCACAATTTTTTTGTCAAACGTGACTCGGAGCCGAATTAAATGGTTTCGAGTGGGAGTTCTGCATAATTTTTTCAGTGGAGAGGAAAGCTGATAAGGCTGACCCTGTAATCATATGCCAAAGTTCTCATACAGTTACTAGTCCAGATGGTGTGTGGGTATAAATAGTTTATGATTCCAGAAGTATTATCTTTAATTAACCTGAATGAGTTTGTTCAAAGTTTATTTCTGCCTGTATTGAGCCTGGTTCAGAATAAATGTGTAAAAACGTCTCGAAGAAAACCTGTTGGTATATTGACTTTTGTGGATCTATAAACATTCATAATATTTCAATGAATATTTAAATTGGGTTCAATTAAGTGAGAGTAATTTTTTCTTGTCTGCTTGTCTTATCTAGGTTTCAATAGAAGTAACGCATCAATATGTAGCAATGATCCTGCAGTGAATCATTCTTACAATAGTTCATGTTCAGCACAAAGTTTTAACAAGTTAGTTGAATTTTATTTAATATTTTGTTATTTTTTCGTAATTTTCTCTTGAATAATTTATTTTACGTGGATGATGATAAAATTTGAAACTGAGGGATTTCTAAATTATTTAGTTGTGTAATTTTGCTGATTAATAAGTGTATTAATATTTGACGACAAAATTTGCAATGGAATACAAAGCAGTTATTTTGAAATAATACCAATGTTCATTGTTCATATCCAGATAGTTTGATATTATGAATTTGCAATTAATAGTGCAATTTATTTTAAAATCGAATAGTGTAAATAAACTTTTAATTTTATGACAATTTATTTGTAATACATCATGTTTTATTGAAATTTTTTCCCTAAAAGGCACTCCACAAATACAAAACAGTAATCTCAAAAAGAGAATTTTTTTAGTTAAAAAGCGTCTTTTCGAAAAAACATCATTTTTTCTAATTCTAATATAAAAATATATATTCCTGGGCATTCTTAATCAAATTTTTCAATTACAATCATTAATTTGCACTCAAAGGAAACCATTTGTATTTTTTAGCATTAAGCATTATTGTAAAGCAAAAGAAATGTCGGGTTCTTTTTTTTCATATACCGGTAGTATTCTATGATATCACCGATTTCAAGAATGCCAATGATATTGCAGTATTGAAGCAGACAATATCACAGAGCTCCTACTCATCGAAATATAAGCAGATGTTCATTGCTTTGAGACAACCGCAATAAATAATTGCTAGTATTTTATTTTTCTCAATTCTGTGCTACAGGACGGTATTGTTTTCAGTTTCAGTGACGTTCAAATTTAATCTTATTCATCCTTATTGATTGTGGTCTTCTCAACCTTTAAATGTCTGCCCACAAAGCATGCTTCTGTAAAATGAACTTACGTATAAATAATTAATATATCATTAAGGTCGATGACATTGAGTGTCTGACATCATTCAACTTATTATAAAAGGGTATTATGTGCTTTAATAATGCCCGTTGTTATATTAGATTATGAATTTAATGTTTTCAAGAAATATTGATTGGGTTGAAGGTGCCGATCCTCAGTAGCCAGTATTGGTTTGTGTCTTCCTTCACCATAAAACGTCATATTTACTACATTCCTATCTTCTGTATGTGTTGCACAATGTGTATTTTCAGTGTGCTGAAAAAATAAATTAATGACTACTAAAAAACAGTATTTAAACTGATTTGAATTGTTTTAAAAAAAAATCTAACGCTGTTGTGCTTACATAACAGTTTGATATTGTACAGTTCTTCTTCTTCGATTTTGCAGCACATATTTTATAAAATTTAACGTTCTAATTACATTCACATTAAGGCTTTTAACAATCACTTAATCTTGAATTAGTTTAAGCAATTTTGGTTATTACTTATCGATCTTTTTCTGGCAACTAAGAATATATCTCAATAATTACTGTTCAAGAATATTTTATGTCAAAAAATTAATTAAGATTAATTCATGGCTTAATTTAGTCTTTTATTTTGTAATATAATCCATCAACATTGTGCAAATGTTATAGCTCATTTCAGACGAGCATGCTATCAGCTATGTAATTGTATTAAATAAGTACGAAAAACAAGCCTTCATATAGTTTAGGGAAAAGTAAAAATCAACATTTATTAGAATATAAACTAAGATGGATTATAATTTATTTGTGATGGAACAATATTATAAATATTTTGATGAAATGTTTAATCTAAATAAAATATATTTGTAAAAATCATTCAATCATCATCCTTAATTAAAATCAGTTTTTATCATCTTTGAATATACTTGTTTGAAAAAAACAGATTCCACTTTCGTGTGTAGCAAACCCTTTGAATAGCATTGAATATATTTATTTTTATTCTTGCTTCATCATCGTTGCATTATACACATACGATTCAACCTGCACGATAGTATAGAGAAAAGATATGTAGTTAGTTTCGCATAATCCCCACAGATAGTTCCCCCTTTAAAATGATTTTTTATTAATGCGAGGAAAAAAACACATACAAATAAAAATTCCCCAGTCTGAATTTTTTATGCTTTTTTTAGCTTTTAATATTTATACTTCAAATTATACTTTTGTTTTCTTACCAGCTCAAATTCACATTCACAAATGGATCATCGACGCCATCATATAAATCACATTTCTCCGCTCGCACAAGCACATCATCACAACATGACTCCACAACAACAAATCCATCTTGACAGCTCAACAGAAAGTGGGCGAATGATGCAAAGTCCACGAACACATTACACCAGAAGTCGAGCTCATGATATGAATAATTCTGTAACATTAAATCAAGTTAATAAATCTTTAAATAATGTGTCAGGTATGGTTTCTTGTTTCTTTCATTTTTTGTTAAAAATATCATGGCCTAGTGGTTGGGGTAACAGAGTTTAAAGATTGCTATTTCAAACAGCATACAAACCATTTTACTCAGGTATACCTAACAAGTTCCTTTGCATGCAAAGCCTTTGTCCAAATTCCTATCGTTGCCAATAACGTTTAAATTACCTTAGCAGCTAGCTTGTGAAAAGCGAACAACGCGATTAACAAAGCTGTCCATTGGTGAGCAGCGAGCAATTTGAGGAAAACTGCAGAGCATATGCTAATAAATTAATGAATTACTAATAAGTAAGAACTTCCATTGAAGCAAATTTGAAAAGGGAGTCTGGAACAAAACCAGCTGCAAATTTCCCACTGAATTCATGTTCAAGTCGGTGTGACAATAAATTGGAATAGCAGTTTTCTTCTGGAATTTATGCCCTCCTAACTGATCATTTTTGCAAGGACTCTTAATAATGCCATAGGATCAATAACAAAAAGAAACTATTTTTGTGCCCTCAACTACTAGAAGACCTATGTTAAATAAGGTGCGGCCCGCGGTTTCACCCAGTTATTCGTACCTAGTCGTCCTGTATTAAAGGTTGCACACCCCTGCTTTAAAACATAATTTTTAGATGAAATCAATGTCTAATTTAGTTTCAAAGTTGTGTGTTAATATTTTGGGAAAAATTCAATAAAAACATTGTTTTAATCTGTTCAGGTTCTGGATTCAATTTTGATTTGAGTAATATTGAATCATTGAAAAACAGTTTCATGAGTGTCAATTGGCCAGAAGTTGATTTAAATCAATTTCCAGGTATGTAATCACCGTGAAATTGAGAATATATAAGTATGAACAAGTATCATTAGCTCATTTGTTGATATTGATTCCATTGCCAATTTTTATTCGATCTTTTGAAATGGAGTTGTATGAGTTTTCTTCTGGTCAAATCTGTATCAAGTCTATTTAAACTCATTAATTTGTAGAAAGTCTCATCTGTTCATACTGATAATGTTAATACTGATATTGCCCTACTGGAACAAGAAAGAAATACTTGAATAATCAGCACAAACTTCGAATGTCTAATGACCCACCACAAAAATTTTGATCAAGTATTAAAGAATATCATGTTAAGGTTAGAGATTTGAACGGTATGTCAAATCTGTAGTGAAATTTTTGGGTCCTGTAGGACTTCAGAGAGGAAATTTGTAGAAAAAAAGTAGTCTTCAAGTCTTGAAAATTTGAAAGAGATTGGTTCATTCATTGTGTAGAAACGTGATTCTTAACAACACCAAAGCAAAAAAAAACATGGTGGGTGGGTCGACCAACTTCATGTCCAAACATGGACCTTTTCAAAGTTTATATCAGAGAATAAATGTATTACAAATTCAAAGAAGTATGATGTGTATCTTAATGTTTTTGGCCCATAATTTTGAACACTCTCTAACACTAACATTCAAAAATTCAACCCAAATTTGATTCAAAAACTTCTTGACAGATTTTCTGGAAACAATGCAGAGGGCTGACAGTAATGACTGGGAGTTAGATCAACAGACTGCGATTGATTTATGTAGTAGTTTGAGTCGAGTTTTTCAACAATCTGGTTATGGACAGCAATATCATCATCAACATCCTTCATCATTAAGTGTTTCAACTTCATCTTCTCTTGGTAGGAAATTGCTTCATCTTGCGAGTTAATTTTCATTATATCGAAATGGTCTATTAGAAATTTTGAACATTTTCAGGTGACACATCATGTCGTATGAACAGAAGTTACATTACACAACCACAAATATCACCCCGGCAACAACATTTATCGAGGTCAATACCAGTGTCTCCTCCACACACTGTATCTGGTAAGTAATTGCATGATGGAACCTATGTCAAAAATTTGTCCACATTGTTCATGAAAACTCCAATTTATATCCCAGTGTTTCCTACCTTATCTCGACAGTTGCGCTTGCCATCACAGCACTGATTATCTTCAGTTTCAATCCTTTGGAAATAATTGTGTGTGAATCAGTTGCTGAGAGTTATTTGAGTATCGGTGGTTGGTTACTTCCATCATTATGTCTATGCCTCTGATCTGAAGTGATTGACCTATTTACTATGTCCTCCTGTGGCACGGTCTGGTACTGATGGTATAGCTTATGGCAGTTGTTCTCAAACTTTTACTGTCTTCGTATCACTTACGTGTTTTTTACGCTGGGCGCGTACCACCAACAGAGCCCCCTCTTTGGGGGTCGGGAACAATGGCTCAAAAAACAAACTACAGGAATATGTTATAATTTGGCACTACATCCATTTTTAAAGCTTCGTGCAAAGTTTCAACGCAGCGTATATGCAGTAACAACGTATCAATTGCATGCAAAATCTCAAGATAATTACCATCTACCATACCATCAGAGCTGAAAAGCTTCAATTATCACAAACCTCGGGCGAATGTGTTCGGAGGTATACTTTCGCTTCGACATGCTTGAATATCCAGTCAAAAAATTACTGATAATTTAGCCCTAAAACTTAAGTTTATGCCTATCAGCCAACACATACTGCATATAGCAATAGTAACAACCGTATAATGTATCGAGGCGCTATCAGGGTATCTCGGCACATGTCGACCACTTCCACCGAACGCTCCCTTCGTTGCCGATTTCTCGATGCAGATGCACTGTGACGTAAGACGCGAAACAGACGAAAACATGCCCGTTCGTTTTAAGTGGGCAGCAGTAGGGCGAAGGTGATCTCTAAAGACAAGGACTGGTGGAGCTATAAACATCGTCAGCGAATACATACAGGATGGAGGATAAAGACAAAGCATTGCCGGCATATTTTAGCCATCTCAAAAGTTTATTGCTGCAATATTCAAAGCTGCTCGTGTACCACTTGAAAAGCTTGCACCACAGGTTGACAGATAAATAAAATCTTATCTTATTATTTGTCTCTAGGTAATATGACCCACATGCAGACAAGAAGTTTATCAGGTAGTGCACCTCCACCTACCAGTTCATCTAGTATGATGCAGCAAAATTCAATAATTCCACCACCCGGGTGAGTTATATACTTCAGCCTGTTATCTGGCATAGATAAATCTTCCTTCATTGCCCAGCTTGTACCTAGTCGTACTAGTGTATCTAGTACTTGTCGTAATGTCATTATTGAACCCAGGAAATGAACAGCTCTATTGGCAATTTGTTGAGAATCTTTATAAATGTTGTTTGTTAGATTAAGGGGGTATGTAAGAGACAACTATGCTCTATGTCAGGGGTGGCCAACCTGCGGCTCTTGCTCCTGTTTCATGCTGCTCTTTTCGCCTTGGTTATTTTAGGGAAAAAATAACTTGCAAACTATGATTCATCATGTTTCGATTAAACATATTATGGTTTATCGCGCATTCTTCTTTTACATCGAAGACACATGTGCTCCTTTATTCATTTTACCATGCAATCGTCCATTATTACATTCTAGCAGAGCTGAATAAAGTTATATCTGATGTTCATGTGTGATGTTCATGCGGCTCTTGGTCTCTGACTGGTTGGCCACCCCTGCTCTATGTATATGAATATTGAAATTAATCGTATATCTACATTTAGCTATTAGCATTGTTTTGCTGGTTACCTATTCTGAACCTTCTGTATTGAATCATATTGTAATCTATTTTGATGTGAAATTCATCACTGCACTCTTTTTTCAACAGATATATTCCACCACAGCAACAATCTCAACAAGAGGAAATTCCTGATACTTTTGATTGGGATTCAATTTGTTAGCACATAACAATGAATAGAACGGTTATAATAAATTGGATTCGGTGAATTTTCGTATGATACAGAGAACTTTTAATAAAGATAGAAAGACCCATTTGCCAAAATTTTGAATGTTAAAATGACTAGACAAATAGATGTGGTGCCATAAGTAATCACTGATGCTCCAAGAGATACATAAAGATATTATTTGTGTTACAAGAAATGTCACTGTTTGACATAGGAATTCAAGCAGTTCATGTCTCTGTACTTACAATTTAATAAAAAGAAATTTAATATTTGGCTATAATGACATATTTAGAAACAGCCCACTCTGGCATAAAATCAATATATTTCAGAAAATTAATATTTTGAATTTTTTAACAAAGTGATTCTTGTTTTTTAGTAACCTTATGTTTTGAGTTTCATCTATGACAATGACAAAATTGAGATGACAAAATCGAAATAAAATATTATGGTGTAGTGCAAAGAGTTTGTAGGAAGTTTTAACTAGAGTAATACTATAGATAAATTGGACGTAGCTAATCTCCAAAAAAAAAACATATTGTGAACATGTTGTGAGCAAAAATTGTCGAGCTTCATCTTTCTATTCGAGTGTCATATGGTGAGATATGTATGATGTTGCTGATATCATGTATCCTCTTCCATAGCAAACTTTTAATAACATTGATCATGAATGATATATTTAATGTTAAATTAATCTCTTCAATTTAATGAACTTGTAAATTTTAAATTTTGTTCCAACTTGAATTCTGGTGTTCATCCAACATTAGGAGATTTGGAAGAACCTGTTATCTATAAAGTTTGCATTTCGACTATTTGGCTAGTTTCTGTTTGGTGACTAATAATTTTTCGAGTTTTATGAAATCAGAATGTAATCATTTAAATTGATTCAAGGAAAAAACAATGGGTCAATTTTATCATCAAGTTCACATGGTTCCCATTTCATGTGGTTGATTATAATCCAGTTATATTATAAATCGAATTCCATTTGCCACAAAGCATATTGCTTCGAATCAGTTGGCTTATAAGGAATTTTCCCCGAAAGAACAAGGCGTTAACTTCACTGTCACCATTCAATCATTTCAAGAAATTTCAGTCACAGCATGTGTGATCTAACCTAGTTTGGTCAAATCAAACACTTTGCATTAGTCAAGCGTGAGATGGTGATAAAATGCAGAACTGTGGTCTGGTTATTCATACCTCTAGTTTTGAAAAAATATGGTATTTTGGTATTATCATCAGGTTTACTTGTTCCTATGAAAATCAATAATTTACCATTTTAGTATAATTGTGATATTAATAATTGAAAAGTTTTGTCAGCTTATTCAAAGCAGAAAACATGGTTTTGTGCACCAACATTAGTGTTGAATTTAGTTCGTCTGCATCCAAGTCAGAATTTGGATCTCACCAAAATAGTATTTGAATCATTTTCAACCCATTATGTACCATACATACTTGAATTATTAGCATCTAATTTTTAAGTTCAAGTCTACTGTATTTATGTTAGTGATTGGACCTTTTTCAGGTTTTTCTCATAATTGGAATGGTGATTCTTTTTTTGTAGCTTTGCTGTCATGTTGCATAGGTATTTACTGATTCTTTATTATTCAATTGCTTTTCCTTTGTGCACTGCACTATAATTATCACTTGTTTGATTGTTGTAGAGTTTATTTTTGTTTTAACTTTTTTTCCCTTTTTTGCAGTGCTTTTTTACTTTGCCTCCCAAATTTTTTCTTATTATGATGCGTTTGTATTGCTCTTTATATGAAAAGTACACGCCAAATCTTTTCTTAGTTTTGTCCGTAAAATTTTCTTTGTTTTTGTTCAATAAGAATTCTAATGAAGTCTCAAATTTCGTCTATAAACTGAAAGATGAATTTGTTTTGCATCGACTCAATTGTCATTCAAATGAAATATTGTTTTCTAGCCACATGACGAGGAAAACAGTATTTTTGAAATATGTGCATGCACAACTAACTACTCCCGTATGAGTATTCACCATTGTATGTGTATTCTCTATCGACTGATTGTGTGTGCATCAACAAACTTATTATAATATGACTTATTCTATCATTCACATGCACTTAAAAAATTGTTTTATTTGTTTAATTTCTGATTCAAAATTTTCAAGCTTCTCTGAATCAATAGTTGCATGAACTTAATTTGGTCATCTGTTTTAGTGGGAATACTTGATCGTCGTTATATAAATTTTAAGAAATAATAAAATGATAAAAAAGGTTGTATATATTATGATGTTTACCTGTTACTGCCAGTTTTCGATATCGGTACAAAATTTTTATTCTATGAATCAATGTTCGAAATATCAATGTTTGTTTTTATTCTAAATTCGTTTTCATATTTTGAATAATCGATTGTTTTTTGCTCTGTGAAAGTTGGTTGGATGTAAAATAATATGCCCTCTATTCAGTCTCAAATCCCTGTGATCAGTGATTTCACAGAGGAATGCTGTTTTTGATACAGAAGTTAAGAGTATTTGGGTATTCTCAAATAGTATAAATTGGTCTTTGAAACAGTAATACACATAATTTTCTCAAAATTCAAGAAAGTATATCAATGTATCGTGTAGTTCATGCTAGGTAGGAGAATTTGCATGTTCTGATCTTATATTTCATTCTCACTCTGCTCTCAAATGATCACATATAATTTTCTTCCTGCAGCTGCTACATGTTTTCCTTCGTATGTATAGCTATGTGGAACATAAACACAAGCTGTAACTTACAATTTCAATCTTTCTATCTATATACACTTGGAATTACATAAGAAATTTGTGTTTTCTGTTTCAAGGCCAGTCAGTTCCAACTAAAAACTTCTGGTTTTTATGTTATTATTTTTGTTTGCACTATCAGTTACTTTTAGAATGCTTTTAAAACTATTTGATTATTTGGTGCTCTGATTATAGTGCCTATTCAACATATATATATATGAATGTATAAGTGGTTGGAAATGTAAATAATATTTTTTCGAAAATTGTTTTAATAAATAGAGAAATATTTGTTACTGTTTGTTTACACTATCAGATTTGTTCCCACTTAAAACTTTAAAAAGGTTATTTACAGATAAAATGGAATAAAATTTTTATATTTCCCCCGAGAGAGAAAAACTAGAGCTATGGAGTTGGACTAACTTCAACTCAAGTTCAATTCAAATAACAACTCGGTCTACTGGTTCTCAGAAATTTTGCCTCCGACTCCATTTTGAACTAAATCCTTGCTCAAGCTCTAAAAAAGCAAATTTGGACCACAAAAGCCTTCTTTACTTTTTACTGTGCATTATAACCATTAAAAGACTAAAATGCCAACTTTAAAATTTCTACCTGATATTCGACGATATCAATAAAAACATGCTAAGCTCAGACTCCACAGCCTTGAGTAAGTTGCTCGAGAGGAATGGAGGTGGATGACACTATAAGCCTCAATCGATCTTTAGTTCAATCCAGCTGTGATATGTAGAGAATACATAGGGTAGACGATTTTCATATTTATACCCAGGGGTGGGGAAGGACGACGGCTTGGCAATATGGCGCACCACGGTCTCTCGTCCGGTTACGTGTCTGGTATGGGATAAGATAGTCAGTTATTTGTTTCGGAGGCGTGGACTTGATGGTGGAGGAAGCCGTAGCCGGCCAGCGGTATCGTGTACCACCCTACGGCGGCGACGAGTCCAGCAGTCCGTTTGCACATAATTATCCCCACGGGATTGGGACCTACCTGCTCCCACTTCAGCTAATCAAAAGTTCGATGACGGGCGTATCCCCAACACATTACACGGTGCGCGAACCGCCGAGAATATGTATCAAAATGTCATTGTTTTGCCTGAACGTCATACGCTTTAGTTTACCACATTAAACTATAGCTTTATGGATCCAGTACTTAAACTAATACCCTCAATAGCAGCTAAGAGACGTTGAATGATCTCCTTGCACAATATATTTAAACTCTAATAGTAGAATATACTTAAGCTCAGAAAGGAAATAATAAAGTTATGTGAAAGGTCGGGAAGTCTTAAAACGGGGTATTCATCATACCTTTCATGACCTTCTCATAAATTTTTCAAAAATAAAATATCGGATACAATTGTGTATTTCAAACCATGTTGTAAAATTGAACACCGTGTGTGATGTCACAGTATTTCAACACCTCGTACCAGGTGACTGGGAATTCGGTGTCGTTAAAATATATATAAAACACTCTCAATAGTTCGCCATCCAACCCCACAAAATGCTACAACGACAAATAAATCTACAATAAATACTCTGGGCCAAAAGAATGTGGTAATAATTCTTCCAATGTAAATAGGCGATATTCGTATTTTCCATTCACCGGTGTTGCCTTTGCGCAATAAATGCTTTTTATTTGAAACTGAAAAGAAAGTATGTAATCATAAGGGTGAAATAAACTGGCACAAATCACACATTCGGATGATCACACAGTGGATTATTACACAACCAAATCCGCTCGCCTCCTGAATTATATAAATTATTTATCTCGTATTGGAATAAGCCCTCAAGACCCCTTTAATCATGTGAAGAATCATGGTCTCGTTTTAATAACTCAAAATTCTTATGCAGAGACTTGATTGGTATACGAGATTTAAAAAAATCATAGCTCCGCGGCAAACACATCTCAGTTTTTTAATGAAAAGCTTGCATGTGCTAACTTTCTCCGTTGCATTCGTTCTTATTTCATTAAACAAAACCATTTTATTCTAATACTACTCACCTCCCTCAACGATTGTCTACATAAGCCGCAGGGTGTCACTGTTTCTTCGCGATCTCTGAAAACGGAACTTATATTTTATGGACATGTATATATCATTGTTGTTGGTCATTGTATTTGCTAGATTAGTGAAAAGATCAATCAATATTTGTGTGTATTCGTGAGTAGTTATGGCCAGACGCACCATACAAGATGGAATGCGAGAAGTGGCGGACTGACACGAGCAAAGAATTCACAGGACAGAAAACAGTTTTCGAATACAGGCAGAAGTATTTTAATCTAATAAGATTACTCACGTTATTACAGCTATGGCTTTAAATTTTTTATGTCCTTCGGAAACAGCCTTACATATGGCTGTTCGTTCTGCACATACTCCAACTGGGTAGCAAGCGTTTTCTACGTTGCATCCTGTATATACAGTGCCATCGTCACTCAACAGAGCGGCACCCACTCGAAACTTACTGTATGGACAGTGAGCGTTTTCTCGTACTTCAGCAGATTTCCGAATAAGATTATTCAGCCAATCATTCTCGGATTCCGACATACTTAATCCGATCTACACGACCGTATGGAATTGACCTAATAAACCTGCTGAATTTAAATCATATCTGTCTTTGGTTAAGGAAGAGTATAAACTTATAATACAAATAAACCCTTTATTTATTACGTCTGTTTAAACAAATATTCCTCGTGGGCAAACTTAATTGATAACATTTGTTTGCAGATCCTTAATATATATTAAGATTACAGTCCCCATATTCCTTGACAAGAGAATATGTGAGAGATGCAATATCTTAGAAAATCCAGAATTTAAATAATTTTGAAACTAAAATTCATAAATAGAAACTTATAAATTTAAATTTTGGTCATCATATCCATACCCAGGTGGATATGCGCTTTTACCCAAATATCTTTCTATAAACCCTGAAAGTATCAAAATCTGAACTTGGCATTCTAAATCTCCAACCTAAAATAAACCTATACCAAAATCTATGAGCTACCCATTGCAATATTGCTACACTGTATGACTCTTGTGTGCAGGTGTACACTCGACCTGTGTTTAATTGAATCTAACCTTCAAATATACCCGACCTTGTTTATAGAAGCTGTTCGAGAGGTTGAAACAAGGCCGATGTTTATTTTGGGGTTACGTTAGTACGTTCAGTATCCTTGAAACCACTTCCTTAAAAATATATTCTGTGGTCCCTGCATGAGACACAGAGCATTGGTGGTGAGCCATATATATGACTAGAAACCGGATGTGCTCGATAACATATATTCACGTCTGGCTACACAGGCTTATTGAAACACAACTGATTGTATGTTATATGACTATCTGAAATGAAAGTCTGATATCTAATTGTGCCCTGACAAGTCTAACAAGCAGATCTTCAGACATCAATCGTTGTAAATGAAAAACATAATGTAAATAATTTACGCACCGATTCATGATATTGAAAAACGCAACGTTACTCAGCCTATTGTTTCGTTTGACAATATCATAAAAGTCGTTAGCATTGTGTTACGTACCATGAACACTGAATATATAAATCGGATATTCTAGCAATTTCCTAAATTTTAAACGTGCTGAATCTCTCACTGTGAAGCGGGCAAGCCGTTGTATTAGTATGAAAAACTAACATAATTTACCTTTACTGATACCTGATATTTTACATCTCATAATCGAATCTCAAAGTATTTACTAAGCCCGTGCCTGGATATTATTGTAGCATCATTTGCAAATTTAAACAGCAGTAGACGAAACTGTCGATCTCGTGGCAGCTTTACCCCGGCTTTACTTACACCTTAATGTCTGCCGCATACCTTTTCTCCCCGGTCGCAACAATTTCACGAGAATGTATGACTTCAAAGAACGTGCGAATTAAATCGATGTCCACGCACAACGCAGGCGACAGTCTGATTTCCGGCAGATGATTTAAACCCGGAAAGAAAGTTTGAATTGCTCAAGTCTGGGATATTAATTAATCTCTGACACGATCGAGGTAAAACGTGATTTACGGTTGCATATACATCAAGTGTTTTAGTCATACTTGTTTTTCAGATTTCAATCTACTTGTTTTATACAGGTAGTCATTGATATACACAGCATATATATGTCATATATGTACGTATATTATGGAAAGTTTCATGAACTGCTATATTGGATTTAATAGGTGGCTTTCAGCCATATAATACTCATAGAACGAAAAATAAGTTGTGCTTCCAAACAAATGATAGAGAATTGGTGAAACTGATGATCCTCGAATACTGTGTATGATAAAACGGGCATTACTGGTCGTTGTTAGGGCTGGGCATTTCGAATCGAATATTCGAATCGAATAGTGAATTATTCGAATCGAATCGAATAGTGAATTATTCGAATCGGTTCAGAGCTAAATTTCGAATCGCCGCCACCTTGTTTTCTTCTTTTCGCCAATGGTCGGGGTGAATTCCCCAATTTTTTTTTCATTGAAGTCATATTTTTTCAACGCAATTCTAACATATGACTATTTTCTGTGGTGAGTTATTGATAAAACGTGTTTGTTATTGTGTGTGAACGCTCAGTAATCTATCTGAAAGATGTATTCTATGTCTTCGGTAATTCATTTGTTAAGAGGACCAATTACTATAAAAAAAGTCGCTTACAATTATATATTTCCAAGTATTCGAGATTCGATTCGAAAAAATTATTCGATTCGATTCTGAAATCACGAGGTATTCGAAAATGCCCAGCCCTAGCATTGTACATGTTAAACCAATAACAATTGCCAGTCAAACATACATTGCAAATATGAAATATAAGAATACCGAAAACGAAAAAATCCCTTCGAGGTTTTTCATAAATGACAGTATAATTTCTTCACAAACGAATTTCTATTATAAATAATAACTATAAAAAAAAATAATTCAATTTTAACGTCTTGCATTTGTACACATGTGACCATGTGGAAACACTAACACTAAATAACTCTGGGTGGAGAAAATTTTAGTTTTTAATAATTTGAAAATTTGACAAATTACAACATCCAAAAATCCCTTGGCCCATGAACAATGGTCAAATATGAAAATAAGTTCGCAGGATGTATGTTGGGGATCATTTACTGACGATTCTTTTCCCTATGAAAGAACTGGTCTAATTTACTTCAAATTGATCAATATATATATTTGTAGTTATATAGAATATATATATTAAGCAGATATCTGTACCGGTTCCATTACATTTGAACCCACGTACATTTGAACCCATGACAATTGCACCTGTATGCTATTGCACCTATGGAATTTTTTTTGTTTCGCGGATAGTTAAACCCATGCTAACCCTAACCCATGGGTTTTAGCACCCGCATATAGATTGAACCCGTGGATATACGCATGGGTTCAAATGTACATGGGTTCAAATGTACGGTCACCATCTGTACCGATTACTGGGCTCCTTTGTCGTAGCGAGTTTGGTGTAACCACTGGCCAGGGCTGGATTAACCATTAAGCAAAATAAGCTCGAGTTGGTCATAAGACTCAGAGCTCGATATTCGTTCAGTTAAAATAAACTTTTGCTTATTTTTCTTTCTCGAGTATAATTTCAAACAACTCTATATATAATTGTAGATATGAGAACTATTTCCGGAAAATCATGTAAATTAATCATAACTTGACTGGAACTTACTCGTTATTATTAGGCTGTTTCTGTTCTTACTGTTCGTTTTGATGGATAATATCTCGTGTAGCTTATTGTATTCATTTCACACATATAGGGTACCAAAAGTCTTAAGTGCTTAGGGCCTCCAAAAGACGTGATCCTGCCCTGTCACTGGACACGTCTTTCTATAAAAACCAACCATCAATGAGCAGACTAGAAAGGTGTGCGGTTTGTCTACATATAAATCTATGCTATATTATCAGATTTCTCGACTTGTTATATGTTTACGTCGGAAAGATTCGTCGGAAATTATTTCCCGGGATGATCATCCTAGAGGTCGCATACGTCACTTCTAGTTGTAAATAAGTAAACAAATATTTGTATTGACCTTTGGATTTATAAACCATTCGCGCAGTATTGACTTGGTCATCGCGAAGAATTGGGTCCGAACTGCAGTATTTTACATAACACACTTCATTGGCTAATTTGGAAAACGCCGACATTTTAGATTTTTCTCGACTCGTGTTGTTGGCGGCATGACGAAGTTAAAATGTTGCTGTGTCGGCTTCTAAAGATAAAATGCGCTGGAGACCATAGCCGAGGCACATACACACATATATATATATCAGTCAGTCAATGATTTATTATTCATTAAACTGAAAATACACGTAATATAACATTAAATAAGAAAAACCATAAAAATGGCATTCCAGGGTGGGAGACACGAAAAACCAAAGTAGCGAGTAGCGTAGTAGTAAATAAAATTTCCATATTTTCTATGTAGTTAATTAATACGTAGTGGGCCTATATAATGAAATTAATGTGCCTCATCAACGTTATTGGTCTCTGTACCTATGTGCCCGAATATTTTAATATCCACGTCGCCCGTAAAATCGATATGCGCGCATATGGATGTAGAAAAATATTCCCGTACATTTGAACCGACAATTGCACCTGCATACTATTGCACCTATGAAATTTTTTTTTGTTTTACGGATATTTGAACCCATACTAACCCTAATCCATAGGTTTTAGCATCCGGATATAGATTGAACCCGCGGATATACGCATGGGTTCAAATGTACGTGGGTTCAAATGTACGGTCACCGTAGAAGGAGATTACTTTCCTCTTCGCGGTGACAGCTCGGTTTACTTGAATGCTTATTGGACTTGGTATTTTATCAATCATTTATATCAATCATATCTCGAAGAGTGAATTGATTCACATTCAATTCAAATAAACTCTTTCTCTCACTGTATCAAATTAATTAGTTACACCCATCCGATTCGGACTGTCAGTCGAACAAGAATCTTGATTAAACGAGAATTCTTGATTCAACATGTAATATTCCCTTGGAGCGCAGCAATCCCACATCTCTCCTTCTACCACTTCACCATGTTTTGAAATGCTGGAAAAACGATATGCGGTCAACTCACAGTGTGACATCTTAGTTAGCGCCTGTTTTGAGCAAAGCTTAGCCTTTCCAGCTATTATCAAATAACGGTACTCCTTAAGTATGCGCACCAAGATGTCGCATAACCTGAACCCTAACCTGGTACACAACCTGAGTTCAGGTTGTGCGCCATCTTGGTGCGCATACTTCGGGAGGTCCATAATACCACTTCATTCATTCTGGCATCCGGATAAAACGAATAAATTTATAGTATAAAAAACGTAATTACAAAATCAATTTAATTTTGATATTAGTCATTTAATTATCATATAATATACCAATTGCATCAACAAGTATTTAGCAAATAAAGAATCCGGCTGGTTGTTTGGCATCGTATCGTTATATTGCGAGGCTTCATTCTATCTTGATTAACTACGTAGTCGTTGATTATTCGCTCTTCCCTCGTAAACTCTAGAAGACTCTAACAATCAGAGATGGCAGATTAGTCAATAACTACTTTCTATTTTCAAAGCTCGACGTAAGCGTACCGTAGCCGTAAGCTAGTCACGGCCACAACATAACAAGTATCAGAGTCAGATAACAGTAACAAAAGTCAATGGCGTTTAAATAATGCTAACTTGTTGTCATTATCAGATGTAAAAACAAATTGGATTGGATGGCAAGAACACAACATTTGACAAAAATCGGGTGGTGGCGTTATCACTCAACTACTGTTTATTATAATATGCAATTTATCTGAACTAATTCATAAAATGATAGACATCATTATTTTTTTCAGGATCAAGATTACAGCATGGAAATTATATTCCTATGCATAACGTAATCAAACCGGGCAATATTCATCTCAAACAATGCAAACTATTATTTCAAACCATGTCCATTTCCCAGGTGTATTTTCAACGACTCGTCAATATTAAATCTCTGCAGCTTTCGTCCATAACCTTCGTGAAAGTCGAAACTTTTTGGATAAGCTTTTAGCAAGACTCCGCAATGTCGTCATGGCCGACTCGCGGGCCTGATTCGCAGATTACTTGTTTACTTGTGGGTATGTTTTTCAGCGCTCGCCAATGGGCGCAGAGTATAGTTCACTATATATAATTGGCCTCTTTCGCTCTGTTCCGGAGTACAGAACTACGCTGGCGCTATTAGATAGCTTATATGAGTACCAACATATACAAAAAATTCCAGACGACGCTGCTTTAGTTTATTAAGTAAAGCCAACGAAAACATACATAGATCAGTCATCTATATAGTTAACATTAAAACAAAAACAATTGAGTGAGGAGTTCATATAGGCGTTATCATCAAGTATCTCAAATTGGCACAATTTGAAAAATAATGTACACCGTCGACCTTCTGTGAAATGTAATTCAGCTGTAACTCTACTTGATATATCAGCTACTTGAGCACGACCGTTTACACACGAATTTCATGCACAACTACATGCGCAAGTGGCGACGACCTCCATTTCTTATTCATTATTTTGAAACAGACGCCATTTCTGTCGTTTCCTTCAGTACCGAAGGTCAGCTCAAGTGCAGTATGCACTTCGAAATCGTAACGACCTTAGAATGGTATTGCGTCCGCTGAATAGCCGACTTGACTTACACCTGGACACAAAGCTTTTTTTCTATTGTTTGGTCTGAGCTGATCAGTTGTTGTGTGCCATTAATTTTGATTTTGAGAGCCTTAATAAACCGAATCTTCGCACCTCTATAAATCGGGGGATGAGTATCGCCGAACAATTAATACGACGTTGTCGTCTTAAAGATAAGTTTTGGCGCCTTGATAGTGATAAGTTCGGGGAATTGTTTAAACGTTAACTTGATAGCGAGTCTGGTCTATGGCACAAGATTATCGAGTTTTTCTAAAGTATGTTCCCAGTTAGAAACTAAAACCCCCAAGATGGCGCCAAGCAAAATATTCTAATATATATTACGACAATTGAAAAATATATAGATGTGTTAATAGCTTGCTTTGGCGAAATGATTGTTTAGCCATCCAATCAATCTTGGAAATTGACAAAATAAAAATAAACACGTTTAAACACTTCAGCTGCAACTCCTTTGCCAAAGTGTGTCACATACACTAAATGTCACTTGAGCAACTAGAAATTGATTGATTTCGGTAGCGGATTGACAATATATAGGTGTAAAGAAAATTGGGTGCAAGATGCGCTATTTGTATTTTAACGTGCTCGTAGAACATACAACGTTTATTTGAGAAAGATCAGAGTAATTTCATGTGACTTTGAATCCATCAGTCAGAATAAGACTTTTAGTGTAATCCTAATTTAGCGCCTCACAGTTTCGTACGTTATTGGAACATCAATAAAGAAGACAATCAAATAAAAAAGCAGAATATTTAGTCCGGTTTCGAGTTCTGGCAGAATATGAAAATTTATAAATTTTGGTGTAGTGGGTGAAAAAAGTTACGCTAACTGTTTTGGCGAGTCTTTAGCTATCACGCTGGGTAATACAACTACAAGACAGCCATGGTGATTACCTTAGCCTAAAGTGCCAGACGGCCGCAGGTACACTGTTGGAATATAATTATTGGGAAAGTTGAAATATGCTAGGCGTTTTGATAAAGTAACATTCGCAAGGAAGCGTTTGACAGATTAAACCTAATTTAACTTGTTAAATTATATACATGAATTTGCTTGGGGCAATGTTATATTAGACCCTGAGTCCATTGCTGTTTATCAAAGTCGATGTAATCAAACTATCAGTGTTACCTGTATACCGTTACAGAAATCATTCTAAACTATCAAAACAAACGATATGCATGTAAAAAAGGGGTAACGAACAACCTTAATTTTCGTGCTAGATAAAGCATAACCGATAACATAAATTAATGACGACTTAGTCACTCTGCCTGAGTGTATAAGACTGTGTTGTCTTTTCGTATATCTCACTTTTGCCGACAACATGGCGGTGGCAGGGAGGGATAATTCTTTCCCATGCGCAAGCGTTAGTTAGGGGCCAGAAACATAAGTAGCTGTATATCATCGTTGATTGGACAAAAATTTAAGTTAAGTCTGATCTCTCGATTCTATAATCTGTTCTATTTATTTTGTTTTTATCAATTATTTTATCGTCTATTACTCTATTATGCTGATTATGAAGTTGAAATGAACTTGTACGTATATATACTTGATAGAAGTGTAATGTTTATGGTTGATTTATGAAAAGTTTGGTAAATTTTACACATGGTTCTGAAAACGAAGCTGTCAAAGGTTCCGAAATGAGCCTAATGGATTTATCCAGTGTTTGTTCTTTCCGCATAATCACGAAGATGTTCTATTGTAATTGACCTATGTTTGATCTATTAGTTTAAATAGTCTGCTCAATAATCCAAACACAAATATAGACTTTAATTTAGTAATAAAATTGTGTTTCTTTGTTAATAGTTTATCATAGTGACCTTCATCACTGTAATAAAATCAACGTAACGGCAAGGTTGCAAAGACACTGACTGGAATATATTATTTGTCGTCGGAAAATCTTCAATATGGGAATACAACAAAAAGAATTCAAAGTAAAAACCTTTTTTTATGATAGATAGATTTTATTTTGATCCATCGCCTTTATGTTTAAACTTTCTGAATTTAAAGCCAATGTGCTAGCTGGACACTTGTGCAGTTTATCATGCCGGTTGTAACTTGCTATTTGTTGCGAAAAAAAAGTTTATTCAACCATACGATTGACGAAAATTCTATTATAAAATTGTTGGGCTACTGACGACACCATCTAACCTTTTGCTTTTATATTTAACATAGTATGCTGCCGCGATAAACTATAAAGAGATCAAATGTCATTCTGCTGCTTTTAATTTTTAAATATTGTAAGCTTTTCAACTGAACAAAATTAACATGTTTTTATTTATAGGAATACATTCGTGTAAACGTTGGGGATCCCAGAATTATTGAAAATGCCGATTCGTCGAATAAGCACACAGTTTATGAAGTGGAACTAGACGTAAGAATTATTAACAATATTAAAAAGACGTATTGACTTACTGCTAAGCGTTATCGTGGTTGAAAAGATCCGAAGGCAGTTTTATATGTATTAGTAGACACATTTAAAAAATATATATTCTTTTATTTTTAGACTAACAGTCTTTCTTTCACCCATCAACATTCAAGTGTGTGTAGAAGATATTCAGAATTCGTTTGGCTGCGGAACAGATTGCTCAGAATGCCATGCACGTGAGATTAGTTTGTTTCAAAACTGAATTTTCGTCGTGTCCATAGCGGATTCAAAATACGAGAAGAAATAGATATGAATTTATTATAACATCGCGTTTCATAATGTGCATGACTTAACTACCATTGGTAGTTTAATAAATGTTTGTCTGAGGAAGTCTGATCATGGTCAGATGAAACATTACTAAAATATATTTGTGTTGGAGTGCAGCAAGACTCTTGAATTACTTAGGATATTTATCTTCACTCTTGGTACAGCTTGCTTGCATTATAAGCTTACGAATCCACCAGCACTAAAGCATAGAAGAATTAGAAAAAGTAGTCCCGTAGAAACTCAATCGATAGCATATTTCTCTTTTTCTTTATTGCAGGCCCCGCCCACCACGTCTACCTATGAAATCGTTTCCGTGGAATTTTGACGCGAAGTTTTTGAATAAAAGAAAACTTCAGCTCCAGCAGTTCATTTCAAGGTGAAATTTACAATTCTTTATTCAAATCATATTTTCTGTATAAAATGGAACGTGTTTAAAAAACTTGTTTAGTAGGACAACTCGTACGATTATTAGTTAAAATATTTTTGTTAAAATGTTTATTTTATTTGTTTTCCATTCAGAGTCTTGGAGGAAACTTTGTTTATATCATGCAGCGCATTACACTTGTTCCTTCAAACAAATTTGAAGCCAAAAAAAATGGATTTATGCATTGAAAATGGGAAAATAAATCAAGCGATCATGGAATCGGATTGCTGCGTCACACCAAACAACTTAATCCACAAAATAAATAAAAACTGTGAAAGTCAATACACCTGCACACTGTTTACATCTATTACATGGAAAGTTGATAACAACACCAAAGTGAATGTAAACACTGTAACGACGCCTGTAGTCGAAAAAATTGATAAAGCAACCCAGTGCACGGAAGATACGGGAATATGCACCGAAGATTATGACAATTTGCAAAAGATTATCTGTGTACTGCAAAGAGAATTTTACTCAAAAATGAGTCTTAAATTTTTTTTGAAATATTATGGAAAGTTATAGAAAAAAGAGAAGGCTTTGAGCATAAGATGGTTTTTCGATTTTGCACTTCTGTTGCACCGGATTCTTGAACACTTCTAAGATAGAGCAAGAGCCACAGACGCTTTTTATTGGCCCAACCAGTAGACGGCCTTTTCTTTTCAATATCTAGTCATTGGATGAATTGATTTAAACAATAATTACGTCCCCGAAATATGAATTCATTAATCAGATAAATATTTGTTATATATATATATATATTATATAATCATAGTAGAATGTTCAGCTTGTGACCTATTTTATTTTGTTTTGTTTTCTTCAGAGGCCTTTGTTGAATTTTTTTTTTTATCATATATACAATTGTTTTTGGTTTTTATGAAATGAAATAAACATATTTTCTTGTATTGAATTTTATGATGCGAAACATTGTTCTTTGAACATATTTTAGATATTTTCTACCTATCGTTTGAAATATATTCAGCTTTTCGTGTAGGAGTCTGATTGAACAAAAACACACAATTCTTGATCCAATTCTCAGTCTCAGCCGGGTATGAAAATTTATACGCTACGAGAACCGTTTTGGATAAGACAGTTTTTGAGTAGTCCCGTAGTATGTGTACCAGGTTAGGGTTAGGCCATAATTTCATTCCGATTTTCCCCATTTTAGTTCTATTACGAGCCGGGGACTGTCTATGTTAGCCTTGTGTACATTATCTGTCCATGGGTTTCAGTCCCTTTGCACAACTTGATGTAAAGTAGGCGAACAAAATGAGTTACCTGGAGTTATCTGGTGCGCCGTTTTTGCCAATACACGCCCTCAGGCTAATTCAATAGGCAATAGGGTGCTGAGAGTGTATCCAAGTACCGGGTAGCATACCCGTTATCAGATATTGCTGCTAAATTATTCTTACAGCACCAAGCTTTAAACGTACCACGAGTTACCAGCAATACGTTAAGTTCAGATTTAGCAGATGAATTTTTTTCAATAACGTCCTATTAAATTATATTTGTAATTTGTTGCTTACGACCATATTTGTTCACCAAGAAAATTTTCTGTCGGCATCATTTTAATCATTATGAATGAAACAATGATTAGGATGAATATTTGCCTCATTACAGTTGTTTTTTTTGTGTATTTTCGATTAAGTTGTATAAGCGTTACGTCTTTTCAGGATTGGGTTTCAATTGATATATATTTCAATTCATGGTTCGTACAAATGGCTATGTGGCTGAAATTTATAGAACGGGAATGACATTAGGGGTTACATAAACGGGTACTGCTATGAACTTCTCAACTGGAAGTGACGTCCTGGGAGCTATATAAACCTTAAACCTTATGTGATTGTAAGTTGTATAAGCTTTTAAAAAAAAACTATGAAATCGTTTTCGTGGAATTTTGACACGAAATTTTTGAACAAAAGAAAACTTCAGCTCTAGCAGTTCATTTCGAGGTGAAATTTACAAATATTGATTCAATTCATATTTCCTGTATAAAATTTTACTTATCAAAGGGACGTATTTAAAAAACTTGTTTAATAGATCAACTCGTAAGATTATTAGTTAAAATATTTTTGTTCAAATGTATATTTGATTTGTTTTCTATTCAGAGTCTTGGAGGAAACATTGTTCATATCATGCAGCGCATTACACTTGCTCCTTCAAACGAATTTGAAGCCTAAAAGGATGGATTTATGCACTGAAAATGGAAAAATAAATCAAGCGGTTATGGAATCGGATTGCTGCGTCACACCAAACAACTTAATCCACAAAATATATAAAAACCGCGAAAGCCAATCCACCTGCACACTTTTTACATCTATTACATGGTTGGTTTCAATTGACATTTTATTTCATGGTCCGTACAAATATGGCTATGTGGCCGAAATTCATAGAACGGGAATGGCATAAGGAGTTACATAAACGGGCAAAAAATTTCTGTTCTTCATCAGTTATCTACAGACCATTTTCGTTGAATGAAGTCAAATAGAATTAAACGTAGTGTTTCAATTGTTGATAATATTCATGATCGAATCGGAATACGTATATACATTTAAAGCTTCACCTTCAACTAGGCGGAGTAGATTATGTGACAAAGGATCAGGTATTTAGTATTCGGTTACATATTGGGACACACATCTTTTCATAACACAGATCGCTCGCTAGCCGTAACATTAATTCCTAAGCAGGAGAAAATCCAGGCGACTGCTAACTCGCTCTCAAAATATTAGCCTAATTATTGGAAACAGTTTATCCATCAACCGCGTCAAAACATGTGAACATTTTATTATCAACATTACTGGAAATCTGGCGAGAAATTTTTCTAGGCTATAATATTCTATCGACTTACCTTACGCTTCGGTGTGGCGTGATGCTGAAGAGTGAAGACTACCAAATTTCCTGATCTGTTGCGAAATTGAATAATCTCTTAAAAAAAAACATTTTCCGCGTCAAGCAATATTAGAAAATGAATGTATATACTTTATTTTCGGAAAACACTAATTATTTGTGACACAGAATTGAACAAAAGTCTCAAAGTTGTCATACAAAAATAAAAAAAAACGTCAACATTAACGTCACAATTGTTGTAGGAGCTTGAAAATTCGAAAAATTCACAAATGGGCCAAACAGAAGCAATGCTATTTTATAGCTATAAAGTGAAGGTAAACGATTTGGCGATTGTAATGCCACAAAATGAATGTCGAAAAACTTTCCAAATAAATGATGGTATATATTATGGTATTATAACTTCCTGTAGAATTTTTAAAAAAATTCAACAATCATTCTCGCGAAAAATTCGTTTTAAAAATTTGCATAATCTTCTGCATATCTGAGCTTTTCAGACATAAGGCCATATGTTCCCTACACTGAGTCGCCTTGTCCAATTTTTTGGTTACAGCTGGAGTGATGTTGCATATATTCCCTCGAGTATTTTCGGCAAAGTAACCGAAGTAAAAAATGGGCACCCAGATTGAAATTCAGGAATATTTTCATATATTTTGTTTTCCAATGTGTTCGGTTTGACCCAGCAATTCGACTTTATGATCGTTTGATTTATTTTTCCGTTTTCAGTAGCCTACATAAATCCACCATTTTAGGCTTCAGATTTGTTTGAAGGAACAGGTGCAACGCGCTGCATGATAAGAACAATGTTTCCCTCAAGACACTAAATAGATATACATATATAAATACATGTTAGAACAACAATATTATCCATCAGTACTAGATCTAGTTTTATTATAAAGTTTTGGGTCGATATATTGAAAGTTTTCGTAAATGAGTTTGTGTTATTGAATAATCAAACTTTATTTAAAAAAAACTAGTACTGTTAACAAACAAATCAAATTGGAGAATGAAAATTTCACCTTGAAATAAATTTCGGAAGTAGGAGTTTTCTTTTGTTTAGGAACTCCGTGTCAAAATTTAATGGAAACGATTTCATAGGTAACGTGGCGGGCGGGGCCTTACAAAACATACAATAATTAGGTGATATCTTGTATTTGTATGTTTTGGAACCATAGTTACCAGTTGTGCAGCATACACAATATATTGGTAAATAGTTTAAATAAACTTTTTAGATTAAGATTACGTCCGTTTTGCGAGAGGAACACTCGGGTCAACTTTATTCTAAAACAAGATAAACTCACGTGCATGGCATTCTGAGCAATCTGTTCCGCAGCCAAACGAATTCTGAATATCTTCTACAATCTACACACACTTGAATGTTGGTGGTTAAAAGACAGACTGTTAGTCTGAAAATGAACAAATATATTATCAAAAAATATATATACTTTTTTAACTACGCTATTACAATTTGAGCTTGGTGTCTCCAATATCAGGCGATTAAAGGAGAGTGCAAATATTTTCTCGGGGATCCTCTGCCATCGCGCTCAATAATACTGCCCGTACAACATTGCATTAGATTGAATAATCTTGTTCCATTATTATAACAAAATTTGAACAAATGGTATTGAGCTAGGGAAGTGTCAAATGGGTTTTGTTTCTTCTGCGAGAAAAGCAATTGAGCTGAAATCTGAATTCCAATGCTCACTTAAATTATTTGCCTAAAGTGTTAAAAATATTTCAACCCAAGTCACATTTCCAAAATCAAATTTATCTACAAATAGTTTGCTTCAAATTTTCTGTTCCTGAATCTAAAGTAGCCCACTGTTTCTGCAAATGTGGATTTCCAGGGTTGAAAGAAGTTAAAGTGGTCTATTATTTCTAACTTTATCACAAAAATTCATTTTAAAACTTACATCTAATTCAACTTCATAAACCGTATGTTTCTTCCACCAGTCAGCCTTGTCAAATTCAACTCAAATTCATTTCTTTATATTCAATCAAGAACGCATACTTGGTTACTTATACAAAATAATGATTAAATAAATTTACTCGCAAGGGTATGCTTAAATGCCAGGTAAGCTGAAGACATTTCCGTTAGTCCAGTGTTCAGTACCAGGCGAAAGTAGCAAATTTGGTAAGTTCTTCTTGCTGCTCTGTAAGCTACAAAAAGCTTGGACATGAATGCGCCTAAATAACTGATCTATCGAAACTCTATCTTACTTTGAATTATATTTCTTGTACTCCTATTTTGAAATTTTCGCCAGGTGAAGATATATTCCAAACAGAGACCTGAGATTCTTTCTTTCAACTCAAGCTTATTATAATAATATAAGCACTATAGAATACCATTAGAGTCAGACACGCAATTTATCACTACTTTAAAGTCTATGTTCGTGTTTAGATTATCGAATGGGCTGCCTAAACTAATAAATCAAACAGAGGTTAATTTCAATACAACCACTCCGTGCTAATGCGAGAAAAACAAACGCTATATAGGCCCATTACATTCATTTTAACACCTCCGGTAGGTCCGACGGTTTTTCTTTTTTTTTAATTTTATAATAAATACTCTGTATATATATATATATGAAATGTGTACGTCGTTTATACGTGGAAGGACGTTACAATATTTTCTAACCACTGAAAACTTATAGTATAAATGCATACAATTATTATCTCGTGAGCATGGCAATTTTGCGCGGGATACACTCACAGCTTGTAATTTGCGTGATCGGGTAAAGACTAGGTCCGAACGTAATTCGTTAGTTGATGTTGCTGATAATTCTCAGAAGAACGAAATCTTTGGCGAAAATAACGTTTTTCATTGTGCAGCTAAAATATCTATTTTCTTGATGAAAATTCTACATATATATTTATGGAAATTATTACACAACATTTACCATATATATATATTTAAAATTCTAACCAAATATAGGATCAAATTATAAAATCATTTTCTAACGTATTTAAATTTAACCGACAGCAACACATAAGTCCAACAAGACCTTGCTACCAATATGAATGTTTGAATTGAATGTTTGCAGTGCTGTAGAACATTTCTTCACCCATTTAACGATTTATTACCAGAATTTTAAGAGATGATAGATGCCGCTATTCCGAAGTGGAAAAATGTCCTGTAATGTCACGGCCTGTAGTGTCACATACAATATGCACATTATTGGCATGGATTTACAGTGTTACATTAAGTAACTTGAGCAACACATAGAGGGGTAGTTCAGCTACTGCACCAAAAAATATTATGGGCTCCTACTGTACCATCACAAAAATTTACAGCACAACACAACGTACTGTTAGTGCATAGTGGATTTGCCGTCCTGTAGTGTCATGCTATATTTTACTATATTTTTTTTATCTACTAAGTAAGGTTGGGTGTAACTTTTGTGCAATTTTTTACATATTCAATGAAGCAACTGATTGGACAATGAAACCAAACATGTAGCTGAAAATGTGAAAATATATTGAATTTAACAACATGCAAAATTTCTGGAATTGTCCTGTAGTGTCACTTGGAATAGCCCATATATATATATATATATTTGAGGAGAATTCATATAGTTTCGCCAAACGACAACTTCGGAAAGTCCAGAGTAACGCAGTTCCAAGCAAATTAATAAATATAATCTACTCGCATTGGTAGCTCGAGATCTTGTCAAGTATTTTTAATCACGGTCAATGACAGCTAGTGCACGTGACACTTACTGACGAATAAACTGTTCAAAGATGTTTATTTTGTTGTTTTCTAGCATATGCTTTATTGCCAAAACATGTAAGTAAAAATTCAATTGATCAGATATATGTGTAGCAAAAATACAAAAAATATTCACTTTTTTCATTTTCAAGCACTTGATTTTTAACTAGCTGTACATATTATAAGAATTTACTGGATTTAAATTAATTTATTTTTAATTGCTTCGCCGACGAGGCGCCAAAACTTATCATCCCGAGGACGACAACTTTATATTAATTGTGCGACGACACTGATTAATTAACCGGACCATTAACAGAGGTGCGAAGAGTTGGTTAGTTTTGGCTGCAAAATACAGATTAATAGCACAAAACAACTGATAAACAGACAATAAGTATGAGTATATAAGAAATTTCAGATTACCCCGATTCTCGCAGCACATGTAACATTATTGCCCAGACATTAGCATACCGGGGCTCTCACTTTGACTTTGGGTACTTCATCTCTATTAGATAGCGCCATAGCAACAATAATAAATTTCACGCTGTCAAAGCTGATTGACAAGGACGGCGCAACGTTCAGTTTTCAATTATATAGGAAATCAATAGGAAAAATAAGTTAATAAAAATGTGTGGCTCATTATGAGGGAATTGTTATTTGATGTGACATTCAAAGTGATTTATAATGCATCATGGAATGACATTAATTCTTCGAGATTTTTGTTGTTTCATGTCATTGCTTCAAGTAACTATTTATTTTATACAAATAAATTGAAAATTTGTTACCCGAAGGATCGGTTGACATTTTTCTGTCGCCCCATCATAAATAAGTCCGGCTTCAACTTTTGGTCAGGAATACAACTCGTTAACATATGGCTGAAAATCAATCATCAAAATTATCTTATACAAATATTTAGAGAGTTGGTCACGCGAAGAAGCTTGTCGAACGTTTTCTATCTGAACTCAATCAGATTCACGTGTCTCATAAATATCGTTCCCGCTGGTCCCCATTTAACACACTTGCTCCGTCGTTCTGCGTTAGGTCAGATATATATTGTGGGCAACTGGTTAAAGTAAGCATACAAATTGGATCCGACTAGATTTCATGAATAGTTTGGAAGTACGTTTCAGGATTTATTTATTGGCAATAACTCACTTCTCTTTAAACATCAACTGCGAGTTACTGCCAAGTGCCACGAGGTAGTAAATGCCCTGAATATTCATTTATTATTCGCATAAAAGGTCGTCCACGGAAAATATGACCTATGCCTAGTCATAGGCGTTTTACGTATTTTTCTAATATACGTCGAATGTTTTTTTGTGAACTCAAGCAGATTCGAATGTCTCATAAATATCGTTCCCGCTTATCCCCATCGTTCCGCTACATTGTGGGCAACTGGTTAAAGTAAGAATATGAAATGGATCCGACTTGATTGAATAAATAGGTTGGAAGTACGTCCTATGATTCATTTAATGGCAATCACTCACTTCTCTTCAAACACCAACTGTGAGTTACTACCAGGTGTCACGAGGTAGTAAATGCCCTGTATATACATGGTCACCTCCTCGTATTTATTGTGTTTGAAGGAGTTTCGAAGCATAATATGAATACGGATGATTACTGTTGATCACAATATTTTCTAACCACTGAAAGCTAATAGTATGGGCTTTACAATGCAGGGTTCCCTCCCATAAAATCACATTCTTATGCGGTCTCGCTAAAACGAGAGAATAGTTAAATGAAGCCAAATCAACTTATTATCTCATGAGCATTTGTGAGAGTGGCAAATTTGCGTCAGATAGACTCGAAGCTTGTAATGTGCGTGATCGAGAAGATTTATCCCGAGCGTAATTTGTTAGTTGATGATTCTCAGAATAAAGAAACCTTTTCATTGTGCAGCTAAAATGTATATTTTCTTGATGAAAATTTTACATATTTATCGAAAACATTTACCATATAATTAAAATGCTAACTAAATATAGGATTAAATTATAGAATCATATTCTAACATATTTAAAAATAACCGACAGCAACACATAAACCCCAAAAGACTTTGCTACCATTAAACCATAAAAAATTATTCGATACGCTAAGAATACATTGGTGAAAAGGAATATACAATCCACGTACATATTTCAAGACAATTGATATGGTTGCTAAGCAGACTCTACACGACTAAGAAATATTTAGGACTGAAATATATGTTGATACTAATTCATATTATATCGTACATTATTAAATTTTCTGTTTCTAAGTTTTGGGTATACTTTAGATTAGACTATTAATGCGCGTTGGTAATAATACAGTTCAAATCTAATTGTTTTCATATGAAAAATATAAGTCTTGAAATAATACTGTAAACACAGGTTAGCATTATTAAAAGCTTTCTATTAGATTAGCGGTCAGTTCAGTGGTCTGATTATTATGAGCGACACCAATAAATCCATACCACGGCTTCACCCAGTGTGTAAAAATTACAATTTATCAAGAAAGTTCTGCCGAAAGAAAGTCATTAAGTGTAAACCTGAGACATACGGTAGTTAGCCCATATGGGCCAACCTCTATATACTATTCTAGTTTGCACAGAGTAAAATTATGTGCATATAATGGAAGATACAGAGATCACTTTACAAGATTACAGATTTATGAAAAGATGATGACATGATAGCATAGTTATGACAAAAAAAAGAAACTTATTAAAAAATAAAAGTTTGGAACATAATTACAGAAAATCCGATTAGAAGAGCAATTCATTCATATTACATATAAAAAAAATACTGAAAAAAGTTCAATAACGACACAGTATCAAGTAAAAAATCTAGTTCATTTCATTCAATTAATATAAAAAGTAATAAAGCAAAATTCATAACTGATAACAAAATTCATAACAAACATGCACTAGCCAGAACAGTCAAACAGTTAGTTGGTTGTTACAGAGTGAATGTTTTATTCTCAGATAGTACAAGGCAATGTTCCCTCTAATTTTTTTGTAGTATGTGTGCGCAGAAATTTTGGTGTGTGCGCACTTTTTTGGAAATGACTAATATTTGTGCAAAAAACCAATGAAGAAATTTTGGCGTTCTAACCGGGTAATGGGTGGGCCAACAACAAACTTTCTCAACCTGCCAACCGAGAACAGTGTTACATCACATCGAAATACGTCTGTGCGCAGTAAATCTATGCATGTGCGCAGCCTCTGAAAGCTGTGTGCGCGCGCACACCTTAGAAGGAACACTGGTGCAAGGGTATAAAGGTATTCATATTTTTTCAAGGTTGATGAGAGGTTCCAATATCAAACAAAAGTTTTTGCACACTCCCTACTTGATCAAACCTATTACAGGGTGTAACAAATTGGTAAGGCTGTGATAAACCTAAAAAAGGGTAACTCTACAGGTATGCCTTGGTGACTAAAATAAAGAATATCTGCAAAAAAATCTAAATATATAGATGATTCTCATCATCATCTTGTTAGAAAAATTAGTAACCTTAGAAACAAAATAGTAATAACTTTAAAATATTGATCATGTTTACAATATCATAAAATTAGTTCAATGACAAACAAAAAATTCATTGCATAATTGATTAAAAAAGTCAATAAAAACTAAAGTATTCGGTTAGGAATATCATGAGTTGCTATAAATACTTAATACTGGTAGAGATATATTAATTTACACAGTATTGTATAACTAGAAGTACGCGTTGTGCATCTCTGCTGCCTTTTTCAGAATATCACTGTGGGATGCAAATAACTTTATTCTGTGATCAACTTGCTTCCAACTTACTTTGTTTGCCTCTTCACCAGGCTGAAAATAAATATACATGAATATTAAATTTTAATTTCTCGTACATTCTGTTGCATTTACCCTTTTCGTTATTATGGTAATACATACATTGAGTTTAATGCTATTGAATGCTGTTCCTTCTTCATCATGAAAATTGCATGCAACGGTTTCAATCCAAGCATTATCAGTATTACGGTGATCATCACAATAACCCTTGAAAAGCTGAATAGAAATTTTCATACATTGAATGTTTCATATTACAATTAGTATTTTGTACTATTTCTAAATTCCCCTGCAAATCTGAAAAAATACAATAAGTGTTGGAAAACATTGAAAAATATTTAAAAAATGAGTTACAGTAATTTATTCTGATTTCTGATATAAATATTTATTAACATCTGGCAACATAGGGAAAACCTATTTTATTACCTATTATTACAATTTGTTTATTGTTGAGAATTGTATTTTCTACTTCAGAGTGCAGGTTGTGATATTAGTTTATAATATCTACAAAGTAGATTTTTTTCTGATAATTATCTTGACAGCTGAATGAACTTACTTCCAAACCTCCGGACTTGAAAAGATTGAGCACATTTTCTCGAATTCTTTCAATTTCCAGAGGATCATGTGTGCCCTCAATATTTAATGCTTCCTCACTAAATTCCCGTCTCAAGGTGACAGAAACTTTTTCTCCTGGATCTACCATACCCTGTAAATAACAACACTGCGTATGAAATAAAGAACGAGAAAGAACTGTCACTGTGATAGATGAACAAGCTAAAGATAGTTCTATTTCAAAATATTCATATTCAGTATATATATAACATAAATACAAAGAAAAATATTAAGATGCAAAATGCTAAACAACCTGTATTGTAACTTGTATTCAGATCAGTTGAGGTTCAAACAAAATACAGTCCCATTTTAATAAATTTTTGAAAGAGAATTTTTATATTTGGTCATGTCAAAATATGAAGACCACACAAAATGCTTGCACAGTTTGGTAAAAATCTACTTCTTGAAGTACGTCAAATTTCAAGTTTGTAAAATATAAACTTCTGTTTTAATTTAATTACATTAAAACTCCCACTTCTTATTTCAATTTTACTTCCCTAACTATTCAGCCACACATGATCAAGGAATTCAAGGTGCAAATATTTTTGGAACTACTTGCAAAATTAAACAAGACTTACTCCAGGAATCGCCCATTCACCAGTGTCTGCACGTTTAACAGCTACAAATTCGAGCACTGGTTTATCATCTATTTTAATAATTTCTTTTTGAAAGTTTCGCTTCCATCTTGTTACAACAGGATCAGCTGCATGATTTGGTCCATATCTGCCGAGTAATCCCCTCCCACATATTCCTGTTCTTCCTTTTGGATTTCTGAAATATACCGATAGAAATTTTGTTTTTAATAAATGACAGTGAGTATGCATATGTTATGACATCCTGGCCATTTTGTTATTGGTAAATACTTTCAAAGCTACTACTCAAAATCACAAAATAAAGTTGTGATCCTAGAGGTGAAATTATGTAGCTACCGGTAGATCAAGTTTCTGTTTCGTACTTCTTTTTAAAGTAAAAAAATAGCTGCTCTGGTAGTGGAATCGGTACTCCCGTAATATGTGTACCAGGATGGGGTTAGGCCATAATTTTATACCGATTTTTTTTCTTTTAGTTCTATCACGAGTTCGGGGACTGTTTGTGTTAGCCAAGTGAATATATCCTCTGCCCATAGGCTTCCGTCCCTTTACACAACTTGATGTAAAGTAGGCAAACAAAATTAGTTACCGTAACTCCATATTGGTACACTTACTTCTGGAGCGCCATGGAATCAGCCAACCAATTAGGCAGTCACTAGGAATAACATCAAACTTAGACTTTATGATAGTGGAAGATATACAGAAAAATATTTACTTTGGTATTCCATCGACAACTAAGTATGTTCCTGTATGACTAGCTCTGTTTACTTTATTCTTCTGATCATATTTGTTGAAAGGAAGCCGAGGTCTATCTTTAGTGTCATAATGTTCTAACTCTGCATCGGCCCATATTTTCAATGGTAGAGAAAGGACAATTTCAGCAGTGTAGTAAACAGGATCGTATTCTGGCCAGACAGGTTGCTGTGTTGGATAAAAAAGAAATTGATCTATAATCATATTGCAGACTGTTTCGTGTAAATTGCAAGACAATTTGACAATTGCTCCTGGCAATGCAGTTGTCAGCCTCGACTCCACTCTGAGAAGAGTCACATTATCTTTTGAGTGAATAGGGATAAATATGCCCAGCTCGAGCTATCGTAAAACATGATTAGTAGGGATAGGATAGGATTTACATATTCATCCCGGGTAGAGGAAAGTTGATGAGACGGCTTAATCAAATGGCGAACCACAGCCTCTTGTCCTGTTACCTGTCCATGTCGGGTATGGGATTAGATAGCCAGTTATTTGTTTTCGGAAGCATGGACTTGATATATTAGTAAGTATTGTCAAACTTTCTGCGGAAAAAAAACTTCCCACCGTTCATAAATAGCTAAATGCATATTTGCTAACACATCAGGCCATGATTAAATGCAAATCATATAAAGTTTTTAATATTCTTTAGATATCGCCATGTCATCTTCACATTACCTTCCATAAAACTTTGTCATCAGGTACTTCTGTTCTCATTACCGTTGAATCAGGATATGGACTCGATCTTGCTTTCACATGCACAGCTAGAATGCAAGAAAATTTCACTGTATCGCTGATTGTAAATGGAGTAGCGCATAGGCACAAGCTAATAATAAACTAGGTAATACCAAATAGGGTACATTAGAATTAAATATTGATCATCAGGTTGTTGCGAAGAGTAATAATATTTGTCATGCCAATTAAAAGTTTTAGAGGATATTTTACCCTGGTAAGGCTTTATGCAAGCACACAAGAAGACATAAAAGATTTCCCTGTTCCACATGACCTTGAATTGGGGTAGGTTATAGACAAACAATGTACTAACAGGTAAAAATAAAAATAGACTGCTATTACATGAAGCCAAGCCAACATGAGGTATCATATCTTAATAATTTATTCTGAAATTTGTGTATAATTAACATCACCTTATCTCACTTTTAATTTAAACACTTCATTACTTAGTTTAACACTTCATTACTCAGTTAAAATCAGTTACCGTGAATATCTCTAAAGAATTCAACAAAATTTTTTGGAAGAAAATTAATTCATTCTTACACATTCATGTTGCTTGTACAATCAGAAATTCAATCAGAAAAAAAGGAATAAACAACTGTTCAGACACCAATAAACCATGCTCATATATACACTATCAAATATATTACAGACAGAATAAATATAAAAAGCATCACATATAACACATACGTTCAACCGGCACATCTTTTTTAGGTTCCGGAGGAGACTTTGGTTTTGATGTTTGAGGTTCGGACCATGCTTGTTTTGTTGCAGGCTCAAGTACATGTGCAGCTGTATTTTAAAAAAAACATACATGCCCAACATACAATAGGATACATTTTAACAAAAGAAAATCAAATAGGTAGCAACTGAAATAAAAATATCATGACTGTTATTTCGAAAAGCAAAACCTTTGTCGGAATCAGTGTTTTGCAGAGATGTAGTAATTCACATGCATGGAATGTACATACATACTTTTCACAACTCCCACAATAAAACAATTCACCGACAACACACTCATTAGTGCAAGACAAATTTAAAACAAAACATTATGCTGTTATACCATAATATAAAAACATATATTTATATATATATATTACAAAAGTCGACTGGGGAAAATAATAAAATTTTGATCCACCTTGAAGTCTATAATGTCGAAAGCTAACCTAATTTAAGACTTATAATTTTCTGAAGTCAAAAATCATTTAATGAAACACTTGATCACTCATATGTGATGATTTAACAAATCTATTTTTTTCTAACAATCTAGCACTCAAAACAATACTAGCTTTCTATGTTCAAGCTGACTTAAATCCTTTTAATATATATTCTAGAATCCTAAACTGGCTTAATTTGATGTTTGGTAAAATTTTCAATTAAGATCATCTTTATTCAAAAATAAAAAACTAATTAACTAGTTAAACTGAATAATGCAGCAAACCCATGATGTGGTTCATATGTAAATCAGGGAATTTAAATAAAATATTAAATAAGCACCTCTATGGAAGCAAAAACTCATTACTTTGGTAGTCCATACTGACGATCAAAATAAAATCATCAACTACCTGAATGCTTTGGTTCTGACTTCAAATGTGAAGAACTTGGATTTGCTGCATTTATGTTTTCGATGAGTTTTTCCAGATGACGAAACTTGGATTGCATTGTGTTATTGAGTTTGTTTAATCCTTTTCCATCACCTTTTTGTTTTGTTAATCTTTCTTGCATGTCTTCTATTTTCGACATGATATTGTCAATTCTATATATAGATAATACCGAACAAGTTACTCAGTTAACCTAAAAAAAATTAAAAAAAAAACGATATTTGTAAATTATAATCCAAGAATATCAGTGATAAGTTTAGTTGCCCTCTACTCAGATTATACTTTTAATTCTTCTCATGTTGGCTTTTCCTAATTGTAATGAACCATCGCATCATCACAGAAACACATAGATAAAACATAATAATCAAAATAATGACAAAAGGTTGGGAACCCGATCAATACATTCACATAAGATTACAGAAGGTTTTTCAAAGTTCATTGAAAATATGGAAATTTTTGAGTGCAAAATATAGTGTGGTAGGTAAACTAGTGATTACAACTATTGATAACCACATATGCAACTCAGATGGGAAGTTGACATGCTCAGATAATGCTTAATTGAAGCCAATAAGGATGGGCCTGTGTAGCTGCAGTCTGAAGATATCTTTAAATTTATGCTTTAGAAAACGTAAATGACATCTGCGGGGTTTCAATTATACGAATACGTAGTTCTAGTATCTCAATCTCTTTTTTACAACAGCCTATGCCATAGCCATAGTGAATTATTTTTCATCACCTGTTATTCAGCCTTTCCATCTGTTTATCGACTTTCATTTTTTCTTCTTCATGCATTTCATTGATAAATGCTTCCGCATGCCAGTGTTCCCATTTCCTCAATTGCTTGACTTTATCTTCCTTTAACTCAGACTCTGTGAAAAAAAGAAATTCTTTATACCTAGTGGTGTGAAGACTTACACCACAATTTCACAAATTTTTCTATATAATGCAAAATTTCCCAACTAGAGGAATTTCTTCCGGTGAGAAATTTTGTCGTTTTGAGGAGGAATTTCGCTTTGTATTCGCTGTAGTATTACTAAAATAAAAAAATTTTTTCATTATTACTACAAAACCTATTTCTGAACACATAATAAAATACTTAAACTGTACAAAAATGGCAGTGTGACTGACGCATAGTGATCTATCATTAATGACAAAACAAATAGTGTTATGCATAGGGAGGGAGGAATAAAGAGTTGCAAATAGGCAAAGAGTGAAATTTAACACAAAAGGTTGGGATTACTGATATAATGTTTCAGCAAACCAGCATTGAATTCAACTATAAAGAACTGGTTAAATCCAAGTTATCTTACTGTACAGGGCATCTCAAATATTAGTGGAAGTTAAGTTTGATTTTTCAAAACATTCCTAGTGCTGGTTTGAGCTTACTCAATGCATGAGAAAATGGATCATCTCTTTTTATTCTTAGAAATATTTTTCTGTGAAGGAATCTGAGTAAATGATAAAAATGTGAAAATATGATGAATGGAGGAACGAGAGGAGGTCGGAAGTAGTAGTCGGTGATGAGTGTGTATCGCTGAAACATCCAAATCTCATTTCCTTGGCTTTCAACTTTGTCAAAGGTGTAACTGAAGAAATATAATATTATGTCAGTATTTACTTGGCAAACCAAAACGAGCAAAAGCCTCAAAATAAATGCTTTAAAGTTGCTTATGGTAACACCTGCTAGCCAAACAAAATAAGTAAAAATACATGTGGTCACTCAATCTTGCAAAGTACAAAGTTATGGGATAAAATAACATGCTACCAGAGAGCTTACTGAATATTTAATAACCACTAAGAGAAATAGCAAATGAGATAGAAGATACCTTTCCATCTTTAACTACTGACAAATTGAAAGCAATTCTAAGTAAGATTTATAAGCGTTAAAATAGGTGTCTCTCTTAGGGTGTGTCACATATTTGCTAAAAAGTTCCTGGTCTGGGTTAAATTAAATGTTTCCATATAATGTTGTAAATAATTTCAATACCAATCTCCATATAGGCCCATATGACTACAATGAGAACTTTGATGTTAAAGAAAGTGTATGTCCTGGATAAAAGTAATTGTGACTTTGCTTAATGAAAAATACCAGATTCATAATATATAAACAGCATGATACAAATTCAAATTTTTACATCCTTTTAAAACACATACCTGAACATTGCAATAAGAAGGTTTAGTAAGAGAACATTGACAAACAGCAAATATATAGCAGATATAATTGGAACAATAACAGATTGTTGCGGACATCTTGGAAGACTGTCATTAGTGTTGGAACATGTAAAAGCATCAACGTCTAAAAAAATAATATAATTTGAAATAAAATATGGATTTCCAAAAAAACGTTCTTAAACTATATCAGTAAACGAATGTGAAGAGACACATTTTATTTTATCCATTTGCTCATGGCATTGCCGTTAGAACATGTATCGAAGCTTTAGAAACATTGCATATGTCAAGTAGGATGCTTGTTGGGGAATATTTTTATTGAATTTGTCTGGTTAGAGAATTTTCCAGCATAATATGGTTACTCGACTATATAGAGTACATATGATGTTAGACTTTTAACTTCTACTGACATTCAATTTGATCTAAATTAAACACGTTATTGTAGCTACCAGATAGTTTTGAATGTTGTAGAATTATTTCATTTTATATACCGGTATATTAAATATATACTATAATAAGATTCTTAAACAGTTGCATCGGTAAAATTATTGTTACAAAGTAATATTGGAAAATTATAAGAAAAGAGCAATACCACAGAATATCCAGTGAATAAACCACCATGTTCAAATTTAACACTCACTCGGATTGTAGTTAATTTCATCCAAGAATAGTTCACCGTATATTTGCCAATAAGGTTTATAAATTATCCCGACAATTATTTGAGAAAAGCTTGTTTCGCCTGGATAAAGAAGAGCTTGACTGGCAACTCCATATGCCAACAAAAACACAACGAGTATAAACAGGAAGAATAACAGATCCTTCAACTAAAAATATGGAAAAGAAGAAACACTTGAATGGTTGCATTTGCTCGGTTGATTTCAAATATTTTTGTGGCACTTTCCAGTTTCTTTCTAACAATACTAATCTAAGTTTTTATTAATAGTGAAAATTACAAACAAAAACTAATAACTCAAACTCATAGAATCAAATGATAGCTGAAGCAGTGGCGCAACCAGCGGGGGGTTACGGGGGTCGTGTCCCCCCGTTTGAAATTCGTTTTTTTTTTGTTATTGTTCTACGTTCAAACAACGTCGTTCTACGGTCATAACAATCCGGTGGAAACTACTTTTTTCCAGTGCTTTATCACCTCGACGTAATTTGAAACCGCCCGACTTCAATCATACCTTTTTGCTGTTAGTTACGTAATAATCGCTATCCCCGCGTATATGTTTGTATTCGAAAATGAGATATGTTACCTCAAAAAAGTAGAAATCACGCGCTGTCGATGCGAATTGAAAGCGACAATAGCATAATGCTATCTCTCTCTCTCTTGACGAATACTCTCGTGCTTCATCATCTTGACGCAATGTAACGTCGCCCGTCTTCATGTTATAATAATGCAGTAGAAACTCTGAAAATCTGGATACGAAAATTATTTTCGGAAAAATATTGCTTCGATTAACCTAGGATTTTTTACATATGAAAGGCCGAAAACCGAAAACGCCGTACACATCCTACCGCCCCCGTCCACGTTCTGATTTAAAAACATTTCACAATTATTCTATTTTTTTATCGCAATCGAAAGCAGCCATGTGTGGCACGGCAATAACTAACAGTCGTCGTGAAAGGTTTTCAATAAACTCCGACTTGAAGTGCTTATAAGACGTCGAAGACGTTTTTGGTTGAAAATTTTTTACATTTGTTATCGTATATTTCAATTTAGTCAAGATATGTTGTGCGCCTCGGCAATAAACTCAAAAGCAAATCCTGCCCTAATTAATTGTTTTCATCCTCAGTTTCGATAGTTATCGAACTTAACGGGAAATTTTTTAATTTCTTGCAATCTATAATATAGTTTCTAAATATTATTTGGTTTCTATCGGAGATTTTATTGTTATCCCGACGTCGTTGATAACAATATCGTTCATTTTAAGTTGGAGGTATTGGTTTATAATCAAAAAATTATAACACATAACATGAAAAATTTAAATCAACGCCGACTCAAAAAGTAAAACACGTTTTTCCATTTTTATTCTCCATTATTGGCGGACGAAAATTTGGGAATCGGGTTTAACTAATTTGATTATGATGACGATGGTAAACAAAAGTACACAAACATACCATACCGTTCTTAGTTTTTAGTCGTTATTTCTTTGTCCTTTCTTCTTTCTATGTACATATTAAGACCATAAAACGTGTTTTAATTTTGAACTCTGCGCATGTCGGCTGTTATGTATTTTTGTTTGTAAATGAATATCGCTAACTTAAACTGAACGATGTTGTCATCAACGCCGGATGCCGACGAAATCCGTGATAGATATTAAATACTATTCAAGAGCTATTTTATACGCGCTAAATTACAAGAAATGAAAAAATTTCCTGTTATGTTCGGTCACTATCGAAACTGAGGATGAAAACAACTAATTAAGACACAATTTGCCGAGGACGCCTAAACCATCTCGACTAAGTTAAAATACACGATAAGAAAATATTTTCAATCAAAAACGTCCTCGAAGTTTTATAAGTTCTTCAAGTCGGCGTTAACCGAAATTCTTTCATGTCAGCTGTAATATATTGCCGAACCACACATGGACGACGACGCTAGGATATGTGCGCCATATTCGGGATTATTATAAACACGAAAAAACAGTATTTGAATTTTGCGATATTTGAATTTAAATTCGATTTGGACATCCCTGCATTAAATTAGTCAGTTTTTAGTTGTGTTTCCAAAAATTAGTTGTAAATCAAGTATTTTAATTGTCATTATGTCTTCCGGTGAGCTTCAGTTTAGTTTAGAATTTTTCTGCGGTTGGGGTCGGGAAAAGGTCCATTCGCAAGAAGTGCATTTTGTTTTTAGTCTTGACGAATTCACCCAACGAGCAAGGCGCGGCACGAGGGAAACACTAGAATTTATTCAAGTCGTGTTTCACTATCCACGAGGCGCAAAGCGATGGAAACGTTGAAAATAATTAACAGCTTTTCGTTAGCAATTCGCTGGAAAGTAATGAACGGCGTTTTGCTACCCACGAGGTGCAAGACATAGTGACGCGCCGTTGATGAACGAGTGCCAGGTCCGCGAAAGGCTGGGATTTAATCGATGGCGTTTCCCTTTTAACCACGAGCAATTTATCGTGTTTCAGCGGGGCGACACCTAGTGGCGTTGCGACTTACGTCGTGGTTGCACTGTGTAAATTCCGGTCGGACCCCCCCCGTTGAAAATGGCCTGGTTGCGCCACTGAGCTGAAGTATTTTGAACTAAGGCTGGGATTCGGAGTTTGGCACGTTTCTATTGATATCGAAGTCAGGCCAGAATCATTACTGTAAATTCCCCAGATTCAAGTCTGGAATTTTGAGTTTTCAAAGCCGAAATCCAGAGTCAAAATTTCTTACAAAAAATCAATGCGTATCAAGTTGACCAAACATTCTCGACATGCGTCATTAAAGAGAGCGTGGATATACAAAAGCTTTTGCATAATTTGTTATTTTGTAGTTTAGAGATGAAGCTGGAGCTCAAATTTCACTGAAATGGAGTCAGGAGACAGAGTCCAGCGTAGCTTTTTAAATGGTTGAAGTTGAGACTACAGAGGCCTGACTCTGATTTTTAAAAGTTTTAAAGCACTGCTACTGACCACTCGTTACAGTTCACTAACTGAGCAATTAGCGTTGGTGAGATGGCAAAGGAGTGTCTAACACTTAGTTCACAGGGCAGAGGCAACATAGTATAACAGGCTAAAACAAGTTGAAACTGCACATTACTAACATAATTACTTAATGAGTTACCGTTTGACTTACCATTTTACCGACCATGATAATTTTAGGCCCAAGAATATGGTGAACAGCAAATATATGGACAATTCGGACACATTGAATCATGAAGGAGAAAGAATATAAAATGAGAGCTTCATCCAACAGTGAAACAAACCATCTGAAATTATTATTCAATGTTTATTCAAATGAAACACAATAAATAAATAGAATATAATGGCAAAGCATTTAATTAGCAACAAGATTTGCCACATCATATCAAAATCTTATAGTTATCATTAATTGCAGACATGTCACAAAAAATACATAGGAATTAGGAACATTGCTATGGAGAACCCAATGTTATAAAATGCATCGCTAATTTCAATTCAATTACTATCAATCTCAAACAAAAACTGAAGTGGGTGAACTAATTAGTGTCAATTGATTATTTGTTGCAATTCTCATTTTCATCAGTGATCGCCATAAATACAAATAAGCAGATAGGTAATTGTTAAAATATTTTTTTATTCTAGCTTATAAGCCCTAGTATTCATAATCTGTATTAAAAACCTTGTTACAAAAAACACAGTTATAAATATGTATGTTGTATGTTTAAATGTGGTTGTTCCAACATTGCACTCGAAGAGCGATGTATAAGCCTAAAAAGCACCATTGTTTACCCAAGTTTTATCAAAACTTTGAATCTAATTCAACATTTATGAGCAAAAAGATTGCTAAAATTCTAACAGTCACAGGGCAGTTAGCTATTATCATCTACTGCAGTCAGTTATGACAATCCTTGCTAATATTTTGCTATGCAACGTAAGTTCCATATTTTATAAGACCACGGTGAAAAATTACTACATCATTGGGTCAGCACTAAAGCCTTCTTGGCACGCAAACTCCTACCCATTTTGCATGGGTATGTTTAAAATATTTTTTTTCGTCACCCATTTAAACCCTAAAGCTTCTCTCATGGCTTTTAAAAGTGTGTGCTAGAGTTCAGCAACATATCCTTCAAAACACACTCTTCCAAAAAAAATTCGAGAATTTCCATTAAAAAACCTTAACCTTGAGATATTCTGTGTACAGGGTTAATAATTAATTCCCAATTAAATAATTTGTATTTCAACGTTTTCGTAAAGTCTTTCCCAACAGAACAATACCAAAACGACTATTATAGCATAAATGGTTGAAAATGGTTACACAATTGTATTTACAGAATTATCATGTTCAAGGCTTCAATTAACAATTTGGATGATGTCACAGCTCTAATTATTACTGCACAATTTCAGACATCTCACACGCGATTTTAAAATCGACGCTATTTATACAATTCGAACTTTGCGTCACGACTGGAAGATTTTATCGCTTCTCTCATATAAGGGCATTACGTCAATAAATAGCTAAGAGCGATATTAACAGTAGGTTACCCGTCGCTAATGTACATAGCGCCGGTAAGCTCATAAGCTTTCAGGGCTAAATTACAAAAACATTGTGTTTAATCCTACCCCACCTCAAGCCAAAGCCAATATAAAACAGTGTTAGGCTCAACAGATCCATAATATTCCAAGTGTCAGTGATATGCAACTTAATTTTCTCTTTTAAATATCTGGCTTCTTCATCTGCAAGCTAAATATACGATGATATAAACATTTAAATCCTCAAAGCTTGGTTTAGGGGTTGATACATAGAACACAGACATTATATTAACTTATCTAATGAATGTAAAACATATACCTTATCACTCGGGCAAGCTATAATTGGAGGCATTGGAATCTTTGGTATTCTCAATTACATGCCCAATTTATTACGCCTTAAGTGAGGTATACATGGGGTTAGAACTTGAGATATCTAACATACGAGGGTTCATTATGCCAACCACCAGATTATCACAATTCAATATTGACATAAATGTATGTCAAATTTTACAAAATTATGAAGCTATATCAAAAAGGATGAAAACCTGAAATTCAAATTTTGCGCAAGATAATTTTGTAAAATTTGACATACATTATGATTATACCAATGACTTTGCCTTAGCTAACACAATACTGTATAGGCCGGATTTACTGACTCACTTCTCGTATTTCCTCAAATAAGAACGTTGTAATCCATCCAACAAGAATATACTCAAATACAGAGACAGAAATTGTCGATGCGCTTGATTCAAAATCGCTCAGTATGATATAAGCAAACAATATCAGATAAAGCTAAAAATAAACCAATTCATATATTAAAATTGAGTATACAATATTCCAAATCTAGGGTTTTCGCTGATGCAGAAAAGTAAAACGATGTAGTCTGGTCAGAAAAATGTACTTGGTTCCTGCTTGAACAGATGCAATACAATTAGGGCTTAAAGCCACTTTTTAGTGAAAAAATATCTCTCATCTGTCAATTAACTTAGGATTTTATTCATATACTTCTCTTTCAAACATTAGCTTTCATGAGGCCCTGGTTTGTCATATGTAAAGCAACATTATTGACTTTGTTTTTCACAAATATAAGAAGAAAATACTAATAAACCCAACATCGTATTTATTTTAAACATTATCCAAATTTGACTATAAATGTAAAAGCCTGTTGTTTCAACATGGGTATCAGAAAAATTAATTTTTGTACAAAACAAAATGATTTACTCACCACAAAAGAGAAGACATTCAACCAAAATGTGACAACAGGAGCATTGTAAAAAATGACAGTTTTTTCTAATATAGAATAACTATTTTTTGTTGCATTCTGACTCAGTTCAGGATTATTGAAGGCAATAGTTGGAGCCACTAAAGAGAAAATATCAGAACTGAAAAATTGTATTTTGTTGGATTTTCAATATCAGGTAATTTAACGATATAGATTTGAGATTATTTGAGGAAAAACACAGAGATCAAAAAGATCACTGGAATAAGTAAGTTAATATAAAGTTTACAAGATATAAATGTTTTCCAATAATTCCATAATTCAATGAAACTTCAATCATGAGTTTTGTCATTTCAAACTGGTAGCCAAAGAGTTGATATTCCTAAGTATCAACTTATGACATTTACTTTTTTAACATAGTATTTTACATGCTGATAGACCAATACAGAATACTGTGAATAAATTTCTCACATTCATCATCTGCCTTGGGTGAGATTCTTTGCATTTCAACATCATCAGTACGCGTAGTCTTTGACATTTCACCTAAATTAAACAATGTTTGGATGTTCAACATTTCACAATTTCACACTGTTTATGCATCTGGATAGGATTGTTTTGAAAATGAGTTGAACTGATAGAGAATCTATAAAATTCATGATAATTCAGGGTTAAGTGAGAATTGGGAAAAAATGAAAATTAGCTTTGAGCTAGTGATCACGAATCTGGATCACATAGACCTACACATTCATTCTCTTTTTATCTCTCCAGTGTATTTCATTTTATAAAATTCTATATCGATTGCTTAGGTGTTGTTACTACTGCTCAAATACTGATAGACTTCAATGAAAAATATCAATTTTGATGATCTAGTTCAGTGGTTCTCAAACTCTTTTGTACTATCGCCCCCTTACAGTACTCTTTACGTTATCATCACGCCCCAGAATTACTGTTACAACAAAACATGAAGTTACAAACGAATTTATTGCAAATCAATGAAACAAATCAACTAATCAAGGTGCATGATGTTTTAAATAAGATGGATGAACTTCAACAAGCTTTTTTTTAATATTTAAAGACATTTGGTCAGGTACAATCTCAAATCATCATTCTTTGATTGGATAACCCAGTTTCCACCAAATAAGATGTTAGAAACGAAAGAATCAACAAATAAACTTCGTCAAAAATGCCAGATAACTTGCACTAAACTATATTTTCGGTAAATTTTATTCTGTATTTAAAATCGGAAACGGAAATCCATCTTATTAGTTTTTTATCATCATCACAATTCACAATAAGGAAGGAAGCCGTGTGCACCCCGGCAATAATTTAATATTGGAAATGGATCAACTTTAGGTTACTACGGTATAGTTCCTAATTGAAAAAATTTGAAATTTTGTGATTTAACCTCGTCCAAAATAGAGTTTTTAATCTGTCGCGGCACTTTTAATAAAAATTCATGTTTTTTTCTGTTATGTATATTTTATAATCGCAAAATAACGTCTTTATTGACATCCTCTGGCACATGTGCAGGGGAATATTGTGAGATAGCGAGAATTCACGGAAATATAGTTTACCAATATAATATTGATTGTGATGAAATTGAATTAGCGCCACCTAATGTGGCCAACGTGGCACCATCGCCGAGCGATCTGAAATGTTAATAGTCATGTGGCAAAGCTTGGGTTTTATTTGGTTAGCGTGCGTCAAGGTTGCTACATCTTGTAACTTGTTCTTTTTTTTGTTTTAGTATAGTAGTAATCTTTAAGTTAATAAAAGCCTAGAAAACAGTCTAAATGAGTTTTCCTCAAATGGTTTCACTACACTGATGTTCAGGGCCTAAATACCCACGTCATGCTGGAAAAAACATTCGGCGATTTTAACCATATTTGACTTTTCGAGAATGCACAATCAGCCCCCTTTCGCCCCTTTTGATTTTTTAGCCCCCTATTTTATCCCTACTTTGAGAACCACTGATCTAGTTAAACACACATTTTCTTAAAAGCAGTAATTTCATTTATTCTAAGTGATTCCATTAGTTTCATTTAACTTACGGTAATTCAGCTTGTTAAAGATGAACAATTTCATATTATCTCCTTTGATTTATTGTGTTGTTTAAAATCCAACCATAAACTTAAATTTTCTAATTTTAAGTGTATTTAACTCTTACCGAATTCTACAAGAACTTTTTAGTTAACTATTACTTAAACTTATTGTTTACCATTTTCAGAAACATCTAATTCCTTGTTGTTATCTTCAGATTGCTCTTTGAAACTGATAGTCGACCATATTAATGGTGGACAAATTCCAGCAAGTACAATATGAATTGCTGTTGGTGAATCTAGTTTATCCATCCCCATCCATACAGCATCAAGGAAGAATTGGACACCAGGACGTGAAACAAAGAACTGAAAATAGATAAATTAAATGATGCAATCAGGAATATAACATACATTACAAAAGAGCAATGTTGTTAATACAGATTGTTGTTAAATGACTAATATGGCCACTGTGAATCTGTAATGTCAGTAAATTTCTAGCAGAATGTGTAAAAGCTTGTATCAAAAGTCATATGAACCTCTGTTTATGAATGATAAAAACAAGCAAAAATTGGGATGAAATATCAATTCTGCAGAAAATAATGAAGGAAATCTCATAGTACTAAAAATTTGAAAACAATTGGCCCATTATTTTTGCACAACCCCAACCAGAAAAACAATAACTCAGCACAAAACAATCATAGGTAATTTTGCCCGAAAATGATGCCACATGAGACCTATTTCGAAAATTTCAATTTCAAACTTTGTTTTGATTAACAAACTTTTGTTACTTCAGCACAAAATTAAGTCAGTAAAGAATTGTTGTTATGCTCCCCAAACTCTTTTAATTCAAATTCAAAACAACTATTCAAAAAGTGAAACCAACAAAGGAAATAGTTAAGACTGGAGATGTAATGATAAAGTATAGGTATGTAGATCAGTTGCATTAATTAAGTTCTAACTTTATCATTTGCTTCGATTGCAACATGCAAGCAAGTATATCCTCCCCATTTAGGCAAAGTTTTAACCAGTAAAAAAGTTGTTTTATCAACGTTATCCTCAAAACATTTGGCAAGCACTCCAACAGCCAGTTTTTCATAAAGATCTGCATCAGCTAACATTTGCGATTTCTGAACAGAATAACAGAATATAATTTTATCATAGTTATAACAGGGAATGTTTGAAATAAATCGAATATTTGTAACTGGTTATATTTGATAATGTTTATTCTTGAAATAATATCAACTGAAAATTCATCATTTAAGCACTTGAAATCTGATGGGCAGACAAAAATAAACTTTATAGAACTTCTGGCAAATGGCCAAATATAGAAATTAAAAAAAAAATATTTGTCCCAACTATTGTAAGCATGCATATGAATATAGAAGCATATACGTATATATTCTGCCTTGCTTAATTCAATTGTTATGAACATACAAAGGTTTCTGCCAATATTTCTAATGAATGATTTTACCATCTTTTTAACATATTCAACTAAATTAAATCAAAAATGACATCTCAAAGATCCAATAATGCACGGCCTCGGATAAAAGCTCAAACAAATAAAGCATAACTACCTTCTCTAAATCATTTCTCTTAGAAGCAAGAGTCTTTAGTATCTTTGTTGCAATAATAGCGGCAGACATGGATTCAGACATATATTCCCAGATATATTGTGCGATTTCTCTGTAATTGACCAACAAAGCCCACTGAAATATTTCCCGGTATGGATCATCTAATCTTGCATCGTCTGGCCATGGAGTGGATTGTCGTCTCTCGCCCGAAATATCATCCTGGAATGCATGAGTTGATTTAATCTAGCAACGATCTTGTTTAAATGTACATGTTACAGAGTACATTTTTTATAGATCAGTGAATATAATTTTGTCTCTATGGTTGGATAATTGCTTTTGCACTAAATATTATAAACATAAAAATATTTATTATTTAATTGCATACAATTTTGTAAATGATTATTTTATTTGGGCGAGATCGTTAATTTAAATTAAATTTATCTTCGTTCTCACTTGCCATAGGGTAGAGAAGGAGCCACTCGTTGATTACAGATTTTAATTTCTATAATTCTAAGTCTATGCATACTAAATGTGACAGCGTAATTACAAAGTTCCAACCTGGTTGCCAATTCAAGCCAGTATAAAATAAAGTAGCACCCAAATTGAATTACTTTACCATAAAGAATTGTGCGATGTATTTTATCATTGTTAAAATTATTAGAAATTGGCATTCTTTTTAAAACTGTTAACTTGAAGATGATGACAGATTACAACCTCTTACTTCAAATCAAAAATATCAATACAAAAAAAATGAAAAAAAGAGAAATCATGAGCAAGATGACAAGGGTATATGAACTCTTTTCAAATCAAATTTGAAAAGCTTGAACACTTGGCAACATAGTGCATTTTACAGTCACTTTAAATGATAAAATCATACTAAACTTATAGGCCTATCTTAACTCTTTACAGTCATGAACTAATTTAACATAAATAGAAATACCAAAAACTGCCTGAAAAATATGCGGGTATGAAAACAGACACAGGCATTAATATCTCCAAATCGAATTTTTTAGATTAGAGCGAGGCGGCCCATCATGTCACAGTGATCAGATTGAGTTGCATGACTAAGTTTGATCGAGTATGGGCTGGTAATGAACAGTGCATAATTGGATAAATTAAAATTAGGTACCAGTATATAAAAATTAGCCAGGATATCATGGAAACATTGTAAAATGTCTTCCGCACTTCATACTTGAATTAATTCATAAAGATAAGGGTAACTGTAAGAATTATGAGAGAGCAAATGGATAATTCTGATGAAAAATTATAATCATGCCAGAAAGATAACAACTGTAAAAAAACAGCAGCAGATGATATTATTCCACATAAAATTAATCCATTATCTGCATACACATTGCAATATACATACAAAAGAAAGATAACTTTCACTATTACTGCATCTTCGATCTGCTGGTGAATTTGGCTAAAATGAAATTTGCATTAAAAATATTCAAATGAGGAGCGAAGTAAGAGCTGTCGTTCACAAAGTATACAAGAAAAACATATCATTTATGTTAAAGACAAACGTCAATTTTCTTTCCTAATCGTGTGATAATATCTGCCATAATTATCGAATAGCCATTCAGAAAGTGGCGAAACAATCGGTTACTTCATTCCTGACATAGTTCATGATAGCGTAAAAATTTATTTTTGGCATACAATGAAATTAGGATCAGAATAAAAGAGCATCATCAGTGTAGCCCTGGTACTAATCATGCGCTGAGTAAATTATCACTTCAAGGCTGGTGATGAAATTAAAAGATTATTGATAATTAAATTGTGCTTGTATCATAACAACTTGTTCTTATTGCTATTTTCAATATTAAGGAAAGACTGCTTGTCCAATAATTTACAATCTTAAAATTTAATTTTCCTGCACAAAGTAAGACTTTGAACAATAATCTTCACAAGCAGAAATATGATCGATTTCAATCATTAAACCAAGTGGTAACTGTGGGCTAGAGAACACAGGTCTAATTCCTGGTTGAACGTCGTTATTAAAAAGATATTTTGTGAACTGAAAAATATTAGTTATTCGAAACTCAGTCATTACTTTGAGGGTGCTTTTGATACAAAGCCTTAAGAGCAAACAAATGAAAATATCTCCCGTAAGACACTTCCCCGTGGAAACATGTTTGACGAATAAACAAATGGATCAAGTCAAAAATCAGGTTGGAAGACCTAAAACATCATTAAGGTGCATTTGTCCATGTCAACAATAATAACTAAAACTGAGTACTGACATTAGATTTTCTAACAAGGACTTCAGGATGATAGTCTTGATTATATCAGTGAACAATACATCATTGACACAGAATTCTCTACCAATATCCCACATTCATATGCTTACTGGCCTAGCTAGAGCTCACATAACTTCAATTACATGACGTAATAGTAGAAGCAAAGGCAGTCCACTCACATGTTCGAACAAGACAGCATTGTACTTCTTCGTAGTTGGTTTTCTTCTCTTATACACAGAAATGTATGAGTGACCAAGGACTTCAATTAAAAACCTAAAAAAAAAATATTTTGACTTAATAAGCATTCTAAATATAATTTTATTTTCATGAATTGATGCATTCATACAAACATTGTCTAGGTCAAATTATATACTGGTAAGTGGTAATAAAGCAATTTATTTAGCCTTAAGCTTCCAATAGCAATTTAGTTGTGTTTTTGGTTTGTGCAGAAACAAAACACGCTTTGCCACAAGTAATTATCATTTTATTCCCGATAAAATTCATTTCAGATCAAATTGTTATAACAAGAAATAAAAAAGGGATAAACTCAAGCTTGTACTTTATCAATACAGTTTTAAAACCAAGTTTACTAAATACTGCTCCCAATAAGACAGCACGAAATAAGCAACAAAATTTTGCTCAGAGCAAGGTTATTCACTAACTCAAAAGCAACAAAGTCAACAATGGTGGACTTTTGAATCTTAATTAATTTGAACTAATATAGTGTAAGCTGCTGCTTGACGATGCGATGACGTAAGGCAAAGGTGATGTATGAGTTAAAAAATCCAAATGCTGTGTACCTCCCTACTGCAGTCAAGCTGAAGTCCTTTTTCTTAGAGAGACGTTTATGCAAAAGAGACTCTTTTGGTGCTGAGGTATATAAGTGTCGCAATTCTGCTATTGTACAATATTCTTTCAAATCAACGCCATAGTCAAGAAATACTTTACAAAATTCATGCTTGTTCTGAAATCAGAGGATTCTTTATATTTAAAGAAGCTATGCACAAATAAAAAGCTGTTTGGTGGGATCATATTATCCTATTTCAAAGTCTGTTGTTTCACACCATTTCATTTATTTATACCAAGAACTAAAGATATTTAGAACAGAATAGTTGAATATTTAATGAAAGTCTACTTTCACAAGTACATATATAATTGATGCAACAAATAAATATTTTTTTTAATATAATATATAATGCAAAAATATTTTTAGGTTTATTGAAATATAGCTGAAACATTTTGACTAAATATATATAAAAAATTAGAAAATTCAAATTTATCATTAGTTTATTTATCTAAATATATGTTGAAGCATTTGAAGAATCTGTCTCATCTAACTCACATCTTTCAAAGCAGCAAAAAACATTTTTGCCATTTCTTCTTTTCCAATACAAGCATCATCACTTAGGATATGAGATTTTGCAATATCGCTTCTATTCCATGCCATAGCAAGACGTAGTTGCTGATAAGCTGCTTGATTGTCATCATTTGCATTTGCTGGAATCAAAATACAAAAAATTCAAAAAGTGCAAAACTAAAAATTATTTAAAAGTTTTAAATATATATATATCCAGTTCTCAACTATCGGTAATACAAATTTCAGCCAGTATCAGCATTCAGCAACAATGGTACTTAACAGTGAAGTATAGTGAAATGATATCGGTTATAATATTGCCGTAATTAGGGGATGAAGCCTTATAAAACAGTCTTGTTCGCACAGACATTTGGATCATATTTATAAATTGGTGTGGTGATGGGAAAAATCAAACTAATCTTGCAATCATTTTTGAATTTTCAGTAATTAAAATGGTTGAAGTCGCAAGAAGACTACAGCTTTTTAATATTCATGTTTTCAAATTTCCTCCGGGTCCTGTGAGACAAATGATTCACCAACAATTCTTCCTTTTATTTAATTTAAGTGAAACACTTTTTATTCAATCTTAGTATTACGCATGACCACCTCCATCATACTCGTTCATCACTCTTTTCATGAAAGCAAACTTGGTGATCTTAAGATATTACAGACATGGTACATACTGGTACCGATGTAAACTGTTGCAGTGGTGGGATTTTTTGCAATTTTGAATTGAAGCTTTTGAATGATCAGATAACAGGTTTTTAGTGCAAGTTTCATATGCCACTGCAAGAAGTCAATGAATCTTTGTACCCATATATTTTTTGAGCATTGCTTTCATTTTGTGATTTGGATCTTGATTTCGCACTTTCACACCATTGTTACAAAACGGTATACCAAGGAACAAGTATGATTCAGGTAATATATACGGTACTCACAACATGATGGTACTCGAAGTAGGTTTCTGTACATCACGATTAATTAGTTAACTGAAGATATTGATTAACGTTTCCTTTTTATCAACCTACACACATGACCAAAAGACACTGATGGTAGTAAACTAGACATGATGAACATTATGCAAATATGAATGCTTCTACTATTTTATAGTCTGTGTCATAAACTAAACTCCAAACTAAGACTTGTCAAAACTTGCCCGAACCAGCCTACATCAATACAGCAAGTCCAGAGGAAGTAATACCGATTCTAATAGCCCTATTCAATAATCGCAGTTCTCAAAAAGGAAATGGCACAAATAGATATTTCGAGAGAAGAATGGTAATTATAGTTTCTTTTGTTGTTTGTAATACTGTTGAAAACCACTGAAAATATCAACAACAATAGAACGTACTGAAACTCCTAAATCAATTATTAATATGGTAAAAATGAAATAGTCACTGATTAAATTTTCTACCTGTTACTGTAAACTTTTTTTAAAATTGTTATGCAACTATCTGAAACCTGAATAGCTGAAAAATAAAACTCAATATCACCATTTTCATCAAGCCTGTTCAAACTTTGCATGTCTGTTATTCCGGTTTGTACAAATATATCAATTACCTGGACAAGTTCCAAATATGTCACAACATGCTACATTTTTAATGGAATAGAGCGATGTAAATTTTATTTAGATATGAAAAGTTAATCAAAAACCATTTATGATGCAGAATAACCTGCTGACTTTGCCAATATTAAAGATCAGCCTTTCTATAAATAAAGAGGAATAAGTCTGTGAGCCAGTTTCAAGTGAACTTATGTTGTGATGCTGATTTTTAATGCATTTTAATGCCTTTGTTACGAAAAAGGCTATAAACAAGCAACCACTGTTATATAGGCAGCTAGAGAAATTTAGAATTTTTTCTAGCTGGGCTACAGTGTTTTTTAGATACACCGCCTATTCACGTTGTTTGCTTCAAAGTACAAACAGCTACTGATATCTATCGATATGTAAGGATCTACTACCGGTATTCGTGAGAAAGAACAGAATCATTGCAGTTTGGCATTGCCTACCCAATTTATTATGTTACGTGAGGTGGTGAGAATGTGGCTGAAAGCTTTTGATCATGGTAAAGTGAAAGTTGTCCGAATCACATCATAAAGTGAAATTTGTCCGAAATTTATTGTCATGAACTCTATTAGACCCAATTGTAATTTTAATGCTCGTGACAATAACAATCTAGAGTCTAGACTCTAGACGGAAAACAAACTCAACACTAACCTTTTAATAGTGCTTCCAATATCGCAATATCCAAATCTCTAGATAGGTCATTTGGGTCATAGTCAAATACAGTGAGGAGATTTTTACTTGAAATACATCTTTTTACCATGTCAGTCCAAGCATCAATTTGGTTTTCATCAGAATCCATATTGTGCTCTAAATTGAAACAAATTATCAATCGCTTAAAAAATAAACCATGATGACACTGTCTAAAATATTATTTCAGAAATAGAAAAAGGAAGGAAAAGATACAGTATGACAAGTAAGTAGTACTCGTGAAGATTTTAAGGATATATATCATAAATCAGCCTCCTGGGGAAAAAAATGCAACCATTTCATGCCTCGCCATGCCATATGGTCATTTTGAACAAAATAATCTTATACAGGATAATTAGCTGTTTGAAGGCAAATATGCTTCTAATGTTTTGCAAAATGCGATACTACCCACCCTCAAGTAGTTCCTCAACTACAGTTCTTCCAATATTTCTAGGATCCATAGTAGAAGCTGTAGCAAGTATATCAGCCCAACCTCCTGACCCGCCCACAACAACAACAGGTGTCTTCTTATGTATTGACTCTGCAACTGTCTAAAATAATACATACAAATTTTATCCTATTTTTATACAAATCATGCATGAAATGTAAACTAAGATTGTAATAATGGAGTCATGGTACAAAAAATCTCTTTTGCCTATGACTTGATCCAGTGATACAGACTGATTAAGAAAAATATTCTGGTCATTATATATTCAATGTGTTGACCTTCAATGATCCAGGGCCTCCTTGAACAATGACGCAAACAATAAGAACCTCTACTCCATCTCTGGTTCGTTGTCTGGCTGTAAAAATATGAAATCATGTAGTGAATGGCTCAGTGCAATATAATGATCAGAAGGTTCCTATACCGGGTGATGTACGTAGTATTGTTCATTTCAGATGAATAGATATTCAAGTATACTGCTCTGTTTCAAAAAGGTTACGGTAGTCCAATATGCAGCGAAAGAAAAATATATAGCAATATGCATGAATCATGGTTTTACATTGATATGGGTAAATATTACTAGTGAAGCATCCAGCTCGATTTTCATTTGTTTATTTTTGAAAAAACTATTTCATTAAATTACTTTGTCATTTTAACAAAATTCTTTGTTCAGTCAAAGTAGTGATCTCATTTAAACAATATAGATTGACTTTACCAATAATTGTTGTATATATAGATAAATATTGGATGGAGGCCTTCTGCTACTGATTCAATAATGATTTGCTTTAAAGAGAAAAACAAAAGTAAATTTTACCAAGGAAGCTTTCTAATTCTGTTCTTAAATTAATTTCAACCCCATATTTATCTTCACTTCCATCATCAACCAGTATAAAATGAGAATGGTTATAATCGAGAATAGAACGTTTTCCTTGCTTTTTCTCATCTGGATCATATTGCTTTGGTAACTGCAGAAGCAAGACATAAATTGTTATGCCAATGGCATATCAAAAAAGACAGGTTTTGATTTATTGTGGAGAAAAATAGAGGATGGCTTTATCAGAAGGACTTCTATAAAATGGTTGAAAGTCTATGACATTAGCTGGGAACCAGATAAATTCAACAAATGTATAGAAATCATTGGTGGACAAGTCATCATCAAACCAGTGATTATATGAATCAGCATGTAATAGCGGGACTGCAGGATTCCTTTCACATATGATGATTTACACAGAACTCAAAACTACGCAGAAAAATGGAATATATTACTGGAGCGTGGATTGATTTTCTAACTTCAATCAGCATACCCTCTAATTCAGGGGTGCACAACCTTTTTGCTATTGGCGGCCACATTGCTCATATTTGTATTCAATACGGCCTTCAGGGGGTTGATGAGCTCGGCAAAAGCGCGCAATTTTTTTTGCTTTTATGACATCTTAACTGCGAGGTGCAGTCTGCCCAAGTATGAAGTATGTAGGGCTACTTGGAAGTATAATTTCGCATTTTAAACGGATTTTTTTTTCGGTGGACCTATTCTTGAGCAGATATGTTGCAGCAAGTTGCATAATGGTTGCACAATTTTGAAAAAAATCGAAAGTCGGGGAGGGGGGTCGCCCAGCTTGTAAGACATCGGGTCGTCTGACTTTTTTGCAGTGCTTCAGTTTTGCTTCAATAAACGGCCAGCATAGCCGCCAAATCCTATATTTAAATTATTTTTTTTCATAGGATTCTGTATGTGGACGGCCGCATTATTTTTTCACGGCGGCCGCATGCAGCCACAGGTTGTGCAGCCGCATGCGGCCACAGGTTGTGCAGCCGCAAGTTGTGCACCATTGCTTTAATTGGATCCTCTTTAATGTATCGTACTGGCATGAAAAAAGACATTTCACATACCTATTATTTATACTAAACCTTACCAAATTTGTACTTGCAATCTGATTGATCAATTTATCATTCCTAAAAACAACTCCCCAAGGCGCAATACCAATAGTAACAACCTGAAAATATAACAACAGACAGTTGTTGATGTGTCCAGCTGTATCCATGATTAATAATTGGTAAATTTGGTAAATTCCGATACCTTATTAACATGTTTGTCTCTGATATATAACAACTTCATAATCAACACAGTACTTTTTCACAGTTCGGTTGAAAAATTATCGCTTCCTAATTATACCAGACAATGTCATCCACAATAATTAGCCCTATATTTGTTTCACCAATCTATATTCACAATTCAAAATCAGAAAACATTTGACAAAAATCAAACTATTTAACCTATTACTGGGCTTTTTACCAACTACTGTTCAAATTTAAAAAAAGAACTGCCTTAGTTATATACTTATATACTATTACAGTTAACTATATATATAAAAAAAATTTCAATTCCTCAGTAGCAGTATAACTTACTTTATCTTTATCATCTCGAATAGCTGCATAATTTTTCACAGCTTTTCCAACATGCTTCATCACTCCCGCATGTGTGCCACCTGATGTTATCCATGCTCCTGTGTTTTCGGCAGCTTTTATCAAACTTTTTCGAAAAACCTCTTCTATTCGACTTCGCAAAGAAAAGTTTTTTGCTCCGCCAGTTACTGATATTATAAGATTTGGTGTTTTCAACTTCCAATGTTTCTTAAACAGTTGATACAGAATATCAACGTTTGTAGTGTCAGCTACTCGAACATACTGAAATGAATGTGAGCAAAGAATTATGCTAAAATATTCAAGAGTAGGAAAGTTTATATCCAATAAAATATTCGAAATTTCTTTTCAGAATCATTGTCTGAATACAAATGAAAAAATCCCGCAGTTTCATTACTAGCTTAGTAAAAAAGAAGCAATAGATGAACACAATTAGATATAAATGAACTCACTGAAAGATATACGAGGTGCGGCTAAAATGAAACGGGACTGATGTCACAGATTGCGCAAAACGATTAACCATCGGTAATCAACACTTTTGCAGTGTGGCGTAACATGTGTTCTTTGTTTAACGGCTGTTTTGACACAATATCGCAATTATTTTTGCTTTTCAGGATCCATAAGTGAATGTGATAAATTTCTTGTTGAAAAAAAAATGCTGTGTGCGAGGTTTGATTGAGTTTTTTGGCGATAGGGGGTTCAATTGCAGAATGACGATTGAGCAAAGAATTAACATTAAATTTTGTGTCAAACTTGGAAAAATGCATGCAACGGTCGCTGCGAACCGACTGCCGAACCTTTTTGATGTTGGTATCAGTTGTGGAAGTGCAGGGCCTCCCTGACCTTGGATCATTCTCAACATCTTCCCTGCCTTCCACAAATCGCTTGTGCCATTTAAAAACTCTTGTTCTGGACATGGAAAAATCTCCATAAACATCACGCAACATCTTCAAAGTCTCATTCGCCGTTTTTTCCAAGTTTGACACAAAATTTAATGTTAATTCTTCGCTCAATCGTCATTCTGCAATTGAACCCCCTATCGCCAAAAAACTCAATCAGATCTCGCAAAGCAATTTTTTTCAACAAGCAATTAATCACATTCACCTATGGCTCCTGAAAAGCAAAAATAATTGCGATATTGTGTCAAAACAGCTGTTAAACAAAGAACACATATTACTCCACACTGTAAAAGTGCTGATTAGCGGTGGTAAATCATGTTGCGCAATCTGTGACGACAATCCCGTTTCATTTTAGCCACACCTCGTATATAGTCATATTTGATATTTCTATTTCAAGATTGCTATAATACCTTCGCAGTCCTTGTTGATGTTCCTCCAAATTCAATTTCACCAAAAGCATCTGTTTGAGTATTGTCAGCTTTCTTTATGAAATCTTTGATAAACTTCGTTGTTTTAGACTAGAACGTAAACATATCATGGTCAATATTGAAAACAAAAATGACTAACAACACTCAGAACACCAGAGAAAATGGATACACAATATCATCAAATAGATCAAACAATAATTTCACACAACCATGAGATGAAAATGTTTAATCAGAAGAAAGCCAACAAACATTTAAATGCTAGGCACTTAGAAGTGCTCCTGAAGGTTACAAATAATAGCTAATAAAACAACATGATTGGCAAAGAAGTTGGCAGATTATGACTGATATTTATTTTGGGATGTGTACATTAGTAAATCCGAAAAAATATAATCTTTGCCATGCTGATCACAGTTCTGGTGTCCATCGATATGAAACACAAATTGCAATTCACACCCTCACTTAAAAATTCGAATATGATAACTGATGCAGTGCTTGCCATAGTGACTCAAACTGGTCATTTATAGTATGCATATGGCATCGCAGCACATATAGTGACATTGTAGAGCTCGAGAAATGAATTTTGCTATTGTATTATTCAACAAAGCAGTCATTTTGTTATTATGAATAAAATGCAAAAAATGTTCTTATTAGTCTGCAGTCAAGCATGAGCCTTAAATAATAGAAGGTAATTGTCACAAATAACATCATGTGCTATCAATAAATTATCATTTAATCCTATTCAAACTTGATAAATTTAGAAATAAACACTACAATAGAACAAACACATTAAATGTTTGAAATACCTTACTGCTATTTAAACATCATGCATATTTTGAGCATGTGCTTAATTAAACAATTTATTTGGACCATACATCTGGCTAAAGAATAAGGTTATTACATCTTCCACAGCATCAGCATCAAATTTTGTTGAAAAGTTTCTCGCCAGTCCAGTCATCCGAGATAATAACGGACGTATAGATGATGATGTATTCGATGTAGAAGGATATACACGATTTTGACTCATTTCATTTTCTCGTTGGGTCATAGTCAATCTCCAAAATATTCCCTGAATGTCACCAGAGTGAAGTATAATAACAATTTATGACGATCAGTTGATACATGATCACAAACAAGACTATAGTATAAAATACAATTCATTATAATAGGGAAGTTATTGCAATAGAACACAGTTCTTCAAATCTGATTACTTCCTGAAATATACAATTTGCAACTTGCAAGGCACATCTGCTAAACGTCAGATGCCGTCTGAAAATTGATGTCATCAACTGCCTGTCACGGCGGTATCCCAAATAATGATAATTCTAATGCATTTGTATTCTATAAATATTACGTTTACTATTGCACGCATTTGGTTTCATTATATAATACCAACATATTTTACATACAGATTATATAGCAAATTTTACGATCAAATAATTTTGATTAAAAAATCATGATGGTATCCCACATAATGATAAATTTATAGCATTTATATTCTATAAATATTACATCTACTATTGCATACATTTGGTTTCATTATATAATACCAACATATTTTACATGAAGACTATATAGCAAATTTGGGATTAATTAATTTCAATTAAAAAATAAAATTTTAAAAATAAATTATTTATCAACCTGCATTATTTGTTAGTATATTTTATTTGACCTCAACTGGTTTTAAGTTTTTGGATTGAGTTAAACTTAGTTTTTATGCTTTTGGACAATGAATTTGTCGATGTCACTGTTTACTTTGACTATTTTGGCGAAATACATGTTTAAGCCATTCTATTCACTCAATATGCTTCTCCAGTGAGTGGTGTTGTACAAAGTGGTATATCAGAAAATAGTAATAAATGCCTCAAAATTTGTACTAATTTACTTTATTATATTCCATAAATGGCTTCCTCGTCTGGAATCGATTAGATGCGAAAAATCCCAAAAGCAAAATTACTTGCATATTATTGCCATGAACTCGTAACATACGTATTATCGTCTGATGTGATCAGAAAGGTTGAATATTTTCAGCTACGAAGCATGTATGGCCATAGAGATGACAAATTTTGCCAAGAGCAGCTGTGGTGTGAGAAGCGCATTGAACATACAGATATCAGGATATAGTATCCATGTACGACAATGGAAATTTCAGCCAAGACAAGTATGATTTTGCAATTATTAGTTTGTGACATTGTCTCTCATGTTTAAAAGCAACATTGATATATTTTAATGCCAGCCTTTTCTGATAACCCCAATGCTTTCATTTATAATTTTGCTCCTATTAACTCAAAACTGTTTCTAAATGGTAAGGTCTAGTCTTACAGTACCTACCGATACTCTACATTTAGGTGCTCAATAAACCAACATTCACACAATAGTCTGGGCTGACTGATTCAGAATGTACAGCTGTAGAAAAGAACAATAACTCCAGCCTTTTCCAGTTTCCTGTAGGTTATACATACGGTACCATTCTGCCATTACTGATAAAGTGCTGAAAGTGATAGGGTATGAGTAAGTTATATCACAGTATTATGCAGATATACTGATATATGATACTGTACCATAAGTATAAATTTATTTCGACTTCATAATCCTGTAATCACAGATTCAGCATAACTGGCAATATGTATGTATGTATGTTTGATAAAAACAAATAAATAGAAACTGATTATGAAATCAAGGGAGCAAACAAAACCTTAGAACAGGGGTCGGGAACCTTTTTGGTCAAGAGAGCCATAAAATATACATATTTTTATTTGCATTTCCGTGCGAGCCATATAACATTTCTTCACCTAATCAGGCCTGAAAAGGTTCACTCAAAAGTCAACACATACAATGTCAATATACATTTAATGTGATTTCTGATGCTGCATGTAGTCGCTGCGGGCCTTGAACGGTTGCTCACATGCAGCCAAAGTTGAAATCTACAATACTCATCACCCTTTTTCGTTTAGGCATCTCCGTAGTGTTTTTAAAACTATATCGCTTTGTGATGTCACAATATATGTTCCAGAATCCCCTTGTTTGTCACAATGCCTGTCTGGTAATTATCTTACGCAACATAGACACGTGATGGACGCGCATTCTCAAACGTATTGGGAATTTCCTGCCAAATTTGGCTATAAAAGAGTTTGAAATCTCGTAACAATAGTAAGCTTAGTCTTGGGATATTAGATTTTTCTGGGAGCCATATGCCGTCACCGAAAGAGCCATATATGGCTCGCGAGCCATGGGTTCCCGACCCCTGCCTCAGAAGATAAGGTTTAAAACGTACGGTACCGGTACGACTGTACAGAATATAAAATCAGAAAATGGAAGGCATTGCCAAGAAGTCGTTCGTGTTCGCATAGGTCAGTAGGTGTGTTGCGACTTGCGAGTCATTTCAGCATTTCATACAACTGTGCAAGAATTAAAGCGTATGTTACCGTAAACCTAGACTACATTCAGACAATTGCACAGTTCCTCTCTTTTGAAAGTTTAACAACAAACGTTACCGGTACCGAATACACTTATTCACATTTAAATACTTCTGGTTATTTAAAACCTGTAATCGTTGTTAAAAATAAACGCTTAACAATAAGCTGAACTTATTGATTACAGGTACGGTAGCGTTATTACCGTATTCGAGCAACTTCGGCTATGGCAGTATGGAAATGCCGCTGTCGTTCGTAGTTACCAACAGCTCAGTGACAAACAAATGTGACCGATCAAGTCAAAGGTCACCATTTCAACAATCGCCATTTCGCGAACTGTTTTCCTGGCCATTGACTTCCTTGTTTATATCAGCAATGACATTAAACAACATGATGCGCAACTCCGGCATTTTTGTCCGAAGATCGTATTCGATAGCACGCTCCAATGCACATACTTGACGAGACGAAAACGAGCGGATGTGTGCTGCTTTCAAGGCGTAGCACGAATGGTGTTCGTGCCTGCTTTGACAGTTGTTGTCGATTTTAATGATATTTTTGAAAGTTGGGGTAAAAAGAAATCGGTAAAAGGTAAGGTGAATACTATTGTTGTATATCACACCCGGGCATCGCACTGTTAAGTACATGTGGGAAAGCCAGCCTTTGTCAAATACTACGAAGTTATTAATTCAGTACGGTACGTAGTTGCCCATTTGCCGAAATTACATATTTACTTACTCCTTATGGTTTCAAATAGTTCATGCACCTCCAGTTAGATTTTTTTAATCAGTGAGGATATATACTCATTGTTGATTGCTGCTCATTGTAACATACTATTACGCATTCACTTTTATTTGCGTATTGAATCAAAGTGTTAACAAGTTCACCTAACATTTCACTCATACCGGTCTATATTGTATAGTCTGATTTCTCAAGTATTTGGAGCCACGAATGCTTGTAATTTTCTGACTAAACCCTTTTATTAGTTGGTTTATTTTCCAAAATTCAGTAAAATATTTTTTAAATAAAACATGAGATATTGGATTTATTAGCTTTTCCATTCTGAATCATATAGACTGCTTTATTTATTCTTAACGAAAATTAATAAATCTCCTCTTTTTCTTCAGATGTGAAAGTTGTGGACAAACCTGTCTAAGCATTGTGAGACTCTTGCAGCACAAGAGGCAATAGCAGAAATAGTAAGTATATCAATCAAGAAATTAAGCCGACATAAAGCAAAACTTTCAACTATTCGTCTAATCTCAATTTCCTATTATTTATTCACAGGACAACTATAGCAGACGGGGAGATATCAGAAGTCTGGCGACATATCAGTGACAGTGTAATTCCAAGAAATATAATGCAATTGAAAATAGAAAATTGCAATAGAAAAACAACCTATGGAGGCATGCAAAGACATTTGACCCTCCGGTAGAGTTGTGTATGGCCCCCACATCCTGCAGGGCTTGAGGAAAATAACTAAAAATTCCAAAGCGTAAGATTGCATAAGCGGTCTTATTTGTAAAAAGGCACAAAACACGCCAGACATACTTGAAACAGCTTTGGAAATGAGGATTACGGGTACCTCACTGCACCTGTGTTATATTTGGTTCATCAACTTTTGGTAGTACTATAGAAGAAATTCCGGAAGGGGTATAATCATCATTCATGATAAAATACTATCATATATTTTTTGAACAACTTCAATCTAGACCAGGGATCTCAAACTCGCGGCCCCAGAGAACTTCCAGTGTGGCCCTCGAACGCTTAACAATAATTGTAATAGTATTTTGGAAGTTTTTTTTTTATCTAAATGTAATAGATTTTTCAAACCTTCTAAAGTGAAATTGATTATTCACACAGAAAACAATTTACTGAAAGTAGTTTTGGAATATTAATTTTTTTTGTCCACATTTTGACCCAATTAAGAATACACATCAAGCTAGCAAAAGAATACTTGAATAAAACACTTGAGTAATTAAATTAAACGCAAAGTACACGAAGAAGGTGGCATTTTTGAAGAAAATGGGAGTTGTAACATTTCTGCTCTTCACAAAATTCTGAAGCACATTGTTTAATTTGTCATATTTCCATCAATACAATCAAAAAACACAATAAGCTCAGCAGTCAATATGACAAATTCGAAGACCAACTTCGAACAGAAAATTTCCATGTGTTTGTATATTAATATAGTTATACAACGACTTAGTTACTAAAAATCAATATCAATAATAATTCAAGCAATCCTATGCCACGCAATGTAGTGCGAAATGTCTTGTCGAAAAAATCTGTCATTTGTTTTTTTACTGATCTATACATGAAATGATAAAAGTAACTTTTTTTCATTACTGGAATTAATTAAACATTCGTAAAGATCCAGATAAACCCATGATCATGTGGCCTCGTTAGTTAGAGTTGGTACTACAAAATCATTTCAGACTGGCCTTAGTATGCTGGTGACACAAAAAAGATGCCAAACGCCAGGACGAATGTAATTATTAAAACATTGAGTTTATACTGTAGTATTTTTGTTAATTTTAGGTTCATATATTTAGATTAAGTTATTTTTAGTGTATGTATTATTCTTTCCTTATTCAAAGCTTGTTCAAAAATGATTTTGATGGTTGTACATAGAATTTTACGATTTTTTATAATAAATACTGTAACTTGCAATTGTTGCAATAATAGTGGAATGCAAATATTAATATGTAATTGCATTTGAAATTGAAGAAAATAATAAAACCTAATCCAACTGTTTAGTTGCATCACAATATATGTCACAAACTAAAACTATCTTAAAAATATCTTTTAAGTATACATTATCAAAAACTGTTTGCGGCTCTTTTTACAATTTTCAAAATGCAATGCGGCTCTCGAAAACCCATGAGTTTGACACCACTGATCTATTCTAGACGATTCAAGCATTGCTTTGGGAAATTATATCACTTCAATTGAATTGAAATAATCTCGCTATATTAAATACAAAATCGTTGCTATCATAAAGGTAAACCAATTCAGCCACTCGGAATA